TGCAATTGAGTCTCTTTGATGTATAAGGTCATTTCATAAGACACTTCAACAGATTTTTTTTCCGTCGAGCTCTTACTTTGAACCTCTTGACTCTTCTCGAATGGCTTCCAAATTCGGGTTGGCGGGTGGAATACCGGAGCGCCGTGTCCGGCCAATCTGGGACGCCGTCGATTCTCGTCAGTTTAAAAACGCTCTCAAGCTCGTCACTTCGCTTCTCTCTAAGTACCCAAAATCACCTTATGCTTTAGTAAGTGTCATCCACTCATTGCTTTCGTTTTCCTCTTCTACTCCAATCCGTTAAAACGGGAACGTAATCTGATGGTAATGCTGTTGCATTGGCAGGCGCTTAAGGCTCTTGTTTGTGAGAGAATGGGGAAAACAGATGAGGCATTATCAGTTTGCCTGGAAGCCAAAGAGCTTTTGTATAAAGATGATTCGTCGTTGATGGATGATCTCACTCTCAGCACATTGCAAATTGTGTTGCAGAGACTCGATCACTGTAAGTGCAATCGTGTGAAGAAGAATTTGAAAGCTGGTGTTTAACTTTTTGGTTTATATCTTAATTCAGTTTTTTTAATGTGACTAGTGGACTTGGCTACTAGCTGTTATGCTCATGCCTGTGGCAAATTCCCTAATAATTTGGAGCTTATGATGGGGCTATTCAATTGCTATGTTCGTGAATATTCTTTTGTGAGGCAGCAACAGGTTGGTCTTTGTTTTGGATAAACAAGTTTCTGTGTTCTGATATCAGTCTGTATTTCCCTTTCTGATGTCTTGCTTGGTGACAGACAGCCATCAAAATGTACAAACTTGCCGGAGAAGAAAGGTTCTTACTGTGGGCAGTTTGTAGCATCCAGTTACAGGTACTGATACCGTCTGCCCTCCTTTTGGAGCCGTTTGGTATTCTGTTTCTTACAATTGTGAAGATATTTTTACAGGTTCTATGCGATAAGAGTGGGGAGAAGCTGTTGCTTCTGGCCGAGGGTTTAATTAAGAAGCACATTGCCTCTCATAGTATGCATGAGCCAGAAGGTGGATTCACTTCTCCACCAATATCTTCAGATTTCGTTAGCTTTTCTTCTACTAATTAAAGTCTGGTTCTTCTCAGCTCTCATGGTGTATATTTCTTTGCTGGAACAACAATCCAAATACAACGATGCGTTAGAAGTTCTTTCTGGAGATTTGGGTTCTCTTTTGATGATTGAAGTCGATAAATTACGGATACAGGTAGGTTACAAGGCTTTTTTGTCCGAAAGAAATCTAAACTTCATGCTTTTGCATTATGTTCTACGTAGGCCACATACATTCTGAAATAATGCATACAAAGTCTATTTGCTTTGTGCTCACACAAACTCTCTCACTTTAAGCTGACAGGGGAGACTCCTTGCTAGGGCTAATGACTATTCTGCTGCTATTGATGTCTATAAAAAAATCTTAGAATTGAGGTACGTTGACAAGGCATGAGCATCTCAATTCAGTGTATTTAGAGTTGTCAATGTTTCCAGAATGATTGCCGATTGGTCTTTTGATTGTTTCTATATTTTAGGCATGTGCATATCATGTCGGTATGCTGACATTGTGTTTCTGTTCGTTTGACAGTCCAGATGATTGGGAGTGTTTCCTACACTATCTTGGTTGTCTGCTTGAAGATGACAGCATCTGGAAGTACTTTGACAATATTGATCAAATTCATCCTACAAAACTCATAGAATGCAAGTTTTCTCACCTTACGGAAGAAATGGTGATCATATTAAACACTTGTCTTTGTTCGTGTTTCATTTGTCTTTTTCCCTAATTTCTGGCATATATATAATCCAATTTCTTGTCCAACGTGCAGTTTGATTCTCGTATATCAAGTGCTTCAGATTTGGTGCAGAAATTACAGAGAGACACTGAGAATACTAACTTAAGGGGTCCATACTTGGCGGAACTTGAAATTGAGAAGAGAAAGTTGTTATATGGAAAGAAGAACGACAACAAGTTATTAGAATCACTACTGCAGTATTTTCTCAAGTACGTCTGTTTGAACCCTTTAAGGTTTACATATTGCTTATAATAGATGCTATGAAGTCTGACTTGTATAGATAAAGCTTGCTGGTTCTTATATCCTTCTGAGCTTGTATCGCTTTGTATGCAGATTTGGTCATTTAGCTTGCTATGCCTCCGACGTTGAAGCATGTTTACAAGTGTTAGCCCCTCATAAAAAAGTAGAACTTGTTGGAATGTTGGTAAAAAATTCGGACTCCGTTTCTGCATCAGCAACGAAAGTGCTTGGTCAAACAACTACAATACTCAAAGTTCAAGAACTGACGGGAAACATTTTTGAGCTTCCTCTTGACGGTGTGTTCTCGTTGCTCACATACCTTTTTCTGCAATTTTCTTGTTTTGTGTGTGTGTGGCATCTCTCTGTTTAGGTGTAGAGAATGATGAATCATTTTCCAGCATAGTTTCCTGTCTTCTCTTTTCTTATTTTAGCAATATGATTTTCTTAATGTGTTCTTCTGAATCTATTTACAATTCAATATCTCCTTCCAATATGTAGAGATTGAAGCCTCTGCTGTCACACTGGCAAAGTTATACTGTCAAAATCTTCCTCTTTCTAAGGACTTGGATCCTCAAGAGAGTATGTTTGGGGAAGAACTTTTATCTTTGATAAGCAACATGTTGGTCCAGGTACTTTGGTTGTTTTGAACAGATGTGCTTCCCCCTTACTGCATAATCCATTTTTATATGTTAATTAACCTTCCTATTGGTTCCAGTTATTCTGGCGAACTCGAGATTTTGGCTATCTTGCTGAGGCTATCATGGTTCTTGAGTTGGGCTTGACCATTAGAGGGTCAGTAATTATTTGTTATAGCTATGAAATTATTTTTTGCTTGCTGCTTCTGTTTTAAATACCAAAGGATTCTACATGGCTTTGATAGGTTTCAACTTGATAATTACTTTTTGTTTCCACAGACATGTCTGGCAGTACAAGATCTTGCTGTTGCACATATATTCATATATCGGTGCTCTTCCGCTTGCATTTGAACGGTATTCATAACTCTCAGCTTTACTTGTTTTTTCCTGGAAAAGAAAAACCCTTCTTAAACTCGTTGTGCTGAATTTCCTGTTTATCTTCTGTTAGGTATAAAGCTCTTGATGTGAAGAACATCTTGACGGAAACGGTTTCACACCATATTCTACGGCAGATGTTAGAATCTCCCATGTGGGTGGACTTAAGTAGCCTCCTAAATGACTATCTCAAGTTTATGGATGATCATTTGAGAGAGTCGGCAGACCTTACATTTCTTGCTTACCGCCATAGAAATTACTCAAAAGTACACAATTTGAATTTTCTCCCAGAAATGTCACTATTTTATCTTCCTGTGAGCAACTGGCTACTGACTTGAGTCTTGACTTATCTGGATTACGTAATCTCAGGTTATCGAATTTGTCCTATTCAAACAACGATTGCAGCACTCAAACCAGTACCAAGCTGCGAGGGTTGAAGCATCTCTCTTGCAATTGAAGCAGAACGCAAACAGCATTGAGGAAGAAGAGGTAATTCATCCACATCCTTGTCGTATAAATTACTGTATGTCTATTTATTGGATCCTCTCATATATCTAATGATGTTGCCTGTATTGTTGTTGTCTAGCGCATTCTTGAAAACCTGAAATCTGGAGTTCAACTTGTGGAGCTGTCGAACGATATTGGATCCAAGACACTGAGGTTTAATGAAGATATGCAAACACGACCATGGTGGACACCTTGTCCTGAGAAAAACTATCTATTAGGTCAGTATTGTGTTTACATTTAGTAAGTTGTGTATGACCGTGGGCTTATTCTTAATATCAATCAATCAACATGTGTAGGTCCTTTTGAAGAAATTTCTTACTGTCCCAAAGAGAATGTGGTAAGTTTGTCTATATTACATTCATATTTTCTTATGGACGGACGCAATCTAATACTGTTTGTACTTGTTGGCTGTGTATAGAATCAAGATCGTGAAGAAAACGTGAAACGAGCCATCCAGAAAAAATGCCTTCTACCTCGGATAATATATCTCTCTATTCAGTGCTCGTCAACGGCATTAAAGGAGAGTGTTGAAACCAACGGGTCTGGAAGTGACCTCAAAATCTGCGGAGAACTTAAGCTTTTACTGGAGGAATACGCAAAATTGTTGGGAAGTTCTCTCAGTGACGCTGTAGATATGATCACACAGATCTCACAGGGTGCAAGGAGTTCCGAGGTTAGTTTTTCTACTTCTCTCTTTCGACCTGCCTTCATCGCAACTGATCTTAGTATTATTAACCTTGTTGGACCATCTCTGCAGAGCCTCGGTTCAGATTTGATGGACTGGTTGAATTTCGCCGTGTTTTGGAACGCTTGGAGCCTGAGTTCTCACGAGCATTGGCATATGTTGGACTTGCTATTTGAGAAGCTTATTCAGGAGAGAATCAGATCAATTGGATCTTCGAAAATGAGTTCTTGCTATTCTGATGTCCAGGTCTTGGTTCAGATCATTACCGAACCGTTGGCGTGGCACGGTCTTATAATTCAGTCCTGCACCCGGTCGTCTCTCCCATCCGGGAAAAAGAAGAAGAAAACTCAACATTCAGATCATTTAGCTTCCTCTCCTATGTCTCAAGCGATCAAAGATTCTGTACAGTCCTTATGCAGCACATTACAAGAAGTTTCTAACTGGCTGCTGAGTCAAATGAACAACCCAGAAGTTGATCAGTTGGAGAGATTTCTGTCAACGCTGAAGAGAAATGATGACGCAGGAGGAGGACCAGGACAGGTTCTTGCGGTTCTGGAGAGTTTCATCGCATCAAGCGAAGAATCAGAGGTTGGAAATCGCATCTTCGAAGCACTGAAATCATGGAATACGGCAGATGCAGCACGTAAAACAGTCATGGCGCAAGAGAGAGTCCTCCGTGAGTTTCTCCAGATCTGTGAATCTAAGAGAAAGCTACTGGAAACGCTGAAACAGCAGATGTCCCACATTTGATCTCTCAATCATGGCAACGAATAGAACAAAAGCGCATCCCACATAAGCAGCAATTGTAGCCTGCAATGTATCCACAGACTGTGCAGAAATGTCGACGAGAAGACGAAGTCGGAGGTCCAACAGCTGCTTTCAAGTAAGTGGGCACATGCGACGGCAAAGATTCCAGATTTGCCTAAAAGAGATTTGATAATTAGAAACGAAAGCTTTTCTGCAGAAAGAATGAAACAAAAGAGTTAATTACCTCTTGCAAGAGCTCAGTGAAGGATTTAGGAGCTTTACGAGCCTCCAAAGCTTTTGCTTGTCGAGTTTTACGCTTTGATCCCTTGTGTTGCTTCTTCTGTGCGTATCCTGCAATAACCAAAACATGATTAAACTACAACTGCAGATCACAGAGATATTACATATACGTCAGTGTAAAAAAAGATTTATTCACCGAGATCATCGTCTTCATCGAGAGAAGCTTCTTCATCATCGTTCATATCCACCACCTCGATGGCTCCATTGTCATTCTCTAAAGCTTCAAGCCGAGCTATAGCGGCCTGGAATTAACAATTCGAAAGACGATTTCAAGTTCTCCGACGTAAAATCGAAAAATGATTTCGAAATCAACAGCACACCTGTGTTCGATTGTCGGTGCTCGTAAGAGCTGCCGCCATCTTCGTAGCAACCTTACGAGTCCGACTCGACACTCGGCGATTCGACATCTCATCCTCCATTGCAGAAACTATTCAGATTACCGGCGACGATGGAAGCGCACCGGCGGTAGAATGGAATCCGGCGTATTCGCGTGAAAACGACGGCGTTAACTCTTTTAGCGTTTTAGGTATCATTTCTCACTAATAGTCTGAATTTACTAATGGCCCATTGGGCCTTTTACTTTAGCAATTAGAAAGCCTTACTTTTCTTCATCTTTCTTTAAGTGCAAGAAAGAACAGAAAGAACATAGTGAAATGATGAAACATAATCGTCTGATTAAGCTGCTTCTATACTGGAGTTTATTAGCTAGTACATGAATTTGGATACAAATTAAATAATTAAAAAGAGCAAAATTTTCTAATCCCAAAAATACAGATTGTACAACTCGGAATTTTTCAAATTAAAAGAAGCCTAACAAATTAAGAAAATAGTAACTAATTAATCATGGGTTGTGACATGCCCATGCGGACAATAATTTTCTGTAATCAAACTTGCCGTTCAAGAAACCATCACCACCCTTCTGATTCCTTACTTGTTGCTGCACTACCAACACCGAGCCCTCCGAGGCAAAGACGCTCCCAGCCACGGTGTCTCCGATGACTCCAAGCTGGTGGTCCTCGCTCCACGTGGACAACCCTTCTAGAATCTTTGGATTGATCCCTTCTCTCCTCCCGGTTATCCACAGATCATAGTCGTTGACATTCATTGCTTGGATCGCAGCCAGAGTCTCCGCACCGTTCTTCACCACAACCTCTTTGTAACTAACTCTATCCTTGCCTTCGTTCTTGACCCAAAACCACGTCACCACCCCATCGTCCAGCTTCTTCTCCCTCTCGTCCTCTCCTTCGTGGTTGTAAGACAAGAACCTGATCACCGTCAAAATGATGTCCGGGTTCGCCGTCATCCTGTCGGCCAGGTGCAGAGCTTCTCTGTTATCAGCTCCTCCTAGAAACAAAACCACAAAACGGTACGTCTCTTGCCTCGCCCGGCTCGAGTGGGTTGATGAATGTTGCTGCTCAACCGAGGACCGAACCAAGGCGTTTCTAAGCCGTCCCTTGTCATAATAAATACATACAGAGCAAGGCGTGTGCGCCAAGACATCGGCGTTCACAGACAGCATGCCGGAGTCACGTAGCTCGGTTGGTGCATCGTCATCAAGACGCTCCTGCTGATAAGGTAAGAGAATGAAAGCTGTTTTCTTGGTTAAGGCCAGCTCGCAAATGTCTTGGTACATTAGACGCTTCGGAGCATGAGCAGTGTAGGCACGAAGCGTCACACACTCATTTCTTTTCTCTTGGTACAACCTAAAGGCGCTTTGCACCTGATCTACTCGCCCGCTCGCTGTATGATGTTCACGTTCTTCTTCTTCCTCGTCGTCGTCTTCATCCTCTTCCTCTCTTTTCCGCTCGTGGTCAACAAACAACGGCGTGGCTCGCCCCATTAGCTCCACCAGCTGGACGGCGTATACATGTAAAGGACTACTTGTAGTGGGATAGGCGAGGTCGAGGAAGGTGATCAAACCAGACAAGGCTTCGTGGTCGGATACAGCAAGAACAAGACCCATCTCGGTGGACGGGGGAGTGTGCTGGATGGTGCGGTGCTTGCTGATCCTGTAAGGTCGATTTGGATCGTAGAGGAAGCTGATGAGTGGCGTTGATATACCTGTGACCACAATCGTATTCAAGATCAAGACAGTGAAACCGGATAAACCGACGATACGTTTGTCGATCCAATGCAAGTAGAGCAAGAGATCGATCTGGCCTCTCAGATTCATCATGAGACCAAGCGTGAGACTGTCTCTGGTCGGGACTTTGAAGAAGAGAGCCGCGGACACGGTGGCGATAAACTTGGTGATGAGGCCAACGATGATCATGTAGAAGAGTGGAGAGAGCTGTTGCGTCCAAGCCCTCTGGCTAACTAAGTGGACATTGGTGTTGAGTCCCACCAAACCAAAAGTGAAAGGCAATAACAATTCATGGATGAATGTTTCGCTCCGAATAGCTAACGTGGAACTCAAGGGTGGTCCTTGAGGAACAAGCAACCCTAGCCAAATGGCTCCAACACCTATAGACAAACCGAGCATGTCCGTTACGAAACAAGCGACAAGGACACCCAAGAGAATGAGGACGATGTAGTTCTGGTCCACGAGTTTTCCTTCTGGCGTTTGAGCGACCACCCACAAAAAGGCACGTCTCACAACCAAAACCATGAAAGTGGTCAAGATGGCCGCCGACACAAGGTACCAGATTACGGCGTAGGATCCTCCTTCGTCACCTTGCATCAGGCACTCGAGTACAATAAGCACGACGAGCGCTGCCATGTCTCCAAGGAGAGCCACCGACATGGCGAACTTCCCCACCTCCGAGTTGAGAAGGTTCATGTCTTTTAAGATGGTGTAGATGACAGGGAAAGAGCTGAACGCCAAGCCAAAAGCAATCCCTCCAATGGACGACATCTTCTGCATGTTTTTCTCCATCTGGTCTCGCATGGCCATCCCCGTGGCCCCAACGCAGATCATCGGGACCATAACGCCGATGGTAGCAATGTACTTGTGTTTTCTTGGTGCCTTTGCGATGGCTGCAACGTCGGTCTTGGCCGCAGTGAGGAAGAAGAAGTAAAAGAATCCCATCAGTCCCAAGTTTGCACATAAGTAATTCGCAATCGGTGGGAACAAGTAGTAATTGAAATTCCGGCTTCCTCCAAGCATCGATGGTCCTACCATCATACCACCCTTCGAAAAAAAAAACACAACAAAGCATTTTATTTTCTTTGTTTCTATATATTTCTAAATCAAGATATAATGAAGGAATAAAAGATGAGTGACTAACAATGATCTCGCAGACGATACGAGGTTGACGTAGAGGTCGAAGGAGGTAACAAAAGAATTTGATGAAGAAAATGATGACAACTGCTTCCATCAAGAAGGTGGAAAATGCGTAATTCATCGCATTTTCGCCTCTGAACATTCGGAACGGTTGCTTACTATGGATCTGTCGGCATACCACCGGAAGTCTGGATGAAAATACTCCAGTAATGACCTCACCGGCTTCGTTTGGGGTCCCCGGCGAGAACCCAAAGTGGGTTGGCAAGGCTCTATGATCATTGTTGGGGAAATACCTAACCATGCAAACTGTTTTCTCAGATCAGGATTTGTTTTACATAAAGCAAAACGGTAATGATCATCGATAGAGAGAGAAGACGATTTCTTTTTGCTAAACATAGAGAGAAAAGACAATGATCCAATACTGATGTTTTTTGTTTTTCAGTAGATGTGGACGTGCATCATTTTGGGAACAATTTACGTTTTCGTTTACTCTTCATTATTTATTTTTATTTCTTCTCATTATGATTTTTTTTTGCATGAAAAAACTATTTATAGTTTTCTTTGTATACATTTTCAAAGAACTATTTATAGTTTTCTTTTATTTGTTTAATCGAAATATGTTTATACTTTATCAAAGAAAAGAGAAAGATGTTTATACTCTTCAAATCAAGATATGTTTGTTCATATGTTTATTTTTATTTCTTCTCATTATGATTTTTTTTTGCATGAAAAAACTATTTATAGTTTTCTTTGTATACATTTTCAAAGAACTATTTATAGTTTTCTTTTATTTGTTTAATCGAAATATGTTTATACTTTATCAAAGAAAAGAGAAAGATGTTTATACTCTTCAAATCAAGATATGTTTGTTCATATGAAATGTAGTCAAGATATGAGAAACTAGAACAGAAATATGGGAATAGATACCACCGATATTAAGTTCTTATATATAAGATTATGTACAACATTTCATGGTGAATGGTACAATAAATTTCACATTCGACGTCAAATATGTCGGAAAATTACAATGTCACCTCATAATCCTTAAGTTATGAGAATTTAGTTGCTAAAATATCCACACACAAAAAAAAAAAAAAAAATGATGGATGGATTTATTAGCAATAACATGGGGACCGTGACGTGCAACATACGGCCGTGGTAGTTGGCTCACACATACGGCCGTGGTAGTTTCCTCATCTCATTATCTCTCTCGCATGAGATTGGTTTGCGTGAAGACTGAAGACGATACCGGACCTTTTTTTAATAAAAAAAAGAGATTGGTTATACGTAAAAATCATACAGAAGTATACTTGTTTTCTCTAATCGTTTTTATTTTCCTAATAATTATACATGCACTTGTAAACTAAAGTAAGTCAATTTTCCAAACATCCTCCTTTACTACTTAGAGAAAAAATCACATTTCATTGACCTTAATTAATGTATACATAAAAAAGATAAACTAAAACTATTTTTATTTTTCATTACATTAAAAATGTTTATAAAAAGAATTGAGACGGAGATACAATGAAATGGAGAGATTTCTTTTGTGGACAAAATATCTATTTATTGTAACGTCACTCAACAATAGTCACAAAAATATGCTGAATTCAAAGAGAGATGGAGTTCCATCTACATCCAATATTGAATGCGACACCGCTTTTTGCGTTCTTCCACATGTTTCAATTATTTCATTTATCTTTGGAATCATTTTCATTAGGCATTGAACATTTATTTCATTTATCTACTACATATATTATGGTTTTCGCGTTCACTTGGAGCCGTGCTGGGTTTGCGCCGTGTAGAAAATAAAACTTGCCCTACGTACCAAAACCCGGTATCGTATAAAATACTATCTTAGTCATCGGTCGCACTACTTACACTATATATAGACGTATATTATTTATATATATAGCCAAGACAAATAAGTGTACTATGGTCCAACACTAACCTATAAGTTTAACAGAAAGTAAAATTCACAAATATAGTACTATAATTTAGTTTAATCAGTGGTTAACGCTCTCCACCATTCGCCCTACAAATAATGCTATGTATCTAACTATCTATGTATAGATACATTAATTATATAAAAAAATTATATACCTTCTCTGACCTCCCTATTTTTGAGTAAATACTAGTAGAAGAAAGGAAAACATTTATTGTGGGTATGGGAATGCATTAACACTGCTGAAATATTATTAAATTGGTACATTATTACGGACACTTGAGCTATAAATTCAGCAATGTCATCCTGATCCAAGGTCAAGCACTCAAGCTCCTCTCTTATATACGCACATATGTACTTTCAAACATATCTATATAACATAGATTAAATACATGTAGAGGAAGAAGCATATGCATGCAAAATCTCAGGTGGAATAGTAGAGAAGTAGCTGTAAAGCTCAGGAGGGATAGCGCCATGACTCACAAAAGTACATATATGTTTGTATATATTGGCGCTATCCATCCTGAGTTCCATGGCTTCTTCTTGCTTATGTGTATTTCCACTTGCATTCCCGGCTTCGTTGAGCATTTCTACATATGTATCGGGTAAGGTTGACGTTAATCATTTGCGTGTAATATTTAAGTTTTTTTGTTTAGCTAAAGAGGATGGACACGTCAAATTACAGCTATATATGATCTTACAAAAATTTGGATTTTAATTTGATGATGTTTAGCAAACACATTTGGATAGTTGGACTAAAGTTTAGAAGTCTTACAAATTTAAACAGTCATCCACTTAGATAAAATTATACTGTTACAAGTTGAAAATTGTAGGATATGTACTGATTCCTAATTACAGTCCACCACTTTTCTGTATGTCGTCCGATTTCGGGCCCAATGTGCGTGTGTGTGAGAGAGAGACAGCCAGTAACATCGCCATGTGGTAGATAAAGCCAGAGAGCGATTGAACCGGTAAACATACACCGGTCCGAAACCGAATTTGTCAAAATTGAAAAAAAAAAAAAAAATCACGAAATTCCATAATTGCTTGGTCTTTTACGCCTGCCGAAGTAATAATTAGAGAAGAATCCATACGTTCTACAGAACGTTTCAGTTGTTTTTCCTCGTCTTTTGTTCTGAATTCCGGAATCAATCCTTTATGCTCATTTCAGAAAAAGTTGCATTTAACTTCAAGCTCAAAGGTTATATATAGAAGGAAAAATCCAAAAGAAAAACTTCTTTAACCAAGTGAAACTCGATGTAATTAGTGCAGAAAACAAATATTTTTAAAACCAAATAATTGGTGACTAAACAAAAATGATATTTCGAGTGAACCTTACAAATTCAATGTTAACTTTATGGAAATCTCAAAAAACATCCTCGTATTCTTTCGGAACGAAATGTCAATATAGGAGTTACAAAACCGGTCTACTAGATCCAATTCAGACACCAACAACAAGATTAAAGACACCCTTCTCTCCAAGGTTTGAGATCTCAAAACTGAACTAAACTATGTATTAACCTAAAAACGCTACTAGCTATAGCCTCTCCACAAACAAGCTATGCCGTTTCTCGTGGAACTTATGTTGCTATAAAAAAAAGAGAGAAAATAATAACTCTGCGAATTGTAAAGAGTAATGTGTTTCTTCCCTAAATGAGTGCATATTACAAGTTGAATTATATGACTGGCTTGTTTGAATAAGAACAGAGTCAAAAAGAAGAGAAGGAGACAACAAAGGGAGTATTGCTGTAGAAAGGGGAAGTTAATCAAGATGAATGCACTCACCTGAAATCATCATGAACCCTACTTTACCCACCAATTTGCAATGCATTTTGGAGTTAATTATCCACTTCCTTCTATAAAACCAAAAACAAAAACATTTCACATTGTGAAAAAACAGGAACAGTACATTCATAAATAATAGATCCCCAAAGCAAGCAAGAATATGAAACTAAGGAGGAAAAGAGGTAATTTGCTCAAGGACGAAGTGAACAAAACCTACCTCTTTTTTTGTATCTCCAATTTGATGATTCATAGTAACATTTTTTTCCCATCAACGCAACATTTTACTTAAAAATCCCCCCCTCTCAACACAAAAAAAAACTCTTATAACACATTAAGGCTGCTTCATTCACTCTTCTCTTTCACTCAATATGGACGAGGTCGGTTTCCTCCATGATGGTTTCTGTCTGGTCCTGAACCATAGTTATCTCTTCTTCTGTCTCCCCCACCACCATAGCCACCCCCTCCTCCTCTACCACCGCCTCTGCAACATCCACACATTTAGCAAGGAAAAAACATTATTTAAACCAGCTTACTGCTGAAGATGAAAAGACTCGAACAAACCAATGGCGAGTGTTAAAAAGCATGGAAGACCAACTTAAGATGAACTTATATGGGGAACTACTAGAACGTACTATCCTTAAAAGAAGCATGAACATATAAATCCCTCTTCACAAACCAAAAGCAACCAGAGCTTAAAAGTTACAAGATATGTTTAACTATACAGGCCCTTACAGTTAGCATAGCAAAAATTACACTGCTACATGTCTAAAACAACTAGAGGAAAACCAATGTAACGGAGTAGTGGTGACAGATAATGTAAACTGTAAAGTGCTGATAAAGAATCAAGACAACTACCTTTGGTCGAAGGCAGGAGGACGAGGCGCAGACTTCGCTGCCATGGTTACACTAATCTTGTTCCCCCTCATTTCATAATCTACAGAACAATCCACCATCATCATTAATCTATCAGAACTTTTAAGTAATTTTAAATCTAGACAGCAATTCAATGGTGACATCAAACATACTGTTGAAAAAGGTGCCTGCAGAGTGTGCAGCGCTAGGATCTTCATAAGCCAGAGCCGCGTCACCTTTATTGTTTCCCTTCTCGTCAGTGTAAATCTTAATATTATAGGGCCACTGATCTTTGTATCCCCGCTTCTGCTTGATTCTTCCAACCTATAATACATTCAACAGGAAGTACTCAGCACACCGATAAACAATAACACAAACAAGAATCCATGGCAGGGAAAAACTTAAAACCAAGAAGTCATAAACACAACAGAAATAAAAAAGACCAGTGTTATTACTTGGCCAATGCCACCAAAGAGATCCTTGAGTTCATCAGTGGTCACATCCGGAGGCAAATTAGAGATGTATATTCTGGCATTATCACAAGTATCACCACAGTCCGCATCGCACTGCTTGACTTTCTCAGCAGGTGCATCTTCATAACTGGCTTCCTGGCGACGAGGAGCATCATAGCCACCACTCCTACCACTATCACTTCTACCACCCCGACCACCAGCGCTCGGTGCATCACCGCCATATCCCCCTGCGGGACCACCATACGACGGTGGCCCACCAGCATAGCTTGAAGGCGGAGGAACTGCCTCCATTCCATACCCTGAGGGTGGAGGGTAACTTCCAGAACCATCGTACGACGGAATAGGAGCAAGAGGAGGAGCCTGACCATACGAACCATTGTCTCTCTGCTGACCACCACTGCTCCTACTGCCACCATCATATCTACTACTCTCATAGCTCCTACCACTATCACTTCTACCTCCACGACCACCCCCACGGTCTCCGCCACGGTCACTGGAACCTCCACCTCGGCTATACCCGCCACCTCCTCGATCACCAGTTCCAGCACCAGCACCAGAAGGAGAAGGTGCACCACACTTGTTACATTCAACTCTCCTTGCAAAGTTCACGTTCCCACAGCTATATATACAAACAGTTTCCAGGGTAAACTACTTCAACACATACTTCCAGAGAATCCAATTTCAATACTTAGGCAAGAAAGAAAAGATCCTAGCTAAACCAAAGGTTAATGCAATCAATTACCTCGGGTTAGGACAACGCCAATCTCCATCTCTTCCTCCACCATCTCTACCACCACCACCTCTCCCGCCACCACCTCCTCCTCTTCCACCGCGATCCCCTCCTTGGTATCCACCACCTCCACCGCCTGAATCGAATCAAATCAGTAACAGGTGGTGAGAAAGTAATTAACAAAAGAAACCAAGCAAGGAACGGAGAAATCAAAAGAACCATAAGGACAAATCGATCAGATCTGGACCAATCGAAATTACATACCACGATTTCCTCTTCCGCCGCCGCCACCATAACCACCGCGTCCGCCGTATCCATCTCCGCCAGCGCCACCGCGTCCGCCGTATCCACCTCCGCCTCCATAACCTCCACCTCCACCGTATCCATCACCACCGTACGACGGGATAGGCGCACCTCCGCCGCCGTCTTGATTGTACATCCCAGCCATGACCTAGGGTTTGCGATAGACAACAGGCCAAACACTTGAGCTAAATTGTTTGTGAGCTTATTAGACGCCAAAAAAAATGTCGCGTGATGGTATTTATATTTCTCGCACAAATAGAGACCAAAATAATATCTTCCAATTGCATTCATTCACCTTAAATTTTTAACATCTTTGATCTCTTTACCGACCGGCGTCCAGAACATACTACACGACGCCATCCCCAAGGCCCATTATTATTTAACCGTATTGAAGCCCAGCCCAATAGCAGATCTAGTGAAGTGTCAAGTCAAGTTATGTCGTTCCGTAGTGGACACGTGACATTACTCGATTTTCGAGTTTCAAACAGCCAGAGAGACAGAGAGTTGTACTTTCATTGTTCCACAAATAGTCAAGTTCTTTTATTGCATGGGTTGTATTTAAATATTCTTTTTTTGGTAAAAGTTATTTAAATATTTTTATATTTTTTTCATATCTTGTGGTAATCATTAGAGAGTGGAGAGTGTGTCTGAAAAAGAAATTGTCTGAAACTCGAGAGAGAAAGAGCGCTCTAATCAATCACACCAATGTCGATGGATCGACAAGTAGTTTGCGTCACCGGCGCCAGTGGCTGCATCGGCTCGTGGCTCGTCCACCTGCTCCTCCAGCGAGGCTACTCTGTTCACGCCACCGTGAAAAACCTCCGTAATCTTTTCGAATTCTTCTCGTCGATCACGACTCCGGTAACCGTAGCTCCGTCTAATCACCATGATCTCTGTTAAATTTCTGTTGCAGAGGACGAGAAAGAGACAAAGCATCTGGAAGCCATTGAAGGTGCGTCGACGCGCCTCCACCTATTCGAAATGGATCTCCTGCAATACGACACCGTTTCCGCCGCCGTCGACGGATGTGACGGCGTATTCCATCTAGCATCGCCCTGTATCGTCGACGAAGTCAAAGATCCACAGGTCCCAAAATCAATCCTTTACTCGGACCGATCGATGATGACTATAGACTATAGTTCACTTCATATGTGTCTTATTTATGTGTTCACAGAAGCAACTACTTGACCCGGCGGTTAAGGGGACCCTAAACGTACTGACGGCGGCGAAAGAAGCCGGCGTGAAGAGGGTTGTGGTGACGTCATCCATATCGGCGATAACTCCAAGCCCCAACTGGCCTTCCGATAAGATCAAGAACGAGGAATGTTGGGCTGATCAAGACTACTGCAAGCAAAATGGAGTATGTTTTCTCTAACTACAGATCTCTACAGAGAACATGTTCTTGATTGATCTTATAGAGTATGATTCTTGTGTTGTTGGATTAGCTGTGGTATCCACTGTCGAAGACGCTTGCTGAGAAGGCAGCTTGGGAGTTTGCAGAGGAGAAAGGACTGGATGTGGTTGTGGTGAATCCAGGCACCGTCATGGGACCTGTTATTCCTCCGTCGCTTAACGCAAGCATGCTCATGCTTCTACGCCTCCTTGAGGGTATTTTTCTTCTTCTTTGACGCTTCTTGTTTATGTTCCATTGGAACGTAATGTAATTTGCATAGAGGTGAATGCATAGGGTGCACAGAGACGTACGAGAACTTCTTCATGGGTTCTGTGCATTTCAAGGACGTGGCGTTAGCCCATATTCTTGTCTACGAGAACCCATCTGCGAAAGGAAGGCATTTGTGCGTGGAAGCCATCTCTCACTACGGTGATTTGGTAGCTAAAGTCGCTGAGCTCTATCCCAATTACAATGTCCCCAAGTAAGAAAGTCATAAACTCTCTTTCAAATGCGCATTATGTGTAATAGAGCTTTTAGTAATCTGCATTGGGGAAATCTGTCTTAGGTTACCGAGGGAGACTCAACCGGGCTTACTTCGAGCCAAGGACGCAGCTAAGAAGCTTATGGACTTGGGGTTAGAGTTCAGTCCCATGGAAGAAATCATCAAGGAAGGTGTGGAGAGTCTCAAAAGCAAAGGATTTTTATCTCTTAGCTTACTTGCTTGATTGAGCAATGAAACAGAATATGGAGGCAGCAAAATCATTTCATATGATATTAGATTTTGCAATATGTAATGAATAAGGTCTACTTTGTAATGAAGATCCTGACTAATTTAATTATTGTGTGAAACTGTGTGAATATATCAGCTCAAAGATTCTTAAAACGAGTACTATGGCCCTGTGTTGTAAGACGCAGTTTTAAGTGCATTGTGTTTGCTTTATATTAATTTGGTGTTGCCTTTTGTACAAGAAGTCGATATGTCCGAGCGGTTAAGGAGATTGACTCGAAATCAATTGGGCTTTGCCCGCGCAGGTTCGAATCCTGCTGTCGACGATTCCTATTTTTTATTTTACCATTTTTCTTCTGTTTTTAAAATACACACGAGGACAAACGATTATGTCCGTAAACTCGTAAAGGGCATCACCTACCTGAGTGACAAGTGTAGACTGTGTAGTATAGTGTGGTTTTTGTTTTCTCGCATTTCGCTGGTTCTTTGTTTTTGTTTTGTTTGTCTTTCTGTTAAGAACGTGTTATGAGTTTAAGATCTATGAAATGGTGAAGATATATGTGTATTGGGTACCAAGGGAATTAATGCTAGGTTGGCAAGTAGTCCTTTTCAAATTTTAACTTATATAATTTTTAGAGACCACCCACTATTATCATTTATTTTTGCTATTTCTAAGATGTAAATGGATCTTAAGCTTGTACCACTATTCCTCTTTTGTAATCATGTTTCTTTTGACAAGTATTTATAGGCTAAGTGTACCTATACCTAATCTTCTATTTCTCAGGTAAAACTGAATACAGTTCACATGTCTATTCACATGTCTATGTCTGTCAAATGTAAATAGTTTTCTAAATCGAAACAAATATGAAGGGACTTCAAATATTATCCAGTCGTTGAATTTGTAAAGAAGAAAACAAAATAAAGTGAAAGTAAGAAAATGATGATGATCATCATCAATTCATCATCATTAAAGCTTTAAAAAGAAAGCACCTGAAGATTTGTGACTTGTGAGAAGAAGATTCGTGACTTGTGAGAGAAACCATAACTCACGTGAGACCTATGACTTCGTACGTGCACACATCACAATTATACACTTTCGTACTGATCGATCAATCAATCACGATGAGAAATAAGTGACCATTGTAGATAACTAAACATAATTGAACATCTTATAAATAATCGGTGATCTTATATAAGATCTTATAAATAATCGGTGATCGTCTTTTCCATATATAAGATCTTATAAATAATCGGTGATCGTCTTTTCCATCTATACAATTGAACATCTAAAATAACAAAATATATAATTTTTATATGTAGGAACTTATATTAGAGAGTAAAAAACTCAAGAATTACTATACCATAGTTTTCTCTTAGATTAAGCATTTGCTATGTGGAATATTGCCGAATCGCCCTACTATACGGCGGTTGCAGCGGTAACGACCAAAGCAGCACCACCACTTCCTCCGGCGTCGGCTCCATCACCGGCGGTTGGAGTTGTCGCGGAGGTAGAAGGCCGTTTCCGTTTTTTCTTGTCGTAAGGAATCCCTCGAGCCTTGGCCTGAGTTTCACGGACTTCCTTAAGATAGATCCTAACGGCCTTGGCAGCAAAAGGGTTTGACTCGGGAAGACCACCGCCGATTTCCTCGAACGCAGCCCTGAGACGACCGATGAGAGCGTCGAGGCTTCCCCAAGCTTGCCTAAGAGGGCAAGTGCACTGAGCCGGTGGGTTAGGCTCTCCGAAGAAGGGACAAGCCACCACGTGGACTTTGGTCTTACCAAACTGGTCGAGGTACTTAAGGAACTCGATGACGTGTGCGCCACTGCAACGAGACAGACTCAGAGGTGGTTTGTGGTTCTTTAGATACTGAAGGAAAGTGTTCCAGTCTCGTCTCTTCTGCGACTCGTAACGGCTCGGGGACGAGGAGGAACTAGCGGCTGCCTTCGCTACGGTTTCTCCCTCCATCTATGATTCTATGTATGTGAAGAGGTTCTTTGGATATTAGGGTTCTTGATTTTGTTTGTGAGGCTTTGTGTGTGTGTGTGTGCGCGCGCCTTGTGCCTAAGAGAGAAAGAGGAAAGAGAGACAAAGAGAGGATGAGATTTAATTTATGTTCAGTCACAAGTCACAAGCAACAAGTTGGATTTGATTATTCATATTGCAGTTTCTCACCTTTATTTATGTCCCATCATCATATTTCTTTCTCTCCGAAACAAAAAAAGGAGAAAATGGAAAATGAGATGCATCTAATTTCTATTGCCCACTGTGTTTTAGCTTTCACTTTTATCTCTTTATATATGAGTATTATTTGTTTTTATGAGTCGTGATCTTGTTTAATAAGGAATCATATAATTTATCTATTTGGATTAAGAAAACAAATGAATATAAGTGTCGGCAAAACTTAAGGATTAATAATAGCAATTTACATGATTATAGAAAAGATTGTAGTATAATTTTTTGAATGGATATCCGTTTAGATCTTGTTAAAATGTCATACGACACTGAAGCTGTGTTCCTTTAAAAGTAAAAACTATTTAACAGCAAAGAGAGTTTCATATGACCCTTGTAAATCTTGATTAGTCTCTGCATATATACGAATTACATACATAAGTACTGAGTACTGACACTATAGTTTTTCTCACATACATTTTGATCACTACACATATGTTTCATCTCTTGCATTGAACGAACTTATATATGTAATGTTTTTCGCAATCGACATTTCTAATATGCACCCCTAAAAAATTAACATATGGATGATAAATAATCACGGCCGTAAGTGCTATTTTTTAGGGGAGTTAAGTTAACGACGTTAAGGTGACTACCATTCAAAAGCTCTATAGTCGGTACCACCCGTGATTCATTTGATTTAATCATTTATATATATATAAATTTTATGTATCTTGTTGATACATCAAATCATATCAATAGATCGTCGGTCCATTATTTATTCCATAATAGGAAATGCAAAATTATCCTTTTATTGAGTTTCATTGGAAACTAGTTAATTTTATTTTGTCATGTTCACTCATTGAAGTTAATAGTTTGCTGATTAGTAGCTGTTGCCAAAGGTTGTAACTAAATGTGCATGCTGCTTAATTAGTGCTTTATTGACGGCATGTATAATTTATTGTTTTTGTTTATTTAGAAAGGATGTAATCTCTCGTTTTCATTGTGTCTTAATCTGAAGAGTATCAATATTAACACTTTAGTTCACAATCACACTTATTAACAAAACCTATGATTAATGGATCACCAACTAGTCAGTTGCCATAGAGAAAGATCTACCCTGTAAATTCTGCTAGCTAAATTCTCAGCTCATGTTTATCAGAATTTCAACTAAACATTCTCAAAATTAATAAGAAAGCGTGGAATAAAAGTGTAGGAAATTATGGAATCGCAATAAAAATTGGTTTGTATTATATATGCAATGACTCATGGGGTTGGCTTTCATAGAATTTAAAAATGAAAAAGAGAAAAGAAATGGTGAGGAGTTGGTAGTGGGTCAAGAATCGATGAAGAAAGGTATTGGCCATTAATTTCTAATAGTCTAATCCACGCAATTGCATCACTTTCACTTAACATTCATTATTATGTTTAGTGCTTAGTCTCGTTCTAATATACGTTCATGCTTTTCACTCTAAAGTAACATGTATACGACTTATCATACTAATTATATTGGCTAATGTATCCACGCTTTTTTCATCCTAAAGTAATAAGTATACGACGTATCATACTAAGATATACTCCGATGGTTGTTGCTATCATATGGATTCATTTAAAGAATATGGATTTATAATGACCACAGAGTGACCAACATTAGGTGAAAATAGTAAAGCATATATGAAAGGGAAAAAAGGTAAATTAAGAGGTACCTGTTAGACAGATACTAATTTGTAATTATCGGATCGAAGACTGATAAAAAACGGAGCCATATGCTTCTATCATCTTTGATGTGTATGGCCAACCAAATAAATAAATGGTGTACTCTATCTCTTATTTGCTTAGAGAGGCATGATTATAATTATCAGGTTCATGTCAAACATGGCAATTATTTAATTAAAGCCCCTACCACAGAACTCAATTCATTCATTATCATTTCTTGTATTCATCCAATCATCAAATTTAGAATAAAAACGTCATATCTACCAATACTAACAATAATATGTAGGTATATATATCATCAGTTTGATAAAAATACATTTATATATACTTCACCATCTTAGTAGCATGATTTGTTTTCTTCTTATCTCATTTGAATCTACATTCATAAATTGCGTACGAGAAAAGAATAAAAAAGAGATTGATCTCATCTTAAGCTATGCTAACTTAATTTAGTTTATTTGTATAGCTTAATACAATACATTATCTTTTTTTCTTTTGCACAAAGAATTTCTAAAGACCACACAATCTAAGGCTTCTAGAAAGATAGCAGCATAACATGATTACACTTCATATTGCAAAAGTAACAAAACTATAATCTTCTTTTGTCTTATTTAAAGATTTGGTTGCGTGTTTCATCTTAAGCATGACCCTGGAAATTGGATATATAACTGAATCTTCCGATGATACATAACAGTATAAAACGTAACAGAAGATTTAAACCATATTAACAAATCGACATGTTCTCACTGTTTTGAGGACCTTGTCCCAAGAAAGACACAGAGTCGTAGGAAAAGTTAAGAAATACACAAATCAATCGATTAACGTAAAAAATATCACACGTTCGCTTAATGTTATGGCATGTATACATGCATAGAATTTATATGAGAATGTTTGATTCATCCTCTGGGTTAATACACATCAAACAAAAATTTACGCTTGCAAATTTGTTCAAGCAGAAATTCATTTGCTAATTTTCTATTTAGAGAACAAATGATGTTACTTATATCGTACGGTTAAAATCAAAATGAAAAAGAATCAATCGCAGGAAGTAACAGAGAGTGCAACCCGGAGATCGTTAGATGTTCCAGAGACGTACATTCGGTGCGTCTCGATTTCTTCTCCTCTCCGGTCACTGGTGGCCGCCACGTCAGCGGCTGCGGCGTAATGGATTCCGTTGTTGACATCGTCTCCGGTGGAGAAAATGATCTCCCTGAGAATGGGTTCGTGTCCGTTTAGAAGATTTCCCATGCTCAACACTTTTCTCCATGACTGGTTCGCTGATGGAGGCGAGAACAGATTCGACACCACTTGTCTCTCTCTCAGAGTCACTTCCTGTCTACTTACTTCCATCTCCTGTGTTTCAGTTGACCAGACAGACACGTTAGTTACATCATCCAATAACTAAACATTTCCATCAGAGAGGTTCTCATGAACTCACCGTCCTGCTTTTGTTCTCTTCGTCATTTGAGTTTATTCCCATCAATGGAACATAAATGCCGTAGAATTCGCTGAATATTACTTGAGCAAGGCGTGATGCGTCCAGGAACTTTCTGTGAAGAGACGCCGCGACCGTTACCAACTTCTCGACGTGTTCAAAGACCACGCAGAGACGTCTCAGGTCTTTCACGGTCTCTGCTCTATCCGGAAGATTGTTGCCTGCATACGGATATTTGTTAATATAGAGACAAGAGGGCCCACAAGGACGATTTGTAAATAGTTAAGAAGAAAAACAATTATTACGTTGCAGACCCCCCAAAGTAGATTTGATGATGAAGTAGAGTTGCTCCAGTTTAGAGGTCATTTGTTTCATGTTCCCGTAGTTAGTCTGGTTAAGAGTGTCGGCTGATCCTCTGAAGGCTGTACATGCCATTTGCTCAAGAAGCTGATGTGGCCGCACTGTCTCCAGGTAGTGAAGAATCTGTGAATTTTGTCATGCATTCAGTTAACTAACTCCCAAGAGAATAATCTCAAAAAAAAAAAGACACGGCGGACCTTCTCTCCCTCTCGGTTTGGGTCTAGGAGAGGCTTTTGGTCATCAGCTTGCAAAGCGGGTGCATCGTGCCAACTTTTCCTCCACAGATTTCCTTGATCAGACATCCGTTGAGAAAGGCGGCCCTGAGGAGGCCATTGATCTGTCGAGCCTTCGGTGTTGGAAGCTGCAGATGGTTCAGTGGTTTTAGGTTCAAAGCTTTCCCAATCACCAGGTGAATGCCATCTGATAAAGTCTTCAAAGACAGCATCTGGGTTTGCTGCTTTGAACGCTGACATGTCTGCAATCGTAAGATCAGGAAAATAAGAAAGATGAAAAGAAGTGCGGGATGTATGGAAGATAGGTTTACAAAACTATATACTGCTACAGTTCCCTTTCAATAGACTCAAACTTATAAATAGAAGACATAGTGAGCAATTCTTCTCGGGTAATCATCTCTAGAAAACAGACAGGATACTAAATCTCACCAGATAATAAGATGTCTTTCTCCAACTGGCCAGGAACGTTCTGAAATACAAAGAGCAAAATGAGGTTTTTTATAGTCAAACACGAAGTGAGCTAAAAAGAAGCCATCAATCATATTTCTTCTCAGAAACGTTCTTAGTAGATAACCAAATCATATTCACTTCTACTGGCAAAGAAGTTGATCTTACAAGGGAATCACCAAACGCCTCAACAGCCTGGAGTCTTTCTTCATGCATGTCTTCAGTCATAAGAGGTGGATCCTGTCATAGCTCAGGAAATGTAAACTTTTTACCGACAACAGGAAACAGACCAAGTGTCAAGTCGAATACTAACCTGGGTAAATGGGGCATGGAGTCTCTGATGTGACTTCAGGAGCATCATGGTCCCCACTGGTCCAGCTGAACCCCTCCTCATAGCATATGTTGGGCTATGGTCCACAGAATTTGTGCTTTCAGTTTTTCTCTCAAATCTAAGTCGATTAGATGTATCTTCTGCAATTGAACTGTATCCAAGCAAAATGAATTTGAACTCTTAGCCTTGGTCAAGATTTCCTCTCTATGAGCTTTAACATTCAATCAAAATATGTCATCATTCAAATGGAAATAGAAGAAAAGAAGAAAGAATTTGTACTAAATAATGATATGCAATCAGGGTTTCATGCAATTAATAACGAGAACCTAAGAGCTCTCACTTGCTAAGTTCACCTGTCACGTTTCCTCTGCAGGTCTGCTTCTGAGGATGTATTTTTTCTCTTGTCGACCTTGGGGTGTTCCTGAGGATTGATTCAAAGAATGTCTCAAGCCAACAACAGAGAAGTACATCAACAACAAATGCACAAAACAGGAAGCCTTAGCCAATCACCTCCATAGAAACAGAAGCGTCTGAACTGTCTTCGCTTCCTATACAGTCTAGGAACTCTTCATTCATTTCACGCTTTTTTTCGATGCAGATTGCAAGCTGGTCAACAAAGAAGATGTTGTTAGCATCTACAAGAAATTTGACATTTCCGATTAAGGATATATAGGGGATCACCAGGTGCAACTTCTGGTTGATCAAACAAGTGGACAAATCAATAGAACCGTCGTTGGGCATTTTTGGCAACGGCTGTGTCTCTTCCCAACACCAACGAACTTCACGGACAAAGTCAATCCAGAGAAATGCAATGGCTAGAGATGGGATGCAGAAAAAGAAAAGGAAAATAGAATACGTCTATTAATCGGATATTTTCTTGCATTAGGCCACTGAAAATTTAATCCATTTTTTCTATAATGACGCATGGTCTACAGGCACATACCACGGATATTGCAGTTGCCAAACCACAGTGAGTGCAAACAGAACTGTGTAAACAGAGATTCAAGTGGTGCAGCCTTAAGAGCTCGAGAAAGTTTGTGTTCACCTTTAGTAAAATCTGGTAGCTTAGATCCTGCGAGATTAGATTCGAAAAGGTGAAACAATACCACATAACTGGATACAAAAAAATGCTTGGAACTCAAGGGATAGAATTTCAAATGCTCCGGGATGCAATTATTAAAATTCATGCATCGAGTTTTGGAAGGTTTCAAAGTGAACAATACTATATAGTAACCCGAACATTTGACCCATCAATGATTATCAATACTCAATGCTGTGTAAAAGAAACATCAGCTTATAACTATGCGACCATAGACACAGGTCGTATACTTGAATCTACGTCCACAAATAATAGAGTGGAAGCATACCCTCATGAAAGAGATCTTTAATCACCCGATCCAGAACTGTTTGAGGAGGTATGACCAGTGAGGTCTTCAAATTTTCAGAGCTTGGGTATTCCACTGGGAGATATTAAAAAAAAAGACACATTAGACAGTAGAAATGTCAGGAAAAGCTAATGCTGTATAAGAATATATAAACAGAAGGAAAATCGAAAATATGCTATAACTCAGTCCCTTATTAGTGAAAGTTTCTACATGTGTTTGAAACATGACGAAAATATATAAGCACACGAAATTGCACAGACCTGACACAAAATCCTCCATAAACTGAGCTGTGAAGGACATATCCAGTGCTTCAACCAAGCAAAGTAGTTGGGAAGCAAAATCAATTCTTTTTCCACGTGAAGGATCACCCCTGGTAAAACGATTTTTTATTATAAAACTAAAATGGAAAAATAATACACCACAACACATGCAAACTATTATTCTGTCCTAGAATGGGAAATTATGAGAACAATTTCTTACAGATATGGTGAGAGGATCGGGTGTAAAATCCACTTCTCAGCTTCATGGGGTGAAGCATTTTCAAGTTCAGCCATCTCCATTGTGTTTTCTACAGTCCTGTCATCCCATGTGACCACCAATTCGAATCCTGTGCATATCAGCCACAAAGTCAGATAACGAATTCCTCGAATCGCATATACCTACAGCAAAGACAGCCTTTGTTTGATGAACGATACATGATTGTCATCACACATCAATTATATCTCTGTGTATGTTGGAATACAGAGGTGTATAAAGACCAGCTAGTAAATTAGATAACTTAACTACTCTGTAAGACTGAGAGGTAATATACAAATTCCGTATTGTGTAGATTATAGTTCAAAAAGGTGAAACTTTATTCATACGGATTTACCTCTAAGTGGATCTTCAGCAGAGTACCACTCACTCCAAGGACAATCATCATCCCAATGCACTTTGTTGCGTGACTCAGAACCATGGTGTTCTGCATTGTCTGCTTTGTCATCCATTAGTTCATCCATATCATTTTCCTCATCCTCCTCGTCATATGGGAAGGTTTGGTATGTTAGCCTCATCCTAAAATGAACTCTGAAATTATGCATTGAGAAGTCCACTCCTGAATAAACCTTCAAATAAAAAAAACAGTTTTCGATAAATGCAATATCTAGCAAACAATTTAATCACGTTACAGAATAAGCCACGTTGGACCGGATCTCAAGTTAAGATTAAAAAATGTCTCCCCTACTTATGTCAAGCTTGACACAATTTGTATCAAGTACATACTGCAATATCTTATTAAGAACATTACGAGCAACTGAACTGGAAACCAGCTTTTCATCAGTTATGGCCTATGCTTGGTAAGTTTTCAATTCCGCTTGATGAGCAATAACCGTACTAATGAACATTACTAAACAGGTGCCACAAAGACTTACAAACTTAGAAATAAACAATTCATATAGTCCTTCCAGGTGCATGAGTTTCACAGGGACTTGACTACCAATACGGTCTGCTTCAAATCTTCTAGTAAATACAGTGCCCATATTCTGGATTCCAATATATGCTTTGCGTGAAGGGTCATGCACAGGGACAAAGGCTGGCCACAAGCTGCACACCAAAGCCGTATGAATTATCGAAAACAACTCAACCAAATATGCACCTCATAATCATCTACTTAGCATAAATCCTCAGGGATAACACATTTTAATCGACTTTGATATCCAAGACTTCAGAGTGATTGGTGACGATTTGGTATCAACTCACAGAAACAGTGAATTATAAGTGTTACACAAGACGATGCTAAAGCTAAAGTGGTTACTTGCTAAGACATCGTACCTGGCACAGTTAGACAAAGCAATAGCAACCGAACTCAGAAGCTTGCTAGACTCTGGTGAATCAAGAAGGACCCCACTGGCACTTTGTGGAGCAATCAACTAGAAGATGCAAGAATAATCAATAAAATATCCAATGTGTAAAAGGGCAGGAACTCTTTCAAGCAAAAATTGTGGATTTAAAGCGTACCAGAAAATCCTTCACCCCAAAGCAAAGCTGGAGATCATGTGAATTACTGTTCCAATTATCAATTCCAGCTGCATAAGTCAGATACAGAATCATGAAACAGAAAATGCAGTTTTTCCAACACAAAGCGTATAACCATGTAATCATATACCTTGTTGCCCACCATTATCGTCAATTTGAAAGTAGAACTCCATGCAGTAGCTCTTCTCGACATTTTTAAGGTCGTGTTTGACCTTAAACAGATTCTTCGAATCTTCCATTGCAACAGCACCCTTTTCCTGCACAAATACACGTCCAACTCCATCTTTGTACATCAAAATAGTTTAACTAGCTATAGGATCTAGCCAGAAGAAAACTCGGAAAGTATAAGATTCATGTGATTGTAACGGGGTTGAGCAAGTCCCATTCGCAATTATAGGACTCGGTCGAAGACGGATACAATCATTTGGAAATGCAAACGTACCACCAAGTTTCTGGGACCATCGGCTAACCATTGACGACAAGTTGCTTCAATGTCTGAAATGAACCTACAGAGCAAAGGGAACAGTGGTGACACTCCGAACGGCAAAGAACAACACAGTATTTGAATCCAAGCATTCTCCAAAATACCTTTCCCAGGAAGATGCTAGAGTAAAATCATCGAAATGTTGCACCTGCAAAACAATCCCTGATCCATGAATACAAAACGAAGAGCAGAAGAGCACATGAAGAGAAAGTTGTAACCTGTAGGAGGTAGTAATTGGCATACCTCTTCTTCCGCATCATCATCATCTTCTTCGAGAGAATTTGGTCTGCTCGCAGAAGCCATATGAATTAGGGAGCGATGCGAGCCTCTCCCTCTCTCTTATTATGGGTGAGGAACTCTTGCAGATCCTCCGATCAGTCACACAGATGAAGAGGTCCGTCTCGGAAGAGAACAACGACGATGGTAAAGTTACAGATGAAACGTCGTCGTCTCGTTGCGACTTTGACAAAACGGTGAGGACAAGCGAACAACGCATGCCGTTTTGTTTGCTAAAAAACGGGTTGCATTCTATCTGTTAAGTTGTTTCTCTGATCCGCCAATATCAGTGGGCTTAATATCGGCCCATTACAATACGATTTCAATTTTTATGCTAGTCACATACTTCAACCTCTACTCAAGTACAGTATGTGGTTAGAAAAACTAGTTCCAAGACTCATGCGAGTACTAATCATTCTTTGTCATCCTAAATTTCCTATTAATCAAAGTTCTTTTAAACTTTAATAATTTCGGAATCTTTGTATTTATATGGATTGGTGATCATTTAAGATAAACACAATTATGTTTGCAGGGACCACAATCCACAATTAAGAGTTAAATATGCGAAAGAAAACATTTTTTATGGTCCAGCACATAACAAATCATAATTTGCAAAACAATTAATAAAAACAAAAATAAATACGGGAGCGTGTAGTGGATCGAGAGAAAGACAGTCTGAGAAATCGTACTGCTACATAAATGAAGTCGTCCTCACTAACGCTAAACGAAGATGGAATCTAAAATCCCTGAAATCTGAATCAGCACCACCACATTCCATTTTCATCTCCCACCCCACCTCATAGTCATTGTCGACGACGACCTACAATGGCTGCAGCTCTAGAGTGCTGGTCGAGCCGCGCCGGAGGTCGCGCTCCCGACGACGATCTGGTGGATCAGGTCCTCATGCGCACGCACGACAGGTCCGAGTCACTCACTACGTCTCCGCCGGAGACGAGTTTGGAAGTCGAGGGATCCACACCGCTTTTCGATCAGAGCTCGTCGGCTATGCAGAAGCGGTTTCAGCGTCTCAGCCGCAACGTCTCCGAGGCCATTGCGTCGCTCAAAAACTCACTCAATCTCGATTCCGCGCGGGACAACCAGAGCGTCGGCGGAGCAGGAGCTCAGCTGCCTAAGGCTGAAGTCGTCGGCGGCGGTAGGAAGCTCCTGTGGGCCACTGTAGTGAGGAACCTCGCGAAGATGTATCCCGGTAGCCAGTTACCGGAGAAGCTCGTGTCAAATCTGAAGAAGCATTACGATTCGTTGCCCTTTAGGTAAACCAGATTTACCAGTTGCTGAATTTCTATTTTGGGATAGATTAAAATATTGTGTGAATTTTCGAGGTTTTGATTTTCCAAACTCCGAAGAAGATCAAGCTGCTTAACTCTTAAGCAATACTCCTCTCTCTCTCTCTCTCGGTTTCAGTAAACTAGTAATATTTCGTATTTTATTGTTCTCTCGCAGATAAACAATTTGAATCTGGAAAATATTTGATATACATTTGGCAAATCATGGAGCTAATTTGATTTTGTGCACTTGGTGTTGTTTCTACAGTTACAGTCAAGCTGGTTTCGATATGAAGGAAGTATTTCTACACGTGAAGTTGATAGAGCAAGCTTCTGGAGATGACAATCCTGTGTTTATGATTCAAGAAGTATCTGCTGAGGAAGGTCGGAGTTCTTCAGCTCTCAAGCTCACATTCGCTTGTAACTCTTCTCTTTCATGGTCAACAATGTCAGGCGCTCTCGATAGCGCTTCGATTTCTTGCAAGAAGATACAAATCTTTGAGAAGAAGGGGTTGACTCTCGGCGTTGTTCTTCTCCAGGATCAGTCTGGGCAAAAGAATTTGTTCAAGACCCGAGTAGAAAACGCCCTCAAGTCTGCAACCAGGAAGCCAAGACCGACTTCTGTTAAGCTCCCTTTTGGGCTTTGTGGCTGTCAAGAACAGAACGGCTGTGTTGGAGAACTTGGGCGTGTTGAAGAAGAGTCTATTCAGCATAGTAACAGGCTAGGGGTAGAAAATTTGAATGGTACGATCCAGCTTCAGATTCCACTTCCAAGCTCTTCATTTGCTGTATCAGTAGATGAATGGCAGACCATACAGTCAGGTGGGAGTGAGATTGGAAAATGGCTATTGAATTCCGATAGTTTTGAGTTCGGTGATCAGATTGGACCAAATTCTTTCAAAGGGATTTTCAGAGGGAAAAGAGTGGCGATCGAGAAACTAAAAGGTTGTGATAAAGGGAATTCGTATGAGTTTCTGCTCCGGAAAGATTTCTTGGAGCTGATGACTTGTGGACACAAGAGCATTTTGCAGTTTTACGGCGTTTGCATTGACGAGAACCACGGGTTATGCATTGTGACGAAACTGATGGAAGGCGGGTCGCTCCATGAGCTGTTGATGAAGAACAAGAAGCTTCAAACGAAGCAGATACTGAGAATTGCTGCTGACGTAGCCGAAGGGCTGAAGTTTGTGAATGATCATGGTGTTGCGTATCGGGACCTTAACACACAGAGGATCCTTCTAGATAAACATGGCAACGCCTGTTTGGGAGATATTGGAATAGTCACTGCTTGTAAGAACTTTGGTGAGGCCGTGGAGTACGAAACTGATGGCTATCGATGGCTTGCACCTGAGGTATTGTGTTCTTTTACTCTTGTCTTTGTTCAACAGATTACTTGAGAATTAGATTGTAATCATCATCATGCTTGCCATTTCCAAATCTTTTTTTACTTAAGGCAAATGATAATTCTGATAGCTTGCCATTTCCAAATTTTTTTTTTACTCAAGGCACTTGAAAGCTTGCTCACAGATTTCTCTGCTCCATTATCATAATTCTGATAGGAAGCAAGTCGCATTACGCATCATCTCTACTGTTCCCATAGGACCCACTGCATTCTTGTTTTGTTTAGTTTCTTTGCTATTGGCCATATCTGCTTTTGCCTTTTTCTGTTTTGTCTGGGCAGTTATTGGATCTTCACTTTTGGATTCATATATCGTAGACAAGTGTGAATCTAATTAGGTTCTGACTAATCTTCACAAAAGCGACTAAGCTTACACCTCTAGTTTCACCTTTTCATCAATTGTTTTGTTCTGCATTCAGCTTTATTTCTGGAATCTGCATTACTAGATTTTATATGTTGACACTTGTAACACTATACCTCTTTTCTTTTGTGGCATGGTTGAAAGCAGATAATAGCTGGTGATCCGGAGAATACAACAGAGACTTGGATGAGCAATGCTTATAGTTTTGGGATGGTACTGTGGGAGATGGTGACGGGAGAGGCGGCTTATGCGTCTTGCTCGCCCGTGCAGGCGGCTGTTGGGATTGCGGCTTGTGGGCTAAGACCGGAGATACCAAAGGAATGCCCTCAAGTTCTTAGAACTCTGATGATCACTTGCTGGAACAACTCCCCATCCAAACGCCCCAACTTCACCAATATACATTCCTCGTTGCTCCGCGCCATTACACGCTAAGTTTGGTTTTTTTTTATTTGGTAAAGTCATATTGTACATAAAGATTTGTAACACTAAAAGGTCGTAGTTATTTAGTAATGTATTGATCATGTAACCAGGGGCGTGCCTACTTGTTAAAATTTGAAACACTCGCCTACGGGCCCTATGACATTTAGTTTGGAGGCATTGAATTTTGTATTTATTTAGTTAAAGGTATTTAGTTTTGTATTAAATTTAGGATGTTATTAGTTTGAAAAATATTTCCACGTAAAGTGCTTTTCTTCGGTATTCCCCTAAAATGTTCACCACTATTATGTTTCTTCTAAAAAATAACTTATCTTTCTGTATTTATCATGTGTTTGTTTCTTTCACCCCCCATTGATTTTCTTTTCTCTATTTTTTTTACCAACTTCATCTTTTTGGTCAAAAAGCTTGCTTAAAAACATAGATTAGATTTTAATTTGCCTACGGGCCAAATAATCGTGGGAACAGCTCTGCATGTAACTGGATATGAACTGTTTAGGAAACAGATAAGAACATAAGGTTTGGTTTGATACGTGTGTTGTGGCTAACCTCGAGGACCCACTTTGTTTGTTTGCTTTCGGCCGAAACTAATGCCTTAAATAGAGGAAAATATTACCTACCTCATCTTTTACTAGTTACTTTTTTTTGGTGAGTATCTTTTACCAGTTACTAGTAAATATAAATCATGACATTGTGGAGTAAGTATAAATCAATAACCGAAACTTTTTGTTGCCAGAAGAAAGAAAAAACAGAGTTTTTTACTACTCTTCGGCATCTGAGAAGTAGGAACAAGTATCAAGAATGCGACATCAAACAAAGAAAGAACTCAAGAGGTCAAGAGCTAACTAAGAAGGCTAAGCCCAAAAATGGAAAACAAACGCAGACGACGATTCCACAAGTTTATGCTTTATACGACTTGGGCTGTTTGAGAGGCCCGTCACAAAGCGATTCTATATGCTCACCAATACAACACAACACAACACAACAGATTTGTAACTCCCGCATTCACACACAGCTGGTCACACACACGAATATGTGGAAAATAACATAATTGAGACGCATATTGGGTTTCGGGGGGAAGAAGGAGACACTTCATCTTTAGCTTTCGTCAAAGTGGTTACACGTGATGCTTTTCAGAATCCACCACTCCACGTGCCCTTTTAGTTGCACCCCTCACTCCACAATTATTGATTTTAACTACATAACAACTTTTCTTTATGTGCCTTTTTACCTCTTCCCCAATTCTTATTTTCTTATTATGCTTTTGTTGTGTGCGTGTATCGTAAAAGAAAAACCTGATAAACAGCAAAATTGAGAAATAAATAAGCTATAATATTGTTGGGTCATCAAAAAAATTTAAAAAATGAAAACAAAACAAAAAACTCTGCAGTTATCACTAAACTCTGTATATATATATATATATATATTATTTTAAACGTTTAACAATAATAGTACTAGTAGTAGTATATCACTATAACTTTGGTTGCACTTTTTCAATGGTACAGTAAACAACTAATCATTTTGTTCGGTGGTCCCCGACTCACGTGATTATTCCTCTTTACTCTTACTTCTCTCTATCTCTTTTTTTCTTTTTGTCGAAAACTTCTCTGTTCTTAATTTATCTTTTATATCTATCCATTTTTTGGTTGAAATATCTTGAAAATACCATTTATTTTTTCCTATAAAACTTCTTATCTGTTTCCCTATTTTTCTATATTTTTGTTATCATACAGTTTTTCCGCGTCGACCATATACAAATTTGTTCACAAACTAAGTCGTAACAACAAAATTTATCGTAGAACTATTTGCTTTTACATCTTGTATCCATATTAAACCCCATATATATACTACGTAATTATTATAGTGCTACACTAACATTTGATACAGCTGTATTATATTCTGTGAACATAAATCCAATTAACCATCGTAAACACCTATCGCCAGCTTCCTCTTTGACTTTTTTTATATTCTTTTGAATGCAGAACATTTACTATAATTGATTCATTATTTTTCACCATTCAGTATTCACATGTTGTGTTTTGCCTTCATGAAGAAATTAAGACGAAGATTGAACGACACCTTTTCATTACTTCCTTAATTTGTTGTCACTGAGGGTCTTTACTATTCCATTCCATACTAATTAGTGCTAGTCAAGTTCATAACGTTGCCTACCTTAATATTTTATTCCGCATTTCCGTGAATGAAAATATCATCCATTAACTCAATTCAGAAGATTTATTTAAGTTTCCGTGTTAATTGTTATACTAAAACACAGATATACAGTAATCAGATACTGTATTCAGAAATATCTACTGACGAAAAAAGAGATATCAGGCATTAATTCCTGATTTTCTTTTTATATTTGTGATCAATCTACACATTTCGGAAATGGAGAAAGCATTAAACAGAATTGGAACTATAATTAGCATCTAATTTTTTATTACCTAATTATAATTAGCAACCTTAAATAACCTGTTTATCACAACCAATGTTGTTTTTAACTTTTAACTCACAAAACAAATGTTAGCAAAAAAAAGGGAAAATAGCAAAAACCAAACAACGAGATTTAACAATTCCAATCCTCCAACCACTTTTGTTAAACCAGCCCGCTCTCTCTCCCCAAAACTCCATTTCTCTGCAATTCCAATTTCTCACAAACCCTAATTCAGTCCTCAAAATTTCAACTTCTCCGCCGTTCTACACCGTCAATGTGGCGGCCTTGGCGCAAATCGTCGGTTAAGATTCACGACACGTACTCCCCCACCGCTTCACTCTCCTTCAAAGACATCCAACACCTCTGCACCGACGACTCCTCTTCCTTCCCCTCTTCACCTTCTCCTTCTCCTTCTTCCTCCGCCAAAAACGTCTCCAGAGTTTTTCACCGAGTCTGCGCATCAAATTTGATCCTCCGATCCTGGCCAACTAAACCTTCCAATCAGCTCCTCCGCGCAGATTCCGAGCCCGCCAATCTACGGCAGAATCCGGCGCCACCGAAGGCCGAACCAGATTTACGGATTTCGATCCCCGGCGCGGAGAGCAGCATCGTCGTCTACTTCACCAGCCTCCGCGTTATTCGTCCAACGTTCGAGGAATGCAAAGCCGTCACAGCGATCCTCGGTAGCTTCCCCGTGCGAATCGACGAGCGAGATCTCTCAATGGACCCGTCGTTCGCCGCCGAGCTGCAGCGGATCTTCGGCGGTGGCCAGAAAGAGCAGAACCAGACGAAACCACCGAAGGTGCCGCGCGTATTCATCGGCGGCCGGTACATCGGAGGAGCGGAGGAGGTTAAACAGCTCCACGAGATCGGAGAGCTGAAGAAGCTAGTACAGGAGCTGCCAAGGATTGAACCTGGCGTATGCGAAATGTGCGGTGGTCACAGATTTGTGCCTTGCAACGCGTGTCACGGTAGCCATAAGGTGCACACGGAGAAGCTAGGGTTCAGAACATGCTCAGTCTGCAACGAGAATGGTCTCGTTAGGTGTTCTTCTTGTTCGTTTCCACATCTCTCGCCTAATTCCTAGAATTCTTTTTTTTTCTTTTAACTTTTGTTTAATTTTCACGAAAATTGGAATAATTAAATATATGTTTTTGTTTTTTTTTTTTAATTTCAGAAGTTTCCAATTTGTAAAACTGAAAATGGAAAGAGGTAGTAGCTTCAGCATGTTTTAGATAATAGTATTACTTTTAGTCGATTAGATTCGCCAAAAGAAAAAAAAAAATCATTAGATCCGTTGTGATGTGAACGTGATTAGCAGCTAACATTTCTTAAAAGCTGATCAGTAATTTGCTGTCAAATCATCGATCATAAATGCGTTAAGGAAGAAGAAAATAGTAAAACTATGGGTCCAAATGGTTCATATATGGATGAATAAATTAGCAAAGATAATATATTTGCTTGCAGTTGATTCGGTGTGACTTTTTCAAGTTACTAGATGTTATCCCACGCTACGCGCGGGTTTTATATTGTCAAATTTGTACGTTAAAATTTAAAACAGTTAAGAGAAAGTTTTCCTTTTCACAATTGTCTAAATATTATCTATACTTCCAAATTTTGTTGTGATCATCTACCTTCTTAAAAGAATGTTTCTTTGTTATATTGCTTCAACAATCTCTTTTGTTCCAGAATTTTCCTGCTAAACAATTTTGTAGTTTCCAAAAAATTTGCATTCTTCAATGTACGTACATATAATATTCTTCGTATAACAAAAAGAAAGCTAGTCTCACAAACAAACAGAATCTGTAATAACTTAAAATCTTAGTTACTATTCTCTATTAAAATGAATTTCTTAAGACTTATACTATATATTATAAACTTAAGAACAACCTATATTTTCTCTAACTTTACGTCTTCAATGAATCCACCATCTCCACGCACATCTCCTCCATTGCAGCCGCTCTGGAACTATTGCAATTTGCAAACAGAACAACAAACATTGACTGGAGAAAAGTATACAAATATACATACAAATAACATGAATGCACTTTTTCCTAGTGTCTCCTCACTTATTCTTGGAAGCTTTTCAAGTCAGCCTCTCATGGTTTTCTTGCGAGAGATAACAATACCCATTAGACACTAAAACCTTATTCTAGTCTGTACTGGAAAAATGTATATTACATATAATCAAACCTGCATAATGATTATTTGACCAAAAGATCAATACATCAAGAGAATTAGAACGTTCATAATTTTGTAAATCATAAACGACTGAGATTCTTAGATATAGGATGAAGCAACCTAAAACGTAAACAACAAATCTTTACTAACTTACCCTTGAATGAATATTCTTAGATCTCCTTGTCTTTCTTCTCAGCCTCTTCTTCTTGCTTTCTAATTTTTCCAGCTCCAACCTAAGATGCACAAACCACACTATATATGTCTACTACATTTGCATAATATAATTTTAAACACGTTACTCTCATCTTTCGGGTCTCTTTAATAGACAAGTCTACATTTGAACCAAACACAAGTTTCCCTTGAGCTTGTCGTAAACCCTTATTTCTACTTGCTACATATGGATGATGGTTACCATTAGCAGCAATAGGTCGCAGTTCTGGGTGAAAGGTACCCATCCAAACGTCTTCCCGAACCCGTGAAAGACTGAAACTTTGGTTCTGGTTCAGCGACAGCAACTTCCCCAGCTGCATAAATCAGTATGGACAGCAAACACAAAACACACATGAGAATCTTCCTATGTTAACTACAACAAAACTTTTGATTGAGCTTTAGCTTCTATAGGTCGCTTCGGTTATTTTTAATAAAGGGGATGAGTAAAATCAACCTCACAATCCTATTTCTTATGCTAGAAACAATATATCCATATGATGTTCTCTAGCTACGTGATAAACTTCAATAGGGGTCCATGTTATTCCTTACCTCAGGTACATCGAAGTTTCCTTTGCGTCACACATGTCCAAATATACCAGCCAAAGCGTTGGAAACTGCTCATTGATGAGATAAAATAAGCAAGAATATAAAGGAGCGGCTCTGATGCAAGAGCATACTACTTTCTTTACGTTTAAATTTTAAACAAATAAGGTGCCTGAAATTTACCTTCAGAGTAGCCTCGAGACGAAGCCTTTCGGTATCCCAAAGCCCTGCGTTTTTTTAAAAACCAGAATTTGGAAACCGTGACTAAAGCTAGGCGCATCAAAGATTTTATAATTTTATTCAAGGGCGATGAGGCATAATACTAAAAGAGTGGGGATATAGAGAAGAGAACTCACGTTGTAGCGAAGCAGAAAAAGATCTTCGAGAGCAAGGCGGCCTATAGAGAAGTGATTATAAAATCGAGTGATCTTCAAAGACACCATTCACGGTTAGTCGTCGACACTCCTATCACACAAACATGGGTAATGTAGTTACATAAAAAGCGAGTTACTCTTGTTTTAAATTTCGTGAGCACATAAATCCTAAATTTAAAAACTGGGAACTGAAAAAGGATGAATATTAAGGTATAGATAATGTAAGATTCTACTTACAATCGTTTCCCCGCTGGTGAAATCTTCGGAATCTTATGAGTTCAATAGTCATGACCGCAAATCGAAAAGGTAGATATAAAACCCTGAAACTGAAACCAACACGCTATTAATATGATGACGAAGTCCAGTGACCTTTGAAGGATAATTCTACACCATTTTTTACCTTGCTTCTTTGCTGGATCCTTTTCCAGGATTCCATCGCCGCTATGTCTTTCGACGAATCAGTTCGGAAATACTTTCGATTGTCTTTGTGTACCCATCGATTCTCTCGGCCGCCGCCGTTGAAGGATCAATAATCTCTGAATGAGAAGATTTCGATTTCTCAAACCCAGAATCAGATATGAAGACCAGTAAGAAGAATCAAATCGGAAGAGTATCTTTACTAAATGAAAGCAGCAAGGAAGAAGACGAAGAGACGAACGCACAAACTTTTACGAAATACGGAAGCGAGGATTTTTTCTTTTAAGTTGTTATTGTAAATGCCACTTGGCATTATGTGGCTGAAAGCTGTGAGGTGCCCTGAGAGGCCCCAATTAGCTGCTTTCATTTAGTAAAGATGAGTTATGATATTCTATTTATAATTTTATTAAAATAACGGTTCACTATACTATTCTAACCACAATTTTAATTATCCTTCGATGCATAATAACGTGTTAATGCGTCACAAATGAAATGGATTTGCTACTACGTAGCTAGGGGAACCCTCGGTTTTTCTTGCGGTAGTAATTCATCCAAAGCTCTATAAATAAAAAAAACCATCCAAACTTCCAAAGCTAAGAAAGAAATTATCAATGCATGAGACACATATTAGAAAAAAAGTTAGTTGTTGGAAGATGTTAAAAGAATGAGATGATCAAGAGATTGAGCCTAACATAGATAACCAATAGGGGAATGCTCCTACTACATAGATAATCAAGAACTGCAAACAAGCAAACAAGCAAACAAAAAAAGAGAAAAATGGAGTAAGAATAGTATGAGTCGATGTCGAAAATAGATTGTTGCATGGTCCATGAATTGATGCATCATGCAAGAGAAGAGATGCTGGTTCATTCATAATATTGTATTATTGTTGTTCATTTTTGTGACCGTTTCTCAAGTACATAAGAGAATATTTTGAAGTGTAATATAAAACTCTAACAGAAATTTGATGTTTTCTTCGTTTCACAATGACTCTTATATTTCTAAATGGTGAAGATTATTATAGTATGCTTTTAACGTTTGACATAAAAAATAGAGAACGTGTACCTTTTCTTGATTAAAATTTCTATAACTTCGTCAAGTAACCTACTCATGTTTGTAAACTAAAATAAACTTCGATATTATTAGTTTCTAAACATATATCATAAGGAATCAGTATATGATAATAAGAAAATTAGAAAAGGTTGAAAGAGTAGCAACCGTTGATTAGTCTTAGTTGTCTTGTCCTGAAGGAAGACGACTTCAATCTTCAACTAACATCCTCTTCCCTCTTCCTTCTTCCTTCTTTCAGAAAAAAATCTAAAGAAGCAAAGAAACCTCTTATGAAGTCCGATGGAAGCTGGAGATTCCATCTCCGAAGAGCATTCTCCATCATCTTCCTCATCTTTCTTCCTCTGAATCTCAACTTCTGTCTTTGTTTCAACACCCAAGGTATTTTCTTTCCATCTGATCTCTCTCTATACTCTGTGCCACGACCTTTTGTGTATCTTTGGATCATGACAATTAATATCCTGTAGAGATTGCAGAAGTGCATGATCATGTGCTTCGACTCTTTGATTCTTCTGAAGACAACTTATTACTCCAATCCGGAGCTTATGGGAACCGCCGCAGCCTAGCTGTGGGTGCCTCCCCGCCATCTTCTGACACCGCAAGCTCCGTAGAACCAGAACCAGAACCACAGCCTCTGCCTCCGGTAACTCCACCACCACCAGCAGATGAAACCCCTCCCCCTCCTCCTCAACTCCAGGAAGCTCAACCCCCAACCCAATCTCCTGTAACTAAACCTCTGCCTCTTCCTCCTCCTTCTCTGGGAACTAAAAAGAAATCTCCTAACCTTTACATGATCGTGGGAATAGTCGTTGGCGTGTCCACAGTCTCGGTGGCATTAGTCATCTTCTTTCTTATCTTCAGCCGGAAGATTCCAATCAAGCCGTGGACCAGCAGTGGTCAGCTTAAAGATGCTCTCCTCCCAGGCAAACACACTCTTCAGTCTTCACACTCTCTTTCTTCTCTCTTCATTACTTTAAATTTTCTCCAATTTTACTACTTTTGCATTACAGCAAATGTTCCGAGACTGCAACTATCAGAGCTACAAGCAGCTTGCGAAGACTTTAGTAACATCATCGGCTCTTTCTCAGACGGCACCATTTATAAAGGGACTTTGTCAACTGGTGCTGAAATCGCCGTTGCGTCTATCGCGGCTGCAGGCTGGTCCGCCGCCATGGAAACACAGTTGCTACAAAAGGTATCAGAACCTCGTTTCCACATTTCTTGAACAGAGAACAGAGATTGGCATTGCCATTGAAGAATATTTCTGCTCTGTTGTTGCAGGTTCATAACTTATCAAAAGTGGATCACAATAACTTTTTGAAAGTGGTTGGTTTTTGTCATGAGGATGAGCCCTTCAACCGAATGCTCGTTTTTGAATACGCTCCTAATGGATCCCTCTCCGAGCATCTGCACTGTAAGGATTCCATCCCCAGAAAGAAATCATTTTTAAATTCACTCTATCCAATCTTCAGACTGTTGAACTGATCTTTCATGGCAGCTCAACACGCGGAGCACTTGGACTGGCCTACAAGACTCAGAATCACCATGGGATTAGCTTACTGTCTAGAGCACATGCACAATCTCAATCCACCCATCTTGCACACCAATTTGGACTCCTCCTCTGTCTACTTATCCGAAGATAATGCCGCCAAAGTCTCCGACTTCTCTGTCCTCAACTGCATCTCTCCCTCTAAGGAATGCTCCTCAAGCAAGAACCTTTTAGAACAATCATTACTTGATCCCCAGACCAACGTCTTTAGCTTTGGCGCCATTGTGTTTGAAATCATCAGTGGGAAGTTCCCAGACCCGGATTCTTTGTTTATAGAGCCCAAGCCCGCGAGAGATCTAGTGGACCCGACCCTGACCACATTTCAGGAGGATGTTGTTGAGAGACTGTTGGAAGTGGTTAGGCAGTGTATGAATCCATACTCAGCTCAACGGCCAACAATGAGAGAGGTTGTGGTAAAGTTGAGAGAGATCACCGGAGTAACAGCTGACGCAGCGATGCCGCGGCTATCTCCACGGTGGTGGACAGAGCTGGAGATCATAACCACACAAGCACATTAAAGACAAAGGAGCCATCTTTGAAGTGTCCCCTGTACATATACAAATGACACTGTCAAGTGATGATCATATACAAAATTACTGTACATATACAAAAAGTTGGGTTTGCATAGAAACCATAAGTAAGATTAATAATGTGAGTTTCTTTACTGCATTGATGTATAAGAGAAGGAAACAAAGGTAAAATGTCCCCATAAAATGTATCACGAGGAAAATGTGATTGATACCTTAAAAATCTAAGTCAAGAACGGTGTTGTCAATGGAAGAAGCTTGATCCTTGGATCTGCTGTAGAGATGGAGCGTCTCGGTGTGGTTAGGATCTAAACAGAGAGCAGCTTCGCAGTCTTGAGCGGCCAACGACAGCTTCCCAGTGGCCTCGTGGAATGCTGCTCTGAGATGCAGCGTTTGCAATTCCGGCCTGAAAGCTATTGCCTTTGACAGCTCTTCCACTGCTTCTGTCTCTCTCTGATCATCCATCAGCACTGCCAGACACACATAAAATAGGTTCCTTATCAACGAGACTTTATAAGATGTTGATAGGGAACGGGAAGAGTTTAGTTAGTTACCGGCAGCTCGGTATCTGTAGGGATAGGTTCGCAGAGGGTCGAGTGTTGTGGCCATGTCAAGATCCTCTTTGGCTTTTTCACGCTCACAGTACTCAGACCGTTTCTCGTACGCTGCTGCTTTGACACACGCCTTGTCGATCAGCTTTGTCATCTCCTCACACGCTTCTTTACGTTGATTCTTCAGGAAATAAACCGCGCAAGCCCTTGATGTGCACGAGTGTGTTTGATCTCTAGAGCGTTTTTATACGCAGCTTCAGCTTCATCTAGCATCCCGCATCGATGTAGATGCTCCCAAGATTGTTTAGAGCCTACACAAACATATTGATGAGAAAACAGTGCGACTAAGTGAAAAGAGAGGAGAGACATTGAAATGTGAACCTGTCCTTTGCGTAGCCCATCCGAAGGACACTTGAGGGCTTCCTCTAGAACCTGAACAACGCAAGAGGTCTCGTCCGGATCGAGATTCTTGTCAGCTATAACATAAGCTTTGAGGAAAAAAGCTTCAAAGGAGCGTTGAATGGAGATTGCCTTCTCGGATTTAGTAAGAGCCTCGTCCACATGACCCATGTCATATAAAAGCCACCCTTCGTAGACCAACCTCTCCGCCTCAGAAGAAGCCAAATTCCATGCCATTCGCAAACACCTCATCGCTGCTCCTTGACAATTCAGTCTGTCACAAATCAAAATACAACGTAGCTTTTGTCAAATCCTGGAAAACATCATATCAATAACAGTTTGCCTGAGAAACCGAAAAAGAATCTTCTTACCTTAAGAGAAGCAAAGATTGTCTAAACCTCAGAAAGTTTTTGCTGGGATCATTCTGAAGCATCTGATGAACAACAGCCAATGAACCAACATCATCCACCGCTGACCATCTCTCGTAAAGCCTCACCCAACAATCTGCTTCACTCTCTACTCCAATACATTGCACAGTCAGAGCTTTCACCAAATCATCTCTCATCTTCCCACCAAACAAAACGTAACTCGGCTCCAAACACAGCACTGCTCTAAGATCTCTCAGACAACTCTCACGGTCACCAATGGCTAAAAACAGCCAAGCTCTCAGTTCAAGGCAATCTGGAGTAAGCTTAAACTGAATTAATCTATCAACCTCCTCGAAGGCCTCCTTAACCTGCTTCTGTTCAAACTTCACCACAGCTCTGTACTTGTACGGAAAAGCCAGCGTCGGGTCAAGTTCGGTGGCGGTTGCTAGATCTTTTAGCTTCTCAACCCCGACATTGTACAGAGACCTCTCTTGGTACATCCATCCATGTGGCTTGTGGTTAGAGATGAGATAGGTCATGAGCTTGTAAGCAGAGTACCTCTTCCCTTGTTTATATTCAGTTCTTGATAACCCAGCCAATGAGTAGTCATGGCCTAAGCTTGAAGCTAACCTGAAATGAAACTGAGCTGCTTTGTAATCCCTTCTCTCAAACAGAACACATCCCATTTGATGCAAACACACAGCCTTTTGCCAGCTTTCCCGAGCAAACTCTCGAGCTCTCTCTAGCAAAACCAGCATAGCCTCCGTGGTGAGTTTCTCTTCCATGCCTACTTGGCTTAGGAAGTAGTACAAGAGAAACAAACTCTCGGAGCCAAGAAAAGCTAATTCTTCTTTTGCTTCAGAGCCGCAGAAGACTCTCATCACAATGGAATTGTAAAGAGAGTGAGGAAGCTCTCTCAGAAACACCTGCAAGCAAGCAGATAAGAGAAGCTTTGTGCCTTCCTCCAACGCGTACTCTACAAAGGTCAAAGCTTTATCCATGTCAGTGACAGACGAAGCCAAGCGAGACTCACAAGCAGACTTCAGATCGTCACAACAGAACTTTATAGCTAATCCAAGCAGCTCAAAGACTGTTTCAACTCGAAACAAATCAACTCTCTTGATCCTACTATATATGTTCAGTGCCAACATTGCCTCAATCGAAACGCCATTCTTGGAGAAATCGATCTCAGACGTTCTTGATTCGACGAAAGAACCACACAACATGGCCTCAAACGGACGCGAAAGCGCTGCGATTCGCGACCTGACACACTTAACCTTCTCTGAACCTATGCAGAAGGCAAAATCACTATCCTCTTCTAGACTAGAGATTCTAATCTCATCGCTACCAAAGTTTTCCTCGCAATCACAATGCTCGTTGACTAGATTCAAATCGTAACCATGAGTCAAGCTAGTCTTGGGGCATTCAATAGCAAACCCATTACAATCCATGGAATCAACTCCAACGAGCTCGTGTTCTCTCCTCTCGAATCTCAACCAAGCAGATAAAACAACCTTACAGGAGACATCAATGGCGTGCCTCCTGGCGTTGAGCAGGCATCTGCGCAGGAGCTTGGCGTCGCCGAGGCTGCGGAGAACAGTGTACTGCTCGAGGTAGAGCATGGACGTCTCGGACTCCGAGCTTGACTCGATTCTCCGGTAGAGATTTGATAACGACTCCACCAAGTCGATGGGTTTGAGGTGAGAGTCCAAGGGAGGCTCAAGGAGCTCCGTCGTGGGGAAGCCATGAGGGAGAAGTGAACGGGAGATCGATTTGGAGGTTGATTTGGGATTCCGTAGAAACTTCATTCGAGGGGTTCCATTGTTGCTGCTTGTGGAGGGAGAGTCCTGTGAATTGAAAGCGTGGATTTGGGTGCTCTTGAATCTCTCGAATAGTTTTAGATTGCGCATTCTTGTAATCACATAGAAATTGGAGAAATGGTTTTTGAAGAAGAAAGGAATACAGATGGAGAGGGATGCAGAGAAGGAAAGGAGAGAGAAAAAAGAGAGTTGGAAACACAGGCTCTGTCTACGGAGCCAACAGAGTACAGAGACAAAAGGAAAGAGCAGGAGAAGAAGACGATGAAGTGTGATTGTGAATTTATTTTTTAAAAAGGTCAATAATTTCGGGGAGAAAGAGACTGCCTTTTTTTCTTTCAAAAAATGGCGTCGATTCTAAAAAAAAGTTGAGCATTTTTTTTCTCCCTCCACTCTGCATATGAAAGCCAAAAACTCATTTACATACAGTATATTGTATAGTATATATAATAATGTAAATGGACTGACTCACCTGTCTTTCTTTCTCTTTTTGGGAACAGTTTACGAACTTCACTACTGACTAGTTGGTGGGTTCCTAATGGATGCGCTACAAACTAGACCACTTACGTTTTCGACTTTCTTTGTTAAATGTTTTATTTTCCATACTTGAAGATTTAAATACTTTCAATTGTTTTTTTTTTTTTTTTTTGACCAATGGCAAAATACTTTCAATTGTTAGAAGAAGATTTTTTAACTTTCTAGTATATGGTCGCTAATTTTTTTTTGTTTTTGCAGAAGATGGTTGTTAATTTTTAGAAATATGGTTTATTGGATATAAAGTACATTATTACACATCTATATAACCTATAATACATTGATACTTTACTAATCAACTTCATAATAATCAGTTACATTAATAATCAGCGTACATCTAAATATCTAATAGAATTACGAGTGATTGGTAAAATTATTCACGTGTGTTATATTTCTAGTGATCAGTGTACTGTGTACATTTAAGTTTCTTTTTTTTAAATCTGAAATGATGATATATATAATGTATTATAGAGTTTTTCGAACAAAAAAAAATAATGTATTATAGAGTAAATATGTCATACTTTTGAAAATAACAAAATATGCTGGTTGGTTCATTTTAGTTATAATTAAAATAAGGGACCTCTCCGAGTATCCATGGTTAATTTTTTGTGAAAGAGTATCCATGGTTCATGTGATGCCAAGATTGGTTGGTTAACTCTAGTTACGTGGTCTTTATCGGTATCTCCTCCTGTATTCGTATAATTGAACTAATTAATCATTTGAAAAGTATATAACATTTAATAATTTTGTTGGTAGATTAGTTGTGAACTAAATTACAAGCAAAGAAGTGGTCGTGGGTTATGTACTTAAACCATTATTACATTACCCGATTAGAAAAAATGATTCAACCTTTCGTAAAAACTTTTCCACTGATCAGTCTGATCATTGTTAATATGATTTGTACTCAGTAACGTTACGCGAGCGTGTTTGTCTGTAAATTTTTGTTTGTTAAAGATGTTTGTTTCATTGTTTGTATTTACAAATGAAAACTACTTATAATCAGAAAAACTTTCATTAGCTTCTTCGTTAAGGTTTTGTTAGCTCTATATCTCTATTTCTCTACTATGGATTTGGATCAACAAATTCCATCAAACGTTTTTTTTTCAAGTTGGAAAGAAGTATAAAACCACACACCTGGAAAACACATGCAAGTGTACTTTAATAAGATATATGCATGAACAGCAAAATAAACAAAGATTTTTCTTTTGTCAAACAAAAATAATTGAGGATTAGGTTGGAATTATTCGAAGCCCGAAAAAAAAGGACACTGAAATCAATTAAACTAAAAAAATTGATATGACCCCCATCTATATATATAATTTTTTTGGGTATAATTATAAATTAAAATATAAAAAAACTAACAAGGCAAAGAGACGTGTGTGGTCATGTGTCTGAGCAACCCATGTGAAGGAATCCGAATCACTTTTCTATGCTTTTCTGTTTTCTAATCTGCGTACATGCAGAATAATGAAATGTGCTTCATAATTCATCAAAGATGATTTGATGAAAATTCGAGTTTCTTCCGACTCTAAAATCGAAAGTACTAACCAGCCCAACTTGTTTAGCAAATATAAGCCCAAAATAGGCCCATCATAACACAACTCTGTATTACTCAGGCTTGGAAGCCTTGGAATCATAAACATTTATTACGCTGGGGAGCGAGCCTAGGAAGATCACAAAAAGTCAAAGCTCATACGTGAATCCATTATCCATAATTATTTAAGAAACTACAAAATGTTAAGGAAAATCTGGATAATTAGAGAAAGGAAAACTGAAACCAAAACAGAAGATCGGATTTAATGGAAAAAAATATCCAGCTTTTTTATCCCCTTTGAGGAAACTAAAGCAAAACCAAACTTTGTGTGCTTGTCTTGAGAGATATCAACTACCCAACCAGTAATAACAAAATGCTGTCAAAAAATTTAATGCGATTAAAAATAATCGAAGAAAGGTTGTTCGTTGTGGTTTGCAGAAAATGGCTACTAGACTCTCTGTCTCCGTCCTCTGCTCTTTCATTTCATCATCTCCTCCCGTTGACTCTTCTTCTTCCTCTCTCGCCGTCCCTTGCTTCTTCTCTCCGATTCCACGGTTGCTGACTCTTCGAGTCTCGACTAGCCTTAGATCAATCCCCAGGCTCCCGGCGACTGATTTCCGCAGGTCTCCTCGGAGTCTAACGTCTTCGCTCGCCGTGATGTTGCCGGAAAATGCGGTGTTATCGGATGTCTGCGCGACTGGAATCGCCTGCCTTGTCGCGTTCTCGTGCCTCGGTTTCTGGGGAGAGATTGGCAAGCGCGGCATCCTCGACCAGGTCCTCGATAATTCAATTCACATACGTACACTTTACACGTACTGTATAATACAAGCGTCGATGCCTTGAAACTGTTTTAACTTTTTCTTTTTTGTAATTTTGCTTGAATCTGGAATTGCTGGTAGAAGGAATATTAACTCTGAGTAGTTTCGCATTTTGTGCTTTATCGAGTAATGGCATTAATGGCGATGACAAAAAAATCACAGCTCAGGAAATTTCTAATGTGAGTGGAGACGCATTTAGGTAGAATGCATCGAATGTTTTGTAGTGAAGAGAAAGGGAAAGTTCCCCCAAATCTGGTAAATTAGAAGGAAAAAATGTTTTGTAGTGCTCAGAAACCAAATTGGGGATGAAATATTTTGAAATCCGTGCGTATAATCACAATATCATTCGTAACTTTGAAAATTTAACCATATTTTTTTATAAATGAACTTTGAGATTTGACTTAAATGTTACAGAATCTGTTTGCTATACTTTGAAGAGATAATTTATTTGTATGGGACATGGCTTGATTTTTTTTCTTTCTCTCTTATGTGTACAAACTCTTTTTAGTGACTTCTTGTTAGGATTAGAGGAAGGATATAAGCTTCTTTAGAATCCTCGTGGACATTGGACTTCGAATGTGAAGTAGAATTGCTTGAGTATACAATGAGCATTTTGCAAATCATCAATAAAACATTTGGTGATCATCTTCTCTTGTTTTTTTTTCAGAAACTTATCCGGAAGCTCGTGCATATAAATATTGGGCTAGTTTTTATGCTTTGCTGGCCTCTGTTCAGGTAATTCCGTTTAAAGGATAGAATTTGATTGGACCAGCGTGGCTGTTCTGCTTCACCATTTAACTTCATTACCGATTATATTCAGTTCTGGACTCCAAGGAGCGCTTTTTGCTTCTCTTGTACCTGGACTCAATATAATCAGGATGCTGCTCCTGGGGCTTGGAGTTTACCAAGACGAAGGAACGATCAAGTCAATGAGCAGACACGGAGATCGCAGGTAGCTGAACTGGATAAAATACATGTCACATGCTTAGTAGTAGTATTTGACTCAATCACAAAATTTAACCAGCTTTTAGTAAATCTTGGATCAAGATTTGGTTCCTCTGTATAATATTGTTTTTTTTTGTCACTTGACAAAGTGTCTATAGTCTTTCTCTGCATCAGGGAACTACTTAAGGGACCGCTTTATTATGCATTGTCAGTCACATCGGCTTGTATCTTCTACTGGAGAACATCACCAATCGCAATCGCAGTGATATGCAACCTTTGCGCAGGAGATGGTGCGCACAGTTAGCTTTGGTTTGGTTTGTATTGTCAATTTGAATCCATTGGATGATGAATCTTATCTTACACACTTGCTGTTTAAAAGGTATGGCTGACATTATTGGGAGACGGTTCGGAACAGAGAAGCTGCCTTACAACAGAAACAAGTCAGTAGCTGGTAGCGTCGGGATGGCAATCGCCGGATTCTTAGCATCTGTTGGGTACATGTACTACTTTGCTTCGTTCGGTTACATCGAGGACAGTGGAGCAAGTATGGTTCTTCGTTTGCTCATCATCTCTTTAGCATCAACTCTAGTGGAATCACTCCCTATAAGCACTGACATTGACGACAATCTCACCGTCTCCTTAACCTCTGCCTTGGTCGGTACTCTACTCTTCTGATAACGCGACCTCTCTTTGTCATGTATCAGCGAATAAAGTGGTCGAGCTTGATTGTTGTACACGTACTTAATAGTGAAAATACTCTTAGTGTTGTTGTTGTTATTGTTGTCCAGTGATGTTATTTTTCAGCTGCAATTGCAGTTGGGGTACAATGTTGTAATGTTAATTGTTCTATTAGTACTGAGAGAGATGATTACAAACAGATTCTACACTTTGTATTGTACTTGAAACTCATTACAAGCTTGTTTGTTGTTTGGCTATACCGAAATCGACTGTTTGCCTACGACAACAGGTGAGGGCTTGAGTTTTCCGTTACAGGAAGAGTCTTCTGACAGTGACAGGTCGGAGTGGTGACAGTAACGGCGTTTCAGACAAGGAAGAAACACAATAAACAAGAGGAAGGCGGCGAAGCTAATGACAAGAACTATCATCCAGATCTCACTATCCATCGCGTAGTGTTTGTCTTTTGTGATGGGAATTCGCTCGCCGTCTTCAGGACTCAAGGCCTCCACCGTCGAAGTCACCATTAGGAAGAAGCTTGTCTCCAAATATTCTCAGCTTCTTTTGCTTATAATAGATTCTTCTTTTCGCCGTCTTTATGTTGCTCTCTCTGAAATATAGATTCAGCTTGGGAGAATATTGTAATTTGACGAAAACTATGTCGAAGAAGATAATGGATTTTTTGCATAAAGGTTGGTGTAGAAAGTGAGACAGCGACGTTCGTGACCGCGCTACATATGGGGAGGGCGTTGGAATGATATCTTAGCGCGCGACGTCGTTTTCTTCTTTTGAATGAAAAATTGAAAAATCCTTCTCGTGTGGCTCCCATCACTCTGCTCCGTGACTTTCCCGGAAATTTCCTTAAGCGAGACCCCGTGTCTCACCTTCTCTGATTCTGCCCTTATCCAGACAAAAAAAAATTATTATTTTAAATGGTCTATTTTAATATCATTACTTCTTCACGTAATCACAAAATAAGGAAAACGTCGTATGCTTGTCTTGATTGAATGATTCTGGAAGAGATCCACTGATACTGTATACTTCAGCAGAAAAATGCAGATATGTGTACATATGCGCGCCAAACAAAAAGAAGAGAAAGCTAATCGTTATTATAATGGGCCTTGCTATGGGCTTTTATATCGTTTTAATTTCAAATTAGAGGTAAATCGAAAACCCTGCCGTTTTTTCTCTTAAGGAAGAGAAGACTTGCTTGCCGTTCAACGGTGCCGTGGCAAGCCATGACTGGCCGTTTCTCCGCCGAGTGTTAAGTCTTACAGATTCAGAGACGAGAAAACTTTCTCTTCCTCCTCCGTGAACCGCCGCGACTCGGCTGTATACTCGTAAGCTTTCTGTATCTATGGCGATTGTATGACGATTTTCGTTTCTGTATTTCGTACATAGACTGGATTTGTTTATATAACACACACGATGATGTATTGTATACACTGAGCTCGAAAATCCGTTTGAATCTCCAGTTAGTGATCGCCTTTGTTGGCTTCCTCTCGATTATCGGTTCGAATTCTTCATTTCTCTGAGGAAATTAAGATTTCAAAGAGCTTGTGATGGCGATGAAGTCTCTAATTACAGTCACCATTTTACGATTTAGTTTTGATTTTCGTTTTTTCGTTTTGGTTTTTTCGCAGACATTTCTGAGGATACCATGTCTGGCGCAGAGGATGATAAATCTTCACATGCTGAGGTATTTGTTCATCATCCAGTCTCATATGATAACAAATGCTTATGCTGTTTATGAATATATCTGCTAGTGAACACACTTTCAAAATTTGTCATCGTTACTAATATATGAATGGAAGTCAGTCTCAAGCTTACAATCAAACTTTTTGTGAACAAAATGTGTATTTTAATTTGCACCTTTACTTTGCCGCTTCATGTTGCATTGGATCTTTGCTCTGGTCCTCTCTTAGCTCCATAATACAGAGATTAGAAACTTTGAAGGATTAGTAAGATAACTTTGATCAACTAGTGTCTTTGGTAGTGGTGAAGGATACTTCTATTCCCCTAATGAGCAGAAACTCAGTTAGAAACTTTGTGCCAATTGAAGGATTAAGAAAGGGAGATTATTTGTTATATCCTCACTTGTGAAAGAAACTTCATAGTGGAAACTAAGTTAGAGTTTATTTCTGCAGCTTTCGTCCCAGGTTTTTCTTGATCTTGTGGATTCAGTGATAGCTGATGTAGCATCCGAGTGTCACCGGATAGCGCGACTAGGGCTTGATCGTGACTTGGAGGTAGTAGAAGAAGAGTTGAGGCTGTCAGTGGAAGCGCGTGCCAAGGTCGCTGATCCTAGCAACAACCTCGAAACCAACACCAAATTTGTTGTTGATATATTCGGTCAGACCCACCCTCCCGTAGCTAGTGAAGTGCTCAACTGCATGAACTGTGGGCGTCAAATCGTTGCAGGAAGGTTTGCTCCTCATCTGGAAAAATGCATGGGGAAGGTGATCTACTCTACTCTACTTGCATATGCCTCCTTTTCCCCTAAAGTGATACTATTCCAAAATGTGTTTTTTTAGTTGAGCTTCTCTGGTCCTCATTTTTGTTTTCTTTGGCAACTACCTAACAGGGAAGAAAGGCTCGTGCCAAGACGACCAGGAGCACAGTCCGAGAGAACGTGAAAGGAGACTGAAGCACAACCAGGCTTACACTGAACATCAAAGTGGCTAGTAACTGACTTGACCAAACTGGTATAAATCGTATTTCTAGATTTCGTTTTCAGTTTTCACAAAAGAGAGGAAAAAAACTATAAGTATGTAGCTGAGGTTCATATGTAGCTCTTTCACCAGCAAAACAGAGTTGATCCACAGATTGAAATGAAATGAGTCTTCGGGTATCACTATACATAGTGCATGCATCTTCCTTGACATGCAGTTTGATTAGATATATATATATCCTTAGGTCGAAGGTTCAAACATTAGAAGTTTCGTTTAGAGGGTTGTATTGTATTGTACAGATTTTACAGTTGAATCAAAAGAGAGTAAAAAAAATAGGTTAACCTTGTTGGATAGCTTAGCACTGAATCTAACCATTCTTGCTTCATCTTGGTTTCCTATTTTGTGACCACTCTTATCTCTGCTGGACCTTATCCTCTTTAACTGTGAGTGAATAGTTTAGCTTTTGTCATTGTGGGATGATTGGATTGGAGAAACGTGAGAGGTTTCAGGGTCATGTCTCGAAATACAAAGAATGATAACAGTAAGCAATCAAAAAGTAGACTTTTGAAAACAACCTCTCAGCTCATCTGATGTGGAAATCATAATTTGATTGAACACTAAAAATATCATACGTCGTGGTCACTACGAAGCTAATGTTTTTTCTTAATTTATCACTCCTTTTTTTTTGGTAGTACCTCTTAGTTCTATGTATGTACATGAAAATGACTAGTCTTAATAAAATCTGCAAAGAATGGTGTCCTACTGAATATGAAATGATATGGAAAGCTAGAAGAAGAGGCCAAGAATAATTGGAAATACAAAAGCATAGTTTAAAGTCTGCAACAATAAGTAAAACAGTAGATGCTTTGATCCCAAGTGAGAAGTGAGTGATGTAGGCCTCTGAGATTCTCTATCACATTTTATCGTCACTTTCTACGCTTTTTCTCTTTCTTTTTCTAAATTTCTAATATTTTATCAATACTACTATAGATTCTACATGTGAATATGGGAGCCAATTGAAATGATAAGATAATCAAAGATGCATGAACTTAGATTTTGCCTTTCGCTTGCAAGAAGTATTGATAACCTTAGACAAAGGTCACGTCGTGATCATAATCATTAGATTCAACCAGAGAGCTTAATCAAAGTAGATTAAGCTCTTTTGGTTATTCATATTCCTGTTCCAAAATTGTTCACAAGATTTTAATTTTTGTAATTTTGTATATATACTTATTGTTACGAAGACGAATCTTGCGTCGCCGACGGGAACACCTTGCTACACTCCGACCTATTTCTACTACTCAACATCCTCTTCAACGAGCTAGACGCTGATGACGTCGATCTCCGGTCACTTCTTGATCCTCCTCCGCCGTTAATCTCCTCATCAAACACTTGAATTCTAACCTCTCCGTCTCCGACGCCGTTACTTTCTCCGTCATCAACCTCTGTTTTGAGATTATCTTCAATCACAGCAAGAGACAGTGAATTTCTCCGATCATCTGCGACGTTCTCTTCTTCTCCAGCTGGAAACAATTGCAATCGAACTTCTGTTTCTTCTTCAACGTCACTAGTGGCCGGCTTGAGATTGTCCTCATCAGATGTGGCGGCGAGAACAGGGGATCGACAGATAGGACAAGTGGAATGAGAAAACAACCACATGTCTATACACTCAACGTGAAAGCCATGTCCGCAATTTCTCAGCTTCCTTCCGAAATCTCCCGCTTCCCACAAACCAAGACATATCACACACTCCTCGTCTTCTTCTTCTTTCTCGTCGTCTTCTTCGTAAACGAACAGAGGAATCGAAGAAATCACTGAAGAATCCAAACCTTTGTCATCATTTGTTGCAGGAGCAGCAGATGAAACTCCAGCGTCGAAAACTCCGAGTGGAAGAGAAGGTATGATTCTTGTTGTCGTCACTGTTCTTCTCCGGTTTCGTCGTCTTCTCCGGCGGCGACGAGCGGTGGAGAATTCTTGGTCGGAGTGCGACCAGAAAAAGCGAGCGTAGAAATGAAGAAGCAAGACGAAGAGGACGACTAAGAGGAGGAAGACGAGAGCAGCTAAGAGGACATTGGAGTTGTAAGATGATAAGATTTTGAGGAAACTTGAGAGATCGCTTCTTGTAGTCATCGAGCCTTCTTCTCCTTCTTCTTCTTCTCTCATAATCTTGTTGGTTTTGTGAGACTTCTCTTTTCTCTCGGATCAACTGATCACATGATTTCTTTTTGTTGAAGGGCTAATTTATATGCGTGTGTAAAGTAAAGTCACTAAAGTGTATAGGGAAAATAAAATTTACGAATAAAATAAATGCTACAACAATATTGGATTTAAAAGACGAATATGATGTATTGAGAACAAAAAAAAAAATATCCTGATCATAATTATTTTCTTTATATATAAACCCACAAAATCAGGATATATGGCCAACTAAATTCTTAAAATATTTGAAGGATGTTAACCCATTATCGAACCAATTGTCTTTCTATTTGTCGTCTTTAAACTATATATACATTTAACTTGTGAAAAGGAAGTTAGATATAATACAATATATTTTATATGGATTACATGCATAATCTTGGTTTGGAATATTGATGGAATGTGATGTGCAAGTACTTTCAGTGGGCCTTTGTCTTTTAGTGTGTTGTGGTTGCAACTAAAATAATAGAGTGGAGGTTGTGAGTTTAAAAGACGGGTGGGGTTTGTTTTTGTATGCATATAAATCTCTATAACTATATTATCATTATGAATCAAAATCTCTCTAAACATTTGATATCTTTTTAAGTATATTTCTAACAATAAATTCCCTCGCATTTAGGTTCAACACCTTGCTAACCATTAAACAAAATGCAAAATATGATAACCTCTCTCGACCAAAAAACATATATGACAATCTCAATACATCATGCAATCTTACCTTCCAATAGCATATCTCCTATAAATATAATGTCATTTTAGTAGAAAAATTACTCTTATGTGGCATATTACATTATTATTCTAAGTACTAGTTTGATTTTCTTTGACTGAAAATGATTGACTATCGATTTTATAAAGAGATGATTGATATTCTTTCTCATTACTTGTACTTTCATAATAAAATAGAAATATCAACAGTAAATCGCGGAATTTTGGGGAATTTGTAGTCTCAAGAAGTAGTAACTATAGGTAAACGAAAGAAAAAAAGTAATAACAGAAGAGAAGAGAAGTAGGTAATGGAGGTCACATGAAAGTTAGCTTAGAAAAGAAGGCAAGTAGGGAGAGATCGGGAGATTTAACGTGAACATAAAGCAAAAGTAGAAGACGAGGAACACTATGCAATTTCAGCTGCCTATGAGCTAAACATCTTTTCACGTTTCTCTATTAACCAATCTTATATATTTTCTCGTTAAACAACAAAAAAAAAAACAATATATCATATTCATACATACTTGCGAAATATATATTCGATACATTCGATGTTCACAAGACCTCGTCAAGGCGACGGAGTTTACCAAAAAGAAAAGAAGAACAAATCCCCATGACTTTATAAATGATGATTATTTTTCACTTCACAATATTAGTAGTAAAGAATTATGCTTCCTAATATTCGGTTAAACCAATGGTCAAACATGTTTCCATTTTAAGTTTGTTTTCTTTTCCTTTATGCATTATTCCGCATGTAAATGTATAGTACTTGAGTGGCATAATAATTGTTGTTCAATAGTGGTAAGAAAATGACAATCCTTGAAAAATGGCAGTCATGGAAATAATAAGAAAGATATAAATGTAGATAGGTGAGGGAGGGGGAGGGATTAGAGTCTAAGAACTTTATTGACCAAAAGTCACTCTTGTTCCCATAAAATAAGGGTTGCAGTTGCAGTTGCTCACAGCACCTACTCCTTATTTTGAGCCTTCCTTTCTCCAACTTCCAAGCATTTATGCCCTTTCTTTTCTTCTTTTATACTTTGACCTGTTTCTTTTGTTTCTTTTTTTGGTCATGTTAATGGTTACCTCTTGACACTCATTTTTCCCCCATTCGGTTCGGTTAGTGGAAACTTTTTTTCGGATTTGAAACCGAATTAAAAATTCGTAACTAATTTGGATTCAGTTTTACCTTGTATAAATTTGTCTTTACCGTTTGGATTATCACATTATGTTTGGTAGCGAGTTGATGTATTGCGGTTCGGTTCGGCTTTATATTCCTGTTCCTACTAATAGTGTAATAGTATTCGAGTATGCAGACAATAGTTACCTCTTACTTTCAAACCTATAATAAACTATCGTACATCCACTTACTAGCTAGTAGTATTATGAAGACAAAATACATACGAGTGTACGTAGAGATGGTACATACAATTTGACATTCAAAGCAGGAACAGCTCAAAAGTGGCCTATTAGTAATCTCTTGTGGACAGCAGAAATTAAATGGTGAGGCGAGAGATAGAGAAAGGGCTTGAAAATATGGTGTTTCTCTTTCGTGGTGGAGCCATTCGTTTTTTGGGTTTAGAGTCCATACAAGCATTTTGGCCCTAACTTAACTAACTAGTTTTTACTTTTTAGAACGAGAACCACCACATTATTATCTCCTCTTTGCTTGCTACAAACAGACCAGTTTCTTTGACGGTTTACTTGCAAATCAAAGCGGATATTATAACCAGATGACCAAATCAAGACAAACATATTTTTTTAGTCTGAAACAACGTTGAAACCTTTGATGATAATTTGATGACAAAAACTAGTATCATAAGCCAAAACGAGACAGTGAAGAGACGACACAAGTCAAACACTTACAAGAACAAAATACTCAAAAGATTCCCTTCTCTAACACCGTGCAAAGACTCAAAGAGACTTTGTGAGATAAGAAAGAAACGACTCCCTTTTGAAGCAAAACCATCATGTTCTAGTGCCATGTATATATATTATAATAAAGCAAATAGACGTCCAAAATTTAATCCGATCAAGCACTGACGTCCGTCTTCTTCTCTTCTTCTACCTTCTCTTTGGTAGTTTCTTTCTCTTCCTTTGCAGGGCTTTCTTTCTCTTCCTTTGCTTTCTCCTCGCTTTTCTTTTCTTCAACCGAAAGATTCTCAAGTAAACCAGCGGCCTCGTTTCCCTCTGTGCTCTCTTTCCCTGCTTTCTGGCTTTCAGCTATCTCAGTGAATTTCTCCATAAACGTTTTGCAATCTGTTCAATGCAACACTCTTATCAATTAGCCACTTGAGGATCCAAAAAACCAAAGAGACAATGCAGACAACACAATACCAAGGAGATTCAATCATCACAGCAGCAAGGCATGAGTACAAGCATCTTACAGAAGACTAAATCAACATAAACACTGTCATTGTAGTTGCTTAGCAGTTTACATTACTACAGAACCAAATTTTCTGTGCGTTTAGTGATACGACCTACACCAACCGAGTCTTGGATTAGCTCATAAGGCTGAGCAAGAGTTAAGACACTTTCACTAGTCACTAAAACTCCCTGAAACTATAACCTGAGGCAACATTCCAAGAACTGCCACTACAAAAGCACACTAGCATTTTCATTTTAGTGACGAGCTCTCTATAAGGACTTTCTGAATCACAATTCACAGCTACAGATACTGACTTCAATCATCATAACCAGAACCTTCTGGGAGGTATCTCTAAAACCACCTTGACTGATTCAACTACCAAAGATTACTACTGGAACATATAGATCCTCCAACACTAAAACTGGAAACAAGTAAGCCTGGAGTGATCAGACAACGGAATGGGCCAGATTAGTGATGCGTATACTTACTCTCAATTGTTGCAAATCTAATGCAGAAAAGTTCATCCTTCAACTCTCCCTCGGAAAAATCAGTAGCGTGCCATAAGCAAGACTTTTCATTCCCAGCGTGTTCCTGAACACTCATCCCAGACGAAACTGCAGAGACCCACCATAGATTACATAATAAGCTTATACCGAAACAACTACATCAGAGAAACGCACGAAACAGCAGAAAAAGCGCGGCACTTACTGAGGTGATTGGCACAGATCTTCAGAGTTTTAGATTGTCTCATGACAAGTCGAACTTTGCCAGTCTGCTTGTGCTTCAGCAATTTCACAGTTCCAGCTCCTCTCTCCTTCCATTGGCTCCCAGCTTTATCGAATCGGTACATCTTCGATTTCCTATCGAATCAATCAAATCAGGTGACGAGATCACACAAAATCCGAAACCAATAGAGCAAGGAAACGATATCGGAACAAACAGAGTAAGAGAAATGAGCACATACAGATCGAGGACGGCGTCTTCGTCTTCCTCGCCTGTGGTTACCGCAACCTCCTCAAGCCTGACGATCGGAGCCACCTGAGCTCCGGTGTCCTCATCTTCGTTGGCTCCGGCTTCCTCTTCGTGGTGCTCGTTCTCTGGCTCAGTGCTCGCCATCTCTCTATTGAACTGTTCGAAAAAGTGTGTGTGCTCTGTTACTCGCTTTACTCAATTGGGAGAGAAGAAGTTTCGAGGACCAGAAAAGAAATCGGAGACCAAGGGTTTTATTTTTATATATATCCAAGTTAAGTTAGGCTTCAGATTATTTGATGGGCTTATAGGCCTTCTACTTAATCATCGTAGCCCATTAACAGCCTGTCAAACAAACAGCTTTTGCATTATTATTTAGACTTTAGAGAATGGAGCATGCTTTAAAGTCTAAAGTATGTCAAAATAACAACCAATGAAAAATCAATGATTATGTTGAATAATTGGAGTAAGGAAATATGATAATACCTGTTTTTGATGTGTGGATAAAGCTCAAAGTGATGTCTGTATAGAGACGAAGAAGAGTAGAAGACCTCATGGCTAAGAAATACAACAACCTAAACCCAAAACTCATAAAGTCTATCTTATGTCCTTTATCATGATGTGTCCTGACTAAGTTATCCACCACAAAGACATAAAAAGGTACTACACAACGTTTAAGTAATCTCTTAACTTCAGAGAACAAAAACTGCTGATTGCTGAATATTGTATCTTAAGGAATTATCTTAGGATAGATACTCGTGAATGATCTCCATCCTCAGACCCGTTTGATTTGCTTTTCCATTGCCTTATGTCATAGTTATTATTGTTTACTATATCTTGACGATTATCATTCGTTCTATTAATTAAACCTATACTTTGTGTGGATGCCATTGAGAACCACAGTTATGTGAGTATACTAATAACATATATAAAAAAAATAAAGGACTCATGCCAACCATGAGTTCAATGAATCCAATAAAAGTTACCTTTTTATAATATGAGACATTTCAAGACAAAGTAAACAGATAAACCAAGCTTTAAAAGGTTTCAAGACAAAGTAAACAGATAAACCAAGCTTTAAAAGGTTTGTCCCGTATTGGTTTTGGATTAGTATTGTATTGCATTATAATACGGACTCTAATTCGTTAGTATGCGTGTTAAGAATTGTAGAAAAGAAAAACCAAACCCAAGAGAAGACAAAATTACCCAAATAAATAACTTTACTTATGAACATTTGAGCACAACACATGTACAAGAATACACTACATGGGACTATCATCGCTGGCTCGGCCAAATCAGCGTTTTGTGGCACACCACAACCGCAACATTGCGGTGGTGCATTCACGGCCGTACGTTTGGCTTCTACATAATTACAATTTTGCTTCCACATATATTTGACACTATTTGGGCAAGATCTCATTATTTGCCACGTCGGATAATAAAAACACGATGCACTTGTCCTGACCGTTGCAAGTTCCGTACATGAAAAATCAGGAACAAGCTGACGTGTCTCCTCCACTTCGTAATCCGAACCTCGAACAACCAACCATTAGATTCCCAAATTACCCCTCTGCTCGTTGCTAATTGACCGATCCTGTCCATGGCGAAATTCGAATGCGACTCGGACACTGACTCACTCACTACTGCTTCTTCATCTTCCTCGAACACCGAGTCGACCCAGTCGAATACATGCCTCGGAGATGCCTGTAAAGCAGAAGACGAGAGGAAAGGGTGTTGCAACAGCTGATCGCAGCTCCATCGCTCACTCGGATCTCTTCTCAGACACTTCCCGAGAAAATCCCGGCCGATTTCTGATAACCTCGCCGGCAATTTCGGCATTTCGTCGGAGAATCCGATCATTCTCAGAGCTTCAACGCCGTCGTCAACCCAAGGCGGTTTTCCGGTGATCATCTCGACGATCGTACAACCAAGAGACCACACGTCGCTCTCGGGACCTTGAAACTCGCCACGAATAACCTCCGGCGCCATCCACAGAGGACTGCCACGTGGAAGCATACGAGCCTCGTACCCGGTTCTGTCTCCCTTTCCGGGTCGAATCTCTATACCCGAACCGAAATCCGCGAGTTTGGCAGAACCCGGATCCTCTCCCAGAAGAACGTTTGTTGCCTTCACATCGCAGTGGACGAAGCCGCACGTGTGCACGTGCTTCAACGCAGAGACCAAACACCACGTGAACCGTCTGATCAGATTTTCCTCAAGGCCCTGACCCGCCACGTCAGCGAGAGTACCACGTGGCATATACTCCAGATGCATATTCCGGTACGAGCTCGTTCCTTCTCGGGTCACGTCATCGCCGAGGAACCTCACGATGTGTGGTGACGACGAGACAGAACGGAGGATATGAATTTCGTTTTCCAACGACTCGAGCTGACGTGGAATACATTTGGCACGATCAACGGATTTGACGGCGAAGATATGATTGCCGTCGGATTTGTTGACGGCGAGATTCACCGTGCCAAAGCAGCCTCTGCCTATGAATTTGCCTCTTCGCCACCAAGACGAAGAAGAGATCTTTGAAGTGCTAACGTCGATCACCATGATTATTTTATTTATTTTGGTTTCTTATCTTTATTTGACTAACCAAAAGTGTGTATATATATGCATGGAGGAGTTTAGACTTACGTGGATAAATTACAAATGGATATACTGTAATCTGTAAATATGCTTTTATATTACGCTAACGACTTTCTACATTAGCATTCAAGTGTCGGTTTATAGATAAGAACTTTGTACCATCTTGAAAGTACAGACTCTCAGTACAAAGCATACAAGAGTAGTTACTCATTTGTTTTAAAAAGGTACCTCCGGTAATAGAATTTGGAAACGTGTTACACATTCAAATAAAAAAATTCTAAAGAGCAGTTATGTAAAGAGTTGAATTCTTTTTTAATTGAATTGATGTCTTCATTTGTTACCTTCTCATAAAAGTACCATCGCTACGACAATCGCTACGATCTTTACATATGGTACGCACAAAGACACGTGTTAGTGTCGATTAAAAGCCCAAAAACTAACATACTAGAAACTTTAATTTTCAATATCAGTCAACACTCGTTTTAAGTCATATAGATAGAGACTGACATACAAAAACACGTGTGAAATCATTGAAATGTGAAGGAAAACTGATACACATCGTTTCACAAAATAGTGAACACCTAACACTAGCCGGCCGAAAGAGTAATTGCAAATCCAACAAGTGCAGCTAAAAAATTTTGTTCTGTTATGAGGTAGGATATTTTTAGAAATTTCCAATATGGGCTAAGACCAGAAATCAAACTGAAAACTTTCCCTATCAATAATAACATGATATACATTCAAGAACTTCTACTGTATCCTAAAAGAGAAAATATCATTAGTGGATAAAGATGTGTTCTAATACAAGGTTACTTGAATCAAATGACTACGTATTTCAATTGTCTGGATTTGTCTTACGTTTTTTATCCCGCTTGTTTTTGTATAGTATGGCTTCTAATTTATGTCAGCTTTCGATTTTAAAATGCACATCAAAAAGGAGACGTGTCAACGATAGAGATTGGTAAGTGCTCTGAATTTCAAATTAAATAAACCAAGTCAAAGCTTTGTATGAAAATATTTGAAAACGGGCTAACAACTCTGAAACTAAAATTCGTAATTGTATTGTGTCAGATTACAATCAACTCATCAACGGGATTTAAATCCTCAGACAGGGATAACTGTTTTTTGAGATATTTGTTCTCATCATCCACAACCTAATCTTTTGTTAAATCCTTCTAAACTTCGCAAAACAAAAGAGAACATAAATAATTCAGACAGAAGCCTCAGACCGTCCTACTCATGAAAATGCGATTTCAACATTGAAATTCAGTCAAAAAGGCTCGACTTGCGCACAGTAACATGTTTTCATCAGCCAACACTTGTCACTAATCTTTTCTCATTCCTTCCGCCGCAACCAAATTCCATCCTTCTTTCACATACTCTTCTCCGAAACCGAAGCTTGCAGCAGTACCACCACAGAAGGATTGAGTTTGGTTCCGGCGGAGACGAAGGAGAAAAATTCAGTTGACGTCACCTATTTTATAATTCAAAACTTGCATGAACAGATTTGAAAACGGGCTACCAACTCTGAAATTTAATTTGGTAAGTGTTTTGTGTATCAATGAAGGAAAAGTATGCGTTTGTGTCAGATTACAATCAACTCATCAACGGGATTTAAATCCTCAGACAGGGATAACTGTTTTTGAGATGTTTGTTCTCATCATCCACAACCAGATTTTCTATTACATCCTTCTAAATTTCACAAAAAAACCAAAAGAAAAACATTAATAAGTCGTAAAATAATTCAGACAGAAGCCTCAGACCGTCCTAGTCATGAAGATGTGATCTCAACATCGAAATTCAGTAACCATATTATCTAATCATCACCAGCCTCTTATCAGTTTAAGCAAACAAAAACAGCTGTGATTGTAAATCGATTGAAAAAAGAACTCAGTCCCTTAGATGTTCATAATAATGCGATCATTACCGCAATCATTACAGGTCTGTAAATTGACTCATCACTGTTCTTCCGACAATCAATTAAAAAACAAAGATATGTGGTAGCTCCCAAGTTAAGCTCCCCAATCGGCATCACACTATAAATAACAGTATGATGCTGTGAAATGATTAGGAAGGAATTTAGTATTACGAGAGCGTCCAAATTGTTATTGCTTCAATTGAACGAATCATATGGGAAAGTAAAAATCCCATAGACTATCTGTTGAAGCAAAAATTCAATCGAGAAAGAAAAAAAAAAACTAGATCCAAGGAGAGTAACTGAATATTATAGAGAGAACCACAAATCAATAAAACATTTTGGAAGAAAATAAAAACAGAGCCCTAAGTGAATTGAGTTTTCGATTGCTGCTGCTAAAACCCTAGAAAATGACAGACGATGATGAAGAGAATTCGTCAAGCCATTTCATTTATAAAGACAAGTTTCTACGGGATCAACGGTGGAGATGTATCTTAAGAAAGTTGATGAACGGTTAAGGATCTTCTACGCTGCCACTCCGAAAACCCTAAAAGGCTTTTCATTAAGCCCGTTGGGTGTATTTTTTAACAAGCCCAATAAAGTAATAAGCCCATGTAGTATTGATTTGTTGTTATTCTGCTCTGTTGGATGAAATAAAAATTATTAATACTCATTAGAATGAAAATTTTATCAAAGTTTTCTACAATTTGAATGCATTGGATTCTCCACGAATGCGTTAGAAAAATTCCTAAGCGAATAAAATTGATAGAGAGGTCTAAGCTAATAGAAGAGAATGGTGTACAACAACTGATTCCAAGTATCAGGAAGACCAGGCAAACACCAATGGCTACAATCTGCAGACTGGTCTGGTCTAGACCGCTGCGAGCCGCTGATTAAACCGCTGTAGACAGACGGGTGACCATCTTTTCTAAGGGAAGAGAGGAGCGTTATGTCTAGAAGAAAAGCCGGATTGTGCATCCCGTGAAGCACTTCAACCATCACTGATCTTAGCTGCTCTGTGTAAGTGCTCACTGGATAAGCCGCTCCTCCTGTGATCGGCTCTGTCTCTCCGTAGCAGTTCTTTGATCCTGAAGACGACGATGCCGCCCAGTCACTCGGGCTGGTCAGTCACAAAAGTGGTATTAGGACATTGGTTTCAAGAAGTGAACAAGTTTGAGCTAAGTGAGAGAGAAAGAGAGAGAGAGAGAGTTGTTACTTGTCGTGTGTTGGAGAAATGGAGAGGAAGAAGACTTGGGTTCGGCTTCTGTCGACGTGGGTTTCGACCCAGTAAGCCCAAGTGCGAAGTGCTTTCTCCATTGCGACGAAACGGTCCATGTCTTGGTAATAGGAATTGCCTGATTGAATCAAGTCCCATCTGTGTAATTCACAAGGAGAGATATCAATGTAAAAACACTGTTCATGCACATTGCAAGATCAAATCACTGGGAAGTGTTTGTTTATTATAATACCCTTGCATAGAACCGGTGTGGCTCCACCAGTGACCTGTGTTGAAGATGAGGAGATCAGCGTCGTGCCACGCGTTGGCATTCCCGGAGATCTCTTCAAGCTTCAACACTCGCTTGCCTTGAACAGCGTCTACGTCCACCAAGAACGGAGCTTTGTAAAACGACATCGTTATCCCATAATCCTACATCCAATAAAACAGTTTGTTCATTAGAATCTGAGAAGAAAAATGTGAGACAGGTAAAGAAAGCAAAGCAATACCAAGAATCTGAAGGTGGAGAGAGGGAGGCCTCTGGTCATCTGAGTACGAGTGGACGGTGCAGATGAAACGATAAGGCAGATCAACGACTCCCATTGATTCTTCCCCAGTGAATCACCCGCAAACATTATTGTTTTGCCTTTCATTTTCAACAGAAACGCAGCACCATTGAACCTACAATCATTTTGTCAATTAGCCTTACTTTCTAAAAAGAAATCTATTTTTGGGCAATTGGGAAAGTCTAAAAGAGACGAAATTGAATTGGCATCAGCTCAGAACGAAGAATATATTTTAATAACCAACACATTAGATTTCGAATCTCATTACGAATAATGACTGACACAAGTTATCATCTTTAAGGCAATGTGTACGAATTTAGGAAAGTTTCTGCAAATTGAGTAAACGCAGAAAGAAGGACATACGAGGGTAAGTTGCAATTCTGGGGTTGCCAGCGATACTTGAGGTAGTCGGAGTCAGGACGGCCGTACATCTGGCAATCGAACTCAGGCTCGACGACGGCGGGACAATCCGCCGGTTTGTAGAGAGGGTAAGAGTCGTCACGGACCCACGAGCCGAGGAAGAGAGTGCACGTGCTCTTGTTCCCTTGGAAAGACGATGGTCTGCTCGAGCTGTACTGGTTGCCGCTGCTGCTGCTGCTGCTGCTGCTCCCATGGCGTTTCTTCAAGCTCAGTATAATGGCGGAGGAAGACGGTTCTTGCTGGAGCAATAGAGTAACGATAAAGATAATGGCGGAGACTGAGATTGAGATGCGTAGAAGAAGAAAGCCCATCCTTGCTTTGCTTTAACGGAAAAAAGGAGATTTCCGAACACCACACGAAGCTGTAAATAATTGAGAGAGAGATGTTGACAAAAAAAGGAAAATTGAGAGAAGAGGAAATATCTAAAGAAAGTGTTTTTGGATTCATTTATCGGTGTCTCTGTGCGAATGGGTATGGGTGGGTGTTCACGTGGGTCCTCTTACTTGTGTAAATATTTTACAAATTTCAAAATAATATAACAATAATATTCGGTGATGAATTTAAAATAAAATATAAATATAACATTTCATAGAATGGGACTCGTTTCCTTTTGTTCTCGCATGTTCACTCGATTAGATTTGAATTTGATGGCAATAAATCTAAAATAAACTTTTACGTAAAAAATTAAAAATTAATATAAATACATGGTCAGAAAAAGAGCCATAGAGTGTTTTTCCTAGTGTCACTTAAATTCACTTGCAGCAAGTTGATATGTAGAACATAAATCAAAACTAAGCAAATTTTGTGCACTTATATTACCCAAACTCAATTCAGAGTCATAAACTCAAAATCTTCATACATAAAATATGGGGCAAATATGTCTAATGGTGCATGCTTTCAAGCATGAGAACAAGCTTTTAGCAACACTCAAGAACATGGCTGCCTTAGCCAAGAAGATCAACAAAACCCTCAATATCATCGTGTTGTTATTACCTTTTCTACCATTAGTAGGAGTAGTGAAAAGCAAACGTCTATTTTTTTTTCACGACAAGCATGTTTATTGCAACATCGGAACTATGTGGAAGTCGGTATGGATTTAATTGTGCTTATATTTGTGATCATCCCTTCGATATTGGTGATCAGTATGAAATTCAAGAAATTGAGTTATGCAAAAAGTTCACTTTTGTAAAGTGAAATTGTCAAAAATTTGCTTAACAAAAATAAATATTTCATAAGCAAATTATAAGCAAAGTATATGCAAATTATAAGGAAAATGTAATAAATATGAAAATATGTATTCTTTTATTAAAATCATATGTTTAAGATTGAAAGTCTCATACTTTATAAAAAACTTAGATCTAGCAATGAAATGTGTGTTATTAGTTTTATGGACTATATTTATAAATATTATACATGTTAAAATATTCAAAATTTAGAAGAAAGTATGCCTGTTAAATTGTTAATATTGATGATGAAGTTGAAGACAATTTTCAATATCTTGAAATTAAAATAATACTTTTTGTGTTCTATTAGTTCAATGGAATATCTATAAACAAAAAAAAACATATTAAAAGACTCAAAATTCAGAAAAAATATGTTTACTAATATTGATGATGAAGACATAATTACTTATATACCATATGATGTTATGAAATTACAAAAAATATTACAAAATGATTAAAGATTTGAAATATGATGGTTAGTAGCATTATAGCCATGTTATAATGCTTACGAATTTATGTTTTGTAAGAAATTATATAACTAATGGTTACGAATTTATGTTTTGTAACTATTCAGAAATTACCATTTTAGCTAATTAAATCTCAATAACATCAACCAATTAAATAAAAGTAAACTAATCAACCAATTAATACCATCTCACTTAAGATTACCTCGCGTTTAATATTTGTGGTGAGGCTGTGTTGTGTATCTATGAATTTAGTTGAAAATGTAGATATTCACAAATGTTCTTTTGTTCTGGCATGTTTAAAGTACACAATTAGATTTGATAGCAATAAATCTAAAATTAACCTTTTCCATTAATTAAAAGTTGGGAGAATTGGCTATTTACTCCAAAATGAAATTTCTCTTGTCCCATTATACCTTTCCATTTCCTCTTTGTCCGATACCTCTTTTTTAAAACATTTTTCTCAGTTTTGCCCTTCATTTTCATTTTTTTCCATTTTCGTTTTATAAATTAAAATTTATTAAATAAAAAGACAAATTAACAAAACTAAACTAATTAAAAAATAAACCAACAAAAAACAAAACTTCTTCTCTCCTTTGATTTGGGATAGTTTGAGGAAAAAAAGAAAGAAAGATTTGAAAAATATTCAGATGCTATATTTTCTCGATTTTCGTAGAACATGACTTCTACTAAAAGTAGAGGACGGTGATTTTGCTAGATTATGTATTAGAAACACGATAGTAGAAAACAAGATTTTAGTAGAACACTACTTCTGCGGGTCATAGATTACTGTCAAACACGTAGGATACGAAAACTACCTATTGTAGATAGCAATGTTTACTATAGAACTTGAAATCTACGAGTAGTAGAACATACTTCGTTGTGTAGAAGATAGTTGGTGCAACTTCTACAAAACGGTAGATCTTATAGTACTTAGTAGATATTGCCGGAAGAGGTATGAATAAGTTGTAGATATTATGTTCTATGACCGTTAGACTTATGAATATCTTGTAGAAAACGAATTCTACTTTGATATTATCGATTTGTAGAACGAAACTTCAAATATTTTTTAAAATATTTTAAACATTTTCAAAAATGTTGAAATATTTTACACAGCCTTGAGATCATTTTTAGGATTTATGGAATTTTTTTCACTTTAAAAACCCGTTACTTAGAGTTTCTAGAAATATCAAAGGGCAATCTTGACCAAAAAAGACCAAATTCAAAAAAGGTGTAAATGGACAAGAAAACTTCAATTTGGGGTAAATTGTCAATTCTTAACATATATACATGGTCAGAAAGGAGGCAGACAATGCTTTGCTTACAATCCTTATATATGCTTTCCTCTTTCCAAGTTCCTAAATACAATAAGAAGAAATCAATCAAGTGTGAGAAGAGAGTTAAGCATCTGAACAAAAACTCGTTGCATCCCAAGTATCTGAGGATCCTCTCCTTATAGGCTTGTTCATACTTCATGTTAACCTCTTACATTTTGACCTTCTTCGGCTGTAAACCTTTAGAATACGGTTCTTTTTCAAAAAGCTTTCTTCGTGTGTTTTTATTCCCCTGAAAAATAGATCATCATAAATAAATCACAAATTGTATCAAGCTATGAACACTAGTAAGATTTCATATAATTCAGAAGCCTAATTCATCATCTTTTGACTCAACTAGTTTCCAAGAATAGTCGATTTAAGAGTGAGAATTTGGACAACGTACTCTGGTGGATTTTTTGTGGAGCTAGACTCCTCGAGGTTCTGTTCTGCTTGAAGTACTTCAGATCTATCATCAGAAGCAGAATTCTCTTCAGTCCTGATGATGTCACAGCGTGATTCACCCAGAGACACTGCATGATTGTGATCTAAGAGTTTAAAATCTTATCTAAGATGATTAATGGTTTAGAATAATGACAAAGCAACATGGGGACTAACCTGTACTTGTACTTGGATCTGCCACGTTGCTCTTGATCAGTATCTTCTGGCACATTATCGTCCGCCCAAATTCCATGAATGTAAACTGCAGAAAGTCTTTCTTTTCGGGGATTGTCATTTTTGTGAATCCAAATGAGTTAGTCCATGTGTTCAGCACACATGGAACTGCAGGCAGGACCAGCCTCTCAACCCCCAAGTCAGTGAGCACCTGGAGAACACAGCATTTTCAAGAGAAAAGTTAGAGGTCTTCAGGACAAACAAACAAGCCTTCTTAAGCATATGGGGGAAGTGAAATTGTCAACAGTAAACACCTTTTCAAGTTCATTCATCAAAACTCGGCACATCCCGTGCTGGCGATGCTGGAATCTAGTACCAATGAAGGGCATTTCTGCAATTTTTTTCCCTAAAATTCTGAAAGAGACAGAGAACAAGTCAGGGTAACAACTCAATCTAGGGCCAAAGACAGGCCACACAAGATTCTAGAGTTTCTTTAATCTTAAGAGACGAGCTTTATGAAGCCTACCTGACATTAGCCACAGCAACCAGTTCGTCGTTCCTTTCTAGAAGTACCGTGTAAAATCCACTGAAGTTCAAACGTTTGTAATTTGACCTGCAGTTATCTTAGAGTTATGGAGTTTGATGCAAAATAAGGTAATAGTTTTATGATATTCTCTGTTTGTCTCTTACCATCTGCTAAAAATAACATCTTCAGCAAGATCTCCCCCACCATAAGGTCTTTTCACAGGCTCGAAAAGTTCATGCATCACGTCAAGGGCAACACTGAGCTTACAGTGATTTTCTACTACGGCCTCAAATTTGGAAGAGTCAATCCCATATGTATCTGGTTCCAAGGAATGCACCAGTCTCCAGGTTAATTTCTTCTCGGCGCCCACCTCTCTTGGTTTTCCAATAAGCTCACAGAGATTTACAAATACCTGGATTAACAGTTTTTTTTTTTTTTTTTTTTTTATGTAAGAGCAATGCTGAGTGTGACATAGAGTAAATGATCATAACTGCTGCAGTTATTTACTCGGGCTGCTAAGTTACTTATCTGATGGGACTCTTAACAAACACGAATAGAAAACGGGAGTTATATTTATGTACCTCTTCACAGTCCTTGCTGCAAAACCATTTTTCTCCCAAGGATGTATCCAACGAATGACCGTCACCATCACAACGCAGGCAGCTAGGGTGATCTATATGAACCAAATAGGAAAAAAGAACATTAAATCACTGAAATTTTTCGTTTGACTCTTTGTATTAGCATGGCAAAGAATTCCATACATTTAAGTTCGCATTGCTTGCAACTGATAAACTTTTCCTCCTCGCCATATTCGCTATTATCCTTGAGAATGAATTGTCCACAGGTGCGACAACAACATGACGCACAGAACCAGTCACCATCTGGAACATCCTACAAAATTTCAACAAGAAATTGTTTAAGAGACCACAAGAAAATGCTGTGAAGTTTCCGTTACAGTCTTAGTGAATATTGGTGAAAAAAATGATACCTCTAGCCCGAGACAACTAGCATGGAAAGCAGCTGGGCACGCATCACAAAGAATCAGCTTCCCGCCATAATGACAAACGGAGCAAATCACCTCGTTCTCCCATTGACGCAATTTCATCTTTAGAATATCAGGTGGTTGTGCTTTCTTTCTTGTATTATAGGCTTCTACCTGGCATTCCAAAAGAGATCTTCCATCATCCAGGAAGATATTGGCTGCTGCTCTGCAGGATCCACCATCAGCATGAACTTTGAAGCCACTTATGCTGAAAGTTCTGCGGCAACAACTGCATTTAATGCCTTCACGGGTTAGTTTCCCCTCTTTTCTCACAGTGTGATCCTTTTGGTTACGGCAGCGTATATTTTCCCTTGGTAGAACCACATTGTTGTCGATGAGCCACGAAAGAATACTACGCGGACTGTGATTTCTGGAGACAGGAGTTATTACCCGCTGCACTCTTTTGCTTGATCGTGACGCACAGGATTTGCCCCGACCAATTACTCGATTCTTGATATCCATCAACTTTCTTGAAGTTTGCCCCCTCTTCATGTTCGGAGTGACATTTCTCAATCCTACAATCGCTTGGTCCTTCTCGGAGTTATATCTAAGGTTAGGTTTCTGTTTACGCTTACTTTTCAACCTTGGCAAGCCTCGGGATTTTCTTTCTGGCTCGAGCCTAACACAGGGTGTCATTTCATGAGCCTGGATAGCATCTCCGGGATAGAAATCGCAGCTTTCTCTATTGAAAACCTCCTCTGTTCCTTTCGTTACACACTCGAGCAAGGGTTCAGCAGACGGCGTCCTTCCATCATCAAGAGCGACACTTCTATTATTAGCAGGCAAAGCCAAAACAATGCTCTTCATTTCCTGGGTGTTGTAGAAGCTGCAGCTTCTTTTATTGAAAACCTCCTCTTTTCCTTGCGTTCCAGACCCGACCAAGGGTTCAGCAGACGGCGTCCTTACATCATCAAGAGCAACACTTCTGTTAAAAGCAGGCAAAGCCAAAACAATGCTCTTCATTTCCTGGGTGTTATACGTTCTGCTTTCACAAGGCAGAGAAAGAGGCGTAACTGTCCCCGGAGGAGTCAGAGATTCATCACGTTGTTTCAGCATGAAACATACTTGACGAAGAGACTGCTCCGTTAGCCTTCCATCTGGTGAAATGTAGCGAAACCTCAGCCTTCCACCATCATCAACCATCTGTTCTATGGTCCATCCCAAATGCTTCAGATGCTTCTTGACATGTATGGCCACCCTCTGTGACTGTGTCCTAATATAGCTCGATACAGCTTGTGGGGCTGATTTAGCAACACAGTCAAAAGGTTGCCAGTTTCCATTCTTCTTGGATAGTATCATCTTTTTATGAGCTGAAGTAGATACCTCGCTGGAAAACTCTGTTACCCTATTGATGCAACTCTCTTCCGACCTTATGCGAGTAACAGGAGTCAAGCGGAAGCATCTCTGGCTCGCCGGTTTGTGATATTTGTCAACGCTGGAAAACTGTTCTTCTTGCGGAGCAATCGTTAGCACACCACTAGAACAACCGTTGGTCTCACTAACCGCTTGAGAAGCTTCTTCTAAAACCTTTAACTCCTGGTCATAATCATGTAGAAACTGAGTAATGGTGATCTTAAGATTATCATCAATCACCTCCAGCATCAAATCTTCCCATAAATCCCTAGTGGAGCAGGTCCATTCCCTGATCCTCGCAAAACCAACCCTGTCTCGTATGTCATACCAGAGTTGCTTCACCGAAACCGGGAGATAGTTATCTTCCCTATACTTCTCAACCAAATCAAGAAACAACCACCTCCCACGACACTCCCAAACCTCTGTACGCTCATCCCAATCCTGAGTAATACGTAAAGACTGAAGACCAACATTCATTTCATCACCCAAATCAGGGAAAAACACTCTCCTCTCCTCAGAACCATTTTCCTGGTCGAAAACCACACCTTCCCACCAAGCTTCACTGATATATACATCGACGCAGAGCCCATAGGCAAGGCTTAACCGATCAACTTCCAGCTTCGGCGGCACAGGTCTTAAACGTCCACGTAAACTATCAGAAACGTCTGTGCAGTCAGAGCTCAACCCTTCTACTACCTCCGAGACATAAACAGTCTCCACAAGAAAATCAGTACTGTCATCAGAGAGGATGTGATCGTATCTGACACTACGCCTATGCCGCTTCTTCGAGGCAATCACAGTTCCTGAATACCAAGAACCCAGAAACCCTTCCTCAACACTTCTTACCTAAACAAGCCAAACAATTACTTTCCACGATTAGAAGCTACACCAAACAGATTGGGTATGAAAAACCCCAAAAAGCAAGATACAATGTTTGCACTTATATAAACAACGGAGATATAAATTTTAGCTTATAAAAAGCTAATTAAAAGTCGCAGCCAAAAGAGTATTATAATGGAGAAACAGATAAATGCGGCTTTCACGAAAGTCGAATCCAACAAGTAGGCTCCACGATCAAACCCAAAAACCAAGGAATCTGCATTAAAACCTTCAAAAACAGCCGAGATTCATCAAAATAATCCAGACGAAACGGAGCTAAATCACCGAAATTGGGAAAATCAAAAACCCCATAAACCCTACAATCAAAAAGACCCATCGCGAAAACGGAATAGCCAGTGGGGGAAACAACAAATAATGGGTTTACCTCTATTTTTTCTCCGACGAGAAGCTTTCTCCGGCGGAGATTTCGTCCATTGCTGCCGTTCCAGCCGAATATCGGCTCTTCCTCAGTCGCCAGCATTGAGATCCCAAAAGCTTCGAGTGAAAAATTGGAAAAGGAAAAGAAAAACTGTCTCCGATAGCTCTCCGAATAGTTCCGAAGCCGAGAAAATTGAGGAGACTTTCTCAGTAAGAGCCGAAAATTTAGCAGCTCCTGGTGTGAGTGAGTAGCAGCTTTCTCCCCAAGGAACGCTGTTCCCTACTCCTATAGTCTAATTCCAATTAAACATCTAATTAATAATAACGAGATTGCTTTAGTTTGTTGGCTTTTATTTTTGATAAACTGCCTTCCGCATTAACGAGAAGAATGGAAAATTGCAACATTACTAATAGTCATGCACTATTTCTCCTTAGTCTTGGTCTATGCAAATTAATCATTCAACTTTATGTTTATTTGTAGTCTGATTCAACATACTTAAATAGCATAAAATAAAATAAACAATCAACACTCTTACATCTTTACCGCTCCGTACAATATGAGTGTGATAAAGACCTTGCAGGAATCAGTCAATGTGGGCACCATTTGTTGACATCATCTCAAAATGGCAACTTTGCCAATATGTATTTGAAACAATAATATTGTTTTAACATTCCACACTTGAGCTATTCTTACACATTTCACATACCTGTTCTTTATTTTTATGTCAACACGCATAAATACTACTTTTTTCATCCATAAAACCTCTTTAATACTCGTACACATTCCACATTGATAAATGATAACTTGTATTGATTCATTTCAACATAAAAGAACAATAAAACTACATACAGTGGAACCATTGTAGTCTTTGTTCTCAAGCAACGCCACAAAACTTATAACGAAACTGAAATTGAAAGGTAAAGCAGCTCTTCATACAAAAATATCATTTTGACAAACATAGATAATAGGTGGAAACTATAAAACAGAGTAATCAAGTTGGTACAAGTGTATGAGTTGAGATATGAGCCGACTATAAGCTAATATGGAAAGCTAATTATATGTGTCAAACAATTATTCAATCAAGATAACAAGTTTGAGCCAACATCAATATAACAAGCTTGAACCAACATCAATTAGGATAACGACAAATGTTCGCAAATTTGCTCATGTCATCAGAAGACGAACAAATGGGCCAACTATGGGTCGTTAACTATGGGCCCTTAAACAAGTCATTATCCTCGTATACCCGCAATCGTGTCGTTATCTGCTGCTCTTCTGGGCCTGACGTGTTTGGCGGCTAGTAGGGAGAGCAATAATTTAGTGCTTCGAGGACCATAAAAGTCAAGATGGTCTGTCCATTAACGTTCTGCCATTTGTGTAGTAGGCCTCGTTTTGTCGTCAGCGATGTCGACTGATAAAATGGCAATGGGTTAGTCGCTTTCAGCAGGCCCCACATGGTTCTTATTCCATTCATTCTAGTCAGATTATGGATTCTGGTGGGTCCTTTTCTTATTGGTACACTTAGACTTTTTTTTTTCCTTCGCTTTATATTAAAAACTAATAATATCTCATCCTTAAAGACATGATCCTGACCGTCGGTTTAATCTTTTTTGTTTTTTCATATTGTCGTTTGAGTGGCTAGTTATCATATTATTATTTGCTAAGTCAGAATTTCGAATGGAGGCACCACGTTAACTCTCAGCCTCGGAATTACATAACTACCCTTAATGAAAATCTTGAATAAATCTTTCAATTTCCTTATTATCTTATTTAAAAACGAATTTATTTTATTTTTTAAAAAGACGACGATTTTGATTTCTTCCTAAATTATTTTTGGATATATACCGTATAACTAACATATTTCGCGCCACATTTATGGAAGAAATTAAAAAAATGTAAAGATAAAAAATTGGAAAACCTAGGTTTGTTAGCCGACTCTGTCTTATATATAGGGATAGCTACAAGCATAATCAACCCAATTCTCATTACGATTTGCATATCTTCTTTCTATACGTAATTTTAGTTCTTAGGTCTCATATTTCTTCTTCTCATGTATCTTTATTGTTTTACTTTGATTTAAGTTCTATTTACTGTAATGATTAACTATTATTTGTTATCTACTGTCAATCATCTATATATACGCTTCTAACTTCTTCTTCACTCGCTTTTGTAACAGTGAGTTCCAAGCTAATGGAATCTAGAAGATCAGATTTGGTCCCAAGCGAGAAATATTCAACTCCAGCAATAGAAGGTATGAACATCTATTCATGAAACCCTAATACTAATGGCGAATCTATAACGATTTTTTTTTTTTTTAATATCCATAATATTTCATCAATAATAATAGATCTTAAGTAGTTACGTTAATGAATCAGGCACCTACAAGAAGCTTCTTACGTATGATAAGGTCTTGAGGAAGAGGTATACAGTTTCAGGACTTGGGCCGAGGACTCACGATTCTGAAATTTTGGTCAAAGTTTTGCGTTTTTGGCTAAACGATCACCCAACTTCTGCTAAAAGATTAGAGCTCATACTATCTGATGAAGAGGTATCGGATAAAGCGAAAAAAAATCTATGATAGATAATATTGATACCTTAGTGATCTTTGTAACTATTGTATTATAAATATTTCAGGGAGAGAAGATTCAAGCAACTGTGCATGTTTCCGTTTATGAGGCTTATGATTGCAAGGTCAACGAGGGAGATTGGATTCTCATTAAGAATTTCATGTCACTACTTAGACAGGACATTGTAGAGCTACTTGACATCTAAATCGAATATACTTGATGCCAACAACAATCATCACAAAGATCTTTTTCGCTAGCGTAAGAAACTTCTTCAATTTCGTTGATTTTGAAAAAATCATAGATCGTTCAGACTGCGATGATTATTTAGTAGGTAAGTATATTATATTCAAGAATAGTTAAACTTATATTCGAAACTGTTTATGTATCTAACCCCTCTTTTACTGTTTTATTTTCTTACAAGATTTGATAGGAGAGGTTGTCAATATAAGTGAATCTACTATTTGGAAAGAGGCTGTGATTGAAAAACCGAGGAGTTATGATGCAGATAGTATCGATCCTAGCATCAAGTTTCAAATCCGTGACCAAAGGTAATTCAAGGTTGTAATTATATTCTTTGATCTTTATAGTGATATCTTATTCTGATAATGATCTAAATGTATATTTTAAATTTTTTTAAACAGCAATGTTCATCTAGACTGCGTATTGTTTGGGAATAATGCAATAAGGTTTTGTAAAGAATGGATGAGAGTGAAACATAATATTGTAATCTGCGTCATTAGGTGGGGACTAATAGAAATTCGAGCAGGTAACAATTTTTAGATTGCCAAATTTTATACTAGGTGTTGTAAACATAAAGTTAAAGTCGTTTATTCTGATTTCAAGCAAGGTTACAATTTATTGCATTGCTCCATCCACGCTCTCCTTGAATCCTTCGATTCCTGAGGTTGATGAGTTCGAGAAGGTATGTTCGAGGGGGAGAGAGGAAGAGACATGAGCATAAGATTAAATAAAGTATGAGAAAGAAAAAGATAAAATATTGAGAAAAACCAATAAAGCAAAAATATGAAATATGAGAAGATGAGAAAACATAAATAAAAGAAAATAAAGAGGCAGACGAAACTAATAAATAAGATGTTGAAAAAAAAAAATTGATAATACAAAATGATGAAGAATGCAATATGAAATAAGAAGAAAAACCTGAACAATAATAAGGAAAAGACGAAAGTTGGAAGACGAAGACGAAAAACAGAAGAAGAAACGAAATGAAGAATATGTGAACAACAAAGAAGTTGGAAAAATCAATAGAAAAAAAAAGAATAAGAACATAAATCTAAATGAAAAACAAATTGTAAATAAAAGGAAGAAAACGAAAAAAAAAACCAGGAAATAAAAAGATGACGATGAAGAGAGATGAAAATAAAAAGAGAATAGAAAGTTTGATAAGAATAAAAAAAAAATGTTAGAAAATTATGAAAGAAGAGAAGATAATATGGGGTTGGGGTTTATGATGTACGGTTTATATTGATTGGCGTAAGGTTTAGTTTTTGATGCATTTTAAAAATTCTGAATACAATACATTACCGATTAAAAACAAAAACAAAAATATCTTTTAAGAAAAAAGATAAAAATAAAATTAAAAGCATATCTTGAACCAATTTGTAAAATGTGGTTCAGGTGTGCGGTTTTGGGGGGGGAGTTATAATGTGGGGTTTAGGTTTAGGGTGTAGGGGGGTTGTTACACTGTGGGATTTGGGTTTAGGGTGTAGGGTTGTTTGGGGGGGGGTTTACATTATGGGGCTTGGGTTTAGGATGTAGGGTTTATATTGATGCGTGTAGGGTTTAGTTTTTGGTGCATTTTTAAACATTTGAATGGAAATATATCATAATTAAAAATCATTTATTATAAATTTATATTCCCCTTTCTAAATTACATTCACAAATAGAAAAATTAACAATTAAAGCAAATCCAGAATGGAAAGATAACAAAACCAATAGATTTTTAAAAGATCTCAACTATATAAAGATAAAAACTATTTTACAAATCATTGAAAATATAAACTATCGAATAAATTAATAGGTGAGATATAAGACGTAGACAAGAACGAATAAAAACACAAGTAAAAGAAAAGAAACAGTAAAAAGAAGATGAGAAATTTGGAGAAGAAGAAAAAAACTCGAACATGAGGAAAAAGACATCAAAGAACAAAGAAAAGATAAATAAAAACCGAAGATGAATACACCATACTGACATTTCGGTTAGAGAAGACGAAGATGATAAAGATAGAGAGGAGGAATGAGGAAGAAGAAAAACCGAAAAAAAAGAATGTAAAGAAAATTAGAAAGAAAAAAAAGAATAGTGAGCTGGAAGATATGAAGATAAAAAAGATTGAATAACAAAACTAACTTGGAAGAAGAAAAGAAAAAGATGATAAGAACGAATATAAAACTGAAAGAAAAAGAAGAAGGTGACATTATTGGAGAAGAATAAAAGAGAACAAAATAAGAAGTGGAAAATCTTTTGTATCTCTCTAAACAAATGGAGAAGAAGAAGAAAACCCGAACATGAGAAGAAGAAATCAAAGAAGAAAAAATGAAATGTGAAGAAGAAAAAAGACAAGAAATAGATAGATAAAAACTAGAATAATGTATTGTTAGAGAAGACGAAAATGATAAAGATAGAGAGAGGGGGAATGAGGAAGAAGAAAAATCGAAAAAAAAATGTAAAGAAAATTAGGAAGAAAAAAAAGAGTAGTGAGTTGGAAGATATGAAGATATAAGAAAAGATTGAAGAAAAAAAATTGGAAGAAGAAAAATAAAAAGGTGATGAGAACGAATATGGAATTGAAAAAGATTATATAGAAAATAAGAAAGAGAAGACAAAAATAAAACACATCAAAATTATAGAAATAAGAAGTTGGGGAAAACAAAAAATGTATATAATCAAAAATTTACTACTTATATTATTTAAATCTTTAATTAATTTATCTATTTTAAAAATATTGTACCCGCACAAGGTGCGGGACAACCACCTTGTAACAAAAACTTTAAAATTAATACACATTGGGAATCCAACAATTACACTTTTTTTTTGTTGTTAAAAGGATTTTCAAACAATTACTCATTGGGAAACCAACAATATTATGTTACTAATATTAAAAGTAAAAAAATTATTTATTCAGAATTTTAGATTTTATGATTAAAAGTTAAAACTCATAAAATAAAAGTTTATTTAACACCTATACGATTTTTCATTATCATGACTATAAATTAGAAGGGAAAAATTGAAGGATTATCCACAAAGAAAATTATTTAAACCTAAAGAGTTATTATCATTAGTTCATACTCCAGTGGAGCAGCTTCGTTAATGCCACTGCAAAAGCACTGATGGTTCACGCATTTGCATTTGGTCTGGTTGTAATACAAAACAGTAGTCGTTTAAAACAAATCCAATATATTTGCGATGTACTGGTATTTTATTAATATTCATATATCGCACAACATCGCCATGGATCACGTACCGGTACCACTATCTTTAATCAGATCAAATAAAAATACTTCTAATTACTAGTATAATATAAGCGAAGGGACAGAAAATAAAAAGTTTGGTCAGGTTTGTTCGAATGCTAGCCATTGCCGAATTTACATAAAGTTTGTTACCTAATCGTCTTTATGTTGGAATTGTCGACCGAAAAAAACTGAACATAAAGGTCAATTTATCGACTTTATCCAACCTAAAATAACAAAAAATATTAATTATCTCAATCATCTAAACTTTATGATAATTTTCATGAATAACTCAAATCAGGTTATGACAAAAAAAGTTGCTATCAAACCCATACGAGACGGTTCCGATTTTGTGTTTTTCGTGTACTTTGGTTGATTCTGTGCGGTGACAACCCAATAAAAAAGCTGTTAACGAATAACTTTAGTTCACAGGCGGTCGTTTTATCTTTAGCTCGTGAATGGAGAAAAAAAGTAAGTAGCTCATTTTAAAAACATGCTGACGATGCATGGATTCCACGTCATCCCACCCAAAACCGGAGAAACGCGTGAAGCGTGACAAAACCGAGGAGCTATGATCAGCTGCATGAGGTTTTACGTACACCTTCGCTTCAATTAAAGTTAAAAACTTTACATATTCAATGTGGACTTTTTTTTTATTGTGAGGTGAAATAAATAAAATAAGAACTAAAACGGAAAATGACGAGAGAGAAGAGAGCGAAGAAGAAAGATGGGGATGGTGGTGGGTTAAATTATTTCAGTGTCAGCTTCTTAATTTATTTTATTTTTCTATTATTTTGACCTTAAGAAGAAAGTGACAAGGAGAAGACGAAGAAAAACATAATTGGAGGAAAAAAAAGCCGGATTTCTTTTTCAATAAATTGAGTAATATAAAGGAAGTGAAGAGCGGTTTCGGTGGTGGTGGTCGAGAAAAGTGACCTTTTTTTCTCTGCGATCAGAGATTTCTCAGAGGTATAGATAATCTTCCTTTCTCTCTGTCTCTTTGATCACTAAGAAAATCTAAGAAAAAACGAAGAACTTGGAAATTTGGGACTTCCATTTGATTAGACTGGATATTAGTTTCGCTTGCACAGAGTTCGTTGTCTGTACATGCGCTTTATTAATCTGATTTTTTTACTTATTTGGGGCTTCTCAAAGCTGTTTTCTTTTTTAATTGATTAGTTTTCGATGTTGCGAAATGGTTAATTATGGATCTGTTAAGTGTTTATTTTTGGTTTGGTTTGTTTTAAAGCTGGAAACTTAAACTAACAAACTCTTCCTTCTCTCCTCTCTTTCAAGTTTTTTTTACTTAATCGTTTCTGCAGTTTCAAAATTCTGTTTCCCATGTAGATGTTTATGTATATTACCTTTAATCAGAAGCAAAAAAAGATTCATCTTGGGTTTTGGCAATAACATTTGCAGTGAAAATCAATCGAGCGGGAAAGTTCTTTTCGTTTCCGCCATGGGAGGAGACAACGAGCTGTCTCACCTGAAATCCTCTCTTCTGCTCGAATCATCAGCCTGCAACGACCTCTCCGGCTTCAAGTCTCTAGTCGAAGAAGAAGGTCTCGAGAGCATCGACCGCTCCGGTTTATGGTACGGACGTAAAATCGGAACAAAGGAGATGGGTTTCGAAGAGAGAACGCCTCTAATGATCGCCGCCTTGTTCGGAAGCAAAGACATCGTCGATTACATCATCACCACCGGTCTCGTAGACGTAAACCGCTCCTGCGGCTCAGACGGCGCCACGGCGCTCCACTGCGCCGTCTCCGGCTTGTCTTCCAACAGCCTCGAGGTCGTTACGCTTCTCCTCAACGCCTCCGCTGATCCGGACTCTCGCGACGCGTATGGTAACAAGCCTGTAGATATGATCTTCCCCTGTTTGAGCCCTGTTTTCACCGCCAGGAAGAAAGTTGTGGAGCGTTTGTTAAAAGGAAGTAATGAAGAAGAAGAAGAAGAAGAAGAGAGAGAGGTTGATGTTTCGGTTTCGGTTTCGACTCCGAGGAAGGAGTATCCGGTTGATCCGACGCTACCGGATATCAAGAACGGAATCTACGGGACGGACGAGTTCCGGATGTACGCGTTCAAGATCAAGCCGTGCTCTCGAGCGTACTCGCACGACTGGACGGAGTGTCCGTTTGTTCATCCGGGAGAGAACGCGAGGAGGCGTGACCCGAGGAAGTACCATTACAGCTGCGTTCCCTGCCCGGAGTTTCGGAAAGGTTCTTGCTCAAGAGGAGATAACTGCGAGTACGCTCACGGGATCTTCGAGTGCTGGCTCCACCCTGCTCAGTACCGGACTCGTCTCTGCAAAGACGAGATTAATTGCTCGAGGAGAGTCTGTTTCTTCGCTCACAGACCGGAAGAGCTTCGTCCGTTGTATCCTTCGACTGGCTCCGGCGTGCCTTCTCCGAGATCTTCGTTTTCGTCTTGTAATTCCTCTGTTTTCGACATGGGACCGATTAGTCCGCTTCCTCCGTTGAGTCCTAACGGTAACGGCTTATCAACCGCCACGCCTCCGTTGAGTCCTAACGGTGGAGGGAAGAACTGGATGAACTGGAATAGCGTTACACCTCCGGCGTTGCAGCTTCCAAGGAGCAGGTTGAAATCCGCGTTGAACGCGAGAGAGAGTCTTTCTTCTTCTTCTCCGAATAGATGGAACAACGTCACGCCTGCTTCACCTCCGTTCTCTGGAATGTCTCCGGTGAATAGCCTCACCGATATGTTCGGGGGAGATGATAATTTGCGGATCCGGAGGAGCGTTCAGCTGCATTCCAACAGTCTCTCTTCATCGCCTGTGGGAGCGAATTCTCTGTTTTCCATGGATTCCTCCACTGTCTTGGCTGCGTTTGCTAATCAGCGAAGCCAGAGCTTCGGAGAACGGAGCAACGAGGTGAATCACCATTCCGTGAGTAGTACTACAACTTGTCTAAACGATTGGGGATCTTTAGACGGGAAGCTTGACTGGAGCGTCCATGGAGATGAGCTGCAGAAGCTAAGGGACTCAACTTCTTTCCGTCGCATGGAATCGAGAATGACTGTGGAGGGGAATGAGGTCGAGGAACCGGATGTTTCTTGGGTGGAGCCGCTGGTGAAAGAGCCACAGGAGACGAGAGTAGCTCCGATTTGGATGGAGCAATCTTACATGGAAACAGAGCAGACCGTTGCTTGAAAATTCAAAAGTTTTGAACCTTCATTAACCGTTCCCGAAGGTCGTTGCTAATCTATTACATTTTATTTTTTAATGTTTTGTCATTTTTCTTTAGAATAAAGAGAGAGCAAAAAAAGTTCTTCAAAGCAAAAGAGAGAGTTTGTTCTTCTCTCTTGTCTCCATAGAAAAACAGAGGTCAAAAGGTCTCAAAACAAAAATAAACCTCACTTCTTTGATTCTTTACTATTCACAATGAGTAATCTACTTCTTTTTCTATTTTTGGTAACAACAATCTGTTATATGTAATTGAGCTGTTTTTGATGAATCCGTTACATATAATTACATATAACAGATTGTTGTAACAACGGAACTGGATCATATCAAATGACTTGTAAATATGTTAAGTAATGATATAATTTTAAGACAGAAAACTGTTTTTACACTTGTGAAGTTAGGGAAAGTGTTACAATTGTTTCTTCTAAGAGTTGATCTAAGATGTTTGAGACTATATCTTCGCTTATGCTTCCTTCCAAATCTTTGAGCTTTGAAGCTTTGCCGTAAACCCAATTAGTCCCTTCAATCTCATACACAGTAAGTCTGCAAATCATGAGCCACATCTCTTGGTAGCCATTATGTTGAACGCTGGACTCTCTCCATGTGTTATGATCTTCTTGGATTGTTTCATTACGCTGAGTTGATTCGAGGTCCGTAGATAAACGTCTTCTTGAAGTGTTATCTGTTATCAGGAAACAAGATATGATTTTAAAGTTAACACAAGAAAGGACATTTCAGTTTTTGAATTTGAAGAATTGCCAACCTGATTCTGGAGTTAGTCGAACACCAGCGAACCGATCGTAATCAAGAACTGAGACAGGGCTTGAATCCTCATCGCAGCTTTCTTCTTCCTTCGTTGATTTCACTTCACAATTGGCTAAATCGCCATCTCTGGACCAGCGATCACAGCTCTTGATGAAATCCTCCTTCTGGATGCTCTGTCTCAACTTACTTTCTCTTCTTTTTCTTCTGTTCTTACGTTTCTCCTTTCTACGCTGCTTCAATTCTTCAGTTTCACGTCCTGGTGAAACGTTCATGGCGTTGATGTTGTTCTCTTTAGCCTTTATGCGTGTTTGATCCTCTCTTGCTTCTCGTCTCTTCTTACATTTTCCTGTTCCCAACTGCTTCAGTTCTCCAAAACCCTTCGCATTTCTATCCTTATCGAAGCTGAGAATGAAGAAATGATCGTCTTGAAGCTCAACATACTCCATAAGCTTGTGTGAATCCATACTGGACTTTACTCTTCTATGCTTTCCCTGAATCACATCCTTGTCCCTCTCCACATAATCAGCAGAATTCACCGAACGGCTCCTCGAGACGACTCTGGTTTTGTTAGTGATGGGAATCGAGTCCAAACCCATGAGCCTCGCCACAGCTCCTGGCTCACCATCTTCTCTGGCTTTAGCTGGTTCGAAGCCGAAATCAGGAGACTCGAAACCCGGTTCAGTGGTTTGATCAGATGGGTACGTAGAAGAGGCACCGGAACAGAGAAATCTCTGAAGAATGAGAGAGATACAGCCGAAAGTATGAGTCTTTGAGCCGAGCGAGAGCGAAGAAGACGAAGAAGGCGATGACTTCATCTTCATGATCCCTATAGTGTCAGTGTCTCGAAACTAACGGAGAGAATTAACGCAGAAAGAAATTAGCTTTTCTCTTTCTTTACTTTATTTTCGGTTACAAGCAACAAAACAGAGCGGGATCTAGAATTTGAACTACTACTTCTCTCAGTAAGAACAAAAACTAATATAAAATCAGCTTTTGTTTTTCACTTTTTGGTGATTGGAGAGTAACAAAAGTACAGTGTAGAGATGCTGTGCACTGCACGCGCTTCGACAAGTCAATTCCCTGGAGAACTTCATGTCCTCTGTACTGCTTTTGCGTAACAAACTCTGGTCCTTACAGCCGAATCGAATGAAAAATTAACTAATTGAGCAATTGTACAGTTTGTAGTGAACTGTCAGTTTTAAAATGTTTGGATCGAAGTTCACTAAAAACAAAATGTAAGCCTCTTTACGTTACTTTTATTTGATTTAAGTGAAGTTGGGGTGTAAATGTGCTGAAATATAAATATGGGGTAGTTAAAGAGAAATTGTATAAATTTAAGGCGTCAACAATTTGGGAGGAGGATAGTGATATTCCAGCATCCAAACAAGACTATTTATACTTCGCTCGTTCTTCTTCGATCGGCTTGTACACTTCTCTTCCGTCGTCTCTCTGTTGACTCTGTTTAATCGGAGATCAAAATATCAGTCATGGACAGGGCACAATTGATATTGTTGGGACTACCGATATTCTTATTTTGCTCGGATCTCTTCAACCTTTTCACTCCTCCGCCTCCGAAACCCCAGCAACAACGTCCTCATCAGCCACCGCACATCCCTCTCCAGCAGCGTCCGGCTGGTTACGTTCCCGAAACCCTAAATTTCCCTTCGCAGGTGAATTTTCTTGTACACTTTCGTTTCTTTTCACTTCTATTGCTTCTACTTATGAATCTCTCGTTTATCGCTCCTGGACATTCCTCTTTTGCAGAAGCCAAACGGGTTAGGATCAATTGGATATGGAAATACCGTGGAGATCAACTTCTGCGTCTCCTGTTCTTTCAAGTAATTCGACTTTCTTACTTCCCTAGATTTGCAATCGGGTTTGAGAAATTAGATTAGATTCTATCATTGTTCTTCGAGCTTTAGTATTCTAGTGTAGTCAGAGAACCTATTACGCAGCTTTTAAGTGAGTTTCTCGTGGTGAGTAAGAAAATTGAAATAATTTGGACTGTGCATAAGAAAGATCAGATTCAGGCCTAGTTATAGTCAGATACTGGAACATCCTCATTAGTCTCTGATCAGAAAGTCTTTAAGAAGCAAGTCATTGCCTTTAAGCAGTTTGAGATTTGTGGGTGATAAACTTTGAATTTCTTGAAAATTTTCACGGGAGATGATTCCTAGATGTAAATGAAAGCGTTCTTATGACTCTTTGAGAATCATTCTGAGCGGTAACATTTCTTGTTCAAGTATGTTAGAAGTGATACCTTTTGAGGTTCTCTGCAAAAGGCATTACTTTAGCTTTCAACAGTGTGACTGGTGTGTTTCTGCACATTCTGAAATCTTGTTGTCTCCAATTTTGTATTTTTGCAGGGGAACTGCAGTGACAATGAAGAAGATGTTAGAGACGGCTTTTCCCGGTTTAGATGTGGTTCTCGCAAATTACCCACCACCAGCACCTAAGCGCCTTCTAGCTAAGGTTGTCCCGGTTGCTCAGATGGGAGTTGTGGGTATGATAGTTGCAGGTGATCGTATTTTACCCATGATCGGAATTGCGCAGCCACCTGCTTGGTTAAATTCCTTGAGAGCCAACAGATTTGGGTCCATGGCGTCCACTTGGCTTCTCGGAAACTTTCTGCAGTCTTACCTTCAAAGCTCTGGCGCTTTTGAAGTTTACTGCAATGGGGAACAGGTTAGTGTAAACTCACTATCAATGTTTGTTTATGATTCTTCATATATGTTAAGATCAGTCATAGTAATAAGTAATAACTTGTACGATCTGGTGCTTTCTGTGACAGGTGTTCTCTAAGTTGAAAGAAGGAAGATTCCCGGGAGAGATCGAGCTGAGAGATGTCATCAGTAAAACTTTGACAAGACCGAGCATCATTGCAGGTAGCTACTGAAGTAGGTATCAGAAGATGAAAGTAAAACTGGAACCTTTTGTGAAGATCACACTCACACGCGTATTTTAACGCCATGGTGTTTCAGTCTCTTGTGCTAAAAGTGTCTTTTATGTTTTAGTTAACATAATGTTTGAACATTCCTGATTTTGTCTTTTGATGTAGCATACCTTTGTTCATTTGTTGGTTTCAGTCATTTTTGCTTAGATACAAATTGAAAATAAGACATCACACCATGGAAACTGAGAGCTTGTCTGGAAATGACGAGAAATATTTTTATCAACGATATACAGATTGGTGAAAATTATAGAATCTGAGAATTTCATTTCATATCATCTAAGTGAAACTGAAGATACAAAACAAGACGAGTTATGTTCTTCTGAGTTAACTAAAGTAAGATCAGCCTTTGCCGGGGTGGGCGGTGGTTGCCGGAGGAACGCCGGGGTTGTGTTTTGGATTTGCAGAAGGGTCACCGTAATCCTCAACGTTCACCATCAACGACCTCCTTTCGATTTCAATGTTCCCAATCCCTGTAAACCAAACGAAATCAATCAGAAAACCAAAATTCAGACTGGATCAAAAGATAGAAACAAAAAAGAAGAGAGATCCCGAACCTGAAACGGAGACAGAATTACGGGCTGAAGATGTAATCGTAAGCGTTAGTAAGAGACACACAACAAGACGAACTACAAAACTCATATCTCTTCTCTTCTTTCTTTCTCTAAGCTTAATTTTTATTCTGGAAAGTAATCTTAAAAATCTTGTGTTATCAGATTCGGTGTAGTTCGTGTATTTATAAAGAAACGACAAGTGAGTGTTTTGTTGTGTTTATCCAAACTGATTTACCTCTAAAATCTCAATCAATATATACCTTACATAATTAGTTGGGGAAAAAAAGTCTGCGGAGTTGAGAAAAGGTCACCAAAAAGATGACGACACGTGTCATGGTGGATACTGGAGTGGGAGATGACGTGTGCGAAGCGTGGTGCCACGTATGTCACATCATCGCCAAGCAAGTGGAAGTGTGGATGCATCACTGTCTCTTTGTGTGGTTTGTCAACGCTCATGCCCAATTTAGGCCTTATTGGATGAGCTTATAGTAGAGCTTACTGCTTTTAATGAGCCAATCATAATTAATTAATTTAGCAGGAAGATGAGTATGGAGGGCTTCTAAGAGCCCGTTAACTCTATGCTCTCAAAAGAAGCTTTTCAGGAGCAGGGAGCTTTATAAATTAATAAACGTCATTAATACCCTTATTTTCTTAAGTAATCGAAAACCTAATTATTATAGTTATGTCTATTTTAGTAATTTAGTGTCTGACAGCTCTTAGTTCTTCCAATCACATATCATCAATTTAATATCTAATAGCTTACAGCTCTATCCACTTACTGCTTCTGCTCCTTACACCTACAGTTCTACTATAAATTCTCCCAATCAGGGCCTTACAATGATACCCCGTTGCCTAGTCTATCCTTCTCGCTGACTTTGGCTCATATTTATTCCTTATCATCGGTAAGCTGTAAGCCTCTCAAACGGGTCGATCGCGACCTGCCTGACCCGTTTCACCGTTCAGGAAAGCCCATTAGTGCGGAAATACTAAAAGTTATAAGGCTTTTTTTCTCAATTTCGCTCGCAGTTTGCAATATTGTAGCATAGCATGCATCATCATAAGAAGCCAAGAGAAAATTATCCAAAAATTTAATATTCTCGCACACCACAACCGACTAAGTTGCACAATATTCGTTGTAACTTGCACAATAGAATCACAGCTCACATGACAACAACTTTCAACGGCATTCTTATCTTAGCAAGTTGATTGGGGGATTCTTGAAGAGAATTATAAGCGAAACCAGCTTGTAATTATTTGGTTCATTTCATCAAGCTCCTGACTAAACCAATAAGAAACTAGAGAAAAAAAATATAACTGTTGTATTGATGTAATAAGTTGTTCTAATTTTCAGTTAAAACCAACAGAGGTTTTGTATTTATAAAGTGTTGGAAGTTTATGAGTTGTGGACCGACAGCTATGGTACACTTGTCCATCTACCATGCACCTTGGTCTCGTTTTCTAGACAAAATCTATACCTTATTTGTGTTACAAATATAAATCCGTGACAATGTCTTCAATTCATTACGAGATATTATATACTATAAGTAAATTTAATATATAGGAATACTATATGACAAAAAAACAATTAACTAATCTGACGCAAGTACATGCATCTATTTTGTTTTGTCGTGTACATGCATCATATTTATTGGAATTTTTTGGAGAAAAACAATTAGACAGAAGAGAGAGCTTAAGAAATTCACTGGCGGAGAGAGAGATGAGCATCAGTGAGTCATATCCACCGGCTTTCCGCTGTGTAATCAACGACGGAGATCCTCAAGGTACGGCAAAGGTCGAACCGGTTCTTCTCCATGACAAGGAAATTGATATCCCGGTTATCGATTTGGAGCGTTTGGACAAGGAGATACTAACAGAGGCATGCAGAGAATGGGGAATATTCCGTCTGGAGAATCACGGAGTACCGTTGGAGTTGATGTCACGGCTTCAGGAGATCTCGGAGTCGCTGTTGAGTCTGCCGTTTGAGAACAAACGGGAGTTGTTCGCCGCCGTTAAGTCTCCGTTATCGTATTTCTGGGGAACACCTGCTCTAAATCGTTCGGGAGATGCACTGAAGAGAGGCACTCAAGCTTCGAACGTAACTATGGTCGAAGGTTTCAACGTTCCTCTTTCTTCTCTCTCGAAGCTTCCAGCTTCTACTTCTTGTGGTGATGATGATGCTGCTGCTCAACATTCACAACTAGAGTCTTTCAGGTACTATACGACTTCGTTTTGTTATTTTCCTTAAGGTGCTGGTTAATTAGTAATTGTTTCTCTAATGTACTAATCAATCACACTTATACTGCTCTCTGCTCAATAATTAAAATAACATATTATAGGATTTGTATATGATATTATTGGAAGTCCATAACCTTTGATAAAATAAAATATTATAAAAATTGTAAAATATCAGCAGTCATAGTGTGGGGGTGTAGACTGTAGAGTTAGACGACGAGCGGTCGTGACACGTGCATGGAGTTTTGATCGACGTTACGTTTACTTTTCGTTTGGATATTATGCTTTTTTTAAAAATAATCAATTTAAATCCAGGTTAGTGCTGAAATTATGAGAAGTTTTATGAAAGTAAACTACTTGACTAAAGTTTGTTGGCCACTGTATTCCACTTTGATTGTTCCGCTACATTCAAAATAATGGTTTCCAAAATTTTGGCAGCATTTGAAAATGGTAAATAGTAGCGGTTACGTAGCATCATTTTGAATAAGGATGTGAATAGTCAAATATGCCACGCTGTACAAGTGTACATGTCCAACCCCAACGTGTTCACACATGCACGTAATCTTCCACGTAGTGTTGATTTTTCAGCATTTCAATCTGATTGCAATCAATTTTGTAACGCCTGCTAAACAATTTTGTTTGTTTGTTCTAGAACCGGTTTGATAGACCTGTTAAACATTGCCCTAATTTAATGCACCTGGAAAAATTTAGATCTTTAAACCCTTGTGTAAAAAACACTAATTGTAAAAAACATTGACCGGTTTGTTTATAGAGACTCTAACAAAAAACATTCAATAGTTGTAAAAAAGTTATTGATAAAAAATTCACTGAGGATCCACCATCATTTCAAATTCATTGGTATTGTAACTTCTTTTGTGTGTGTGTGTGTGCAGAGTGTTGATGGAGGAATATGGAAGGCATATAACTAGAATTGCTGTGACCTTGTTTGAAGCTATAGCACAAACACTGAACCTAGAATTATCCGGTGACAAAAGATCAGAATACTTATCGGAGTCCACAGGGCTCATACGGGTTTACCGGTATCCCGAGGCAGCCGGAGAAGCTCTAGGAATGGAAGTCCACACGGACAGTTCGGTGATCTCGATATTAAAAGAAGATGAAACTGGGGGGCTTGAGATCATGAAAAATGAAGAATGGTTCCGTGTAAAACCTGTTGCTAATACGCTCATCGTCAATCTTGGAGATATGATGCAGGTAAATTAAACATATTCCACGAGTTTGTTTCAATTCTTTATATCATTATTTGATTGATGTAATTCGAAATTGTATACACACAGGCGATAAGCGACGATAAATACAAGAGTGTGGAGCATAGAGTGAAGAAGAAGGATATGAAGAAAGAGAGACACTCGGTATGTTATTTTGTGTTCCCACAGAGAGATTGTGTGATAAAGTCATCAAACTACAAGCCATTTACTTACTCAGAGTTTGAAGCTCAAGTTCAGGCGGATGTTCAGTCTCTTGGAACTAAGATCGGCCTTCCTAGATTCACCCCAAAATCACCGTTATATGTCTGATCATGTTAGTATCTACTAGTTTAACAATCTCTAGCTACTTAAGTTAGCAGAAGTTTCTATGTAACTTTGTCTTCTTAATTTATTATGTGATGCAATTGGAAACTAGAGGTGTGGGAGCCGGTTTACTTGGATTTTACAGAAATTGAGACAATTCGTTTTTATGTAAATTTAGTGTTCGATTTAGGTTTGACTTGTATCCGACTTTATATAATTAGATATTTATTTAATATAATTAAAACTATTTAGAAAGAAAAAGGCTTCAAGACCAGATCAACAATGAAGCAGTCGTAAAGTTTAACACCTATCTCCTTCGTGTACGAAACATGGCTTTGGCTTTTCTTAAGTCAAAGAGACTGAGTCAGGCACAGGTGTAATAAAAATGGTGGTTACAACTGAAAGCAGAGTGCACAAGATGAATAGCTTTAGGAGTTATCGTTTTCGATTCAGTTCTTCATCTCTCTTGTAAATGATGCTATAGTGAAGTTGATAAATATATTCTTAGTGTCATCTTACAATTTATATCCAAAGAGAGAGCTTACATCGAGAGAGGCAATTTCATATCTTAATATCTATCCCCAACATCTACAGTATTTGTTAAAATTGTTGATTTATTGATTTCTATGGACAGGAACTCGGGATTAAATTCCTGTTATTAAAAAAAGTTGAATTGTTGGATGATGAAACCCTTTTTTCAACACTAAACCGACGATCCATCTAATATTTTTGTATTGTGATAGTGATATTATAAGATACAATATTTTAAACTTGTGAATGCTTCACAGCTTTAGTGATATAATTGCCATTATGAAGTAAACCTGCTTTAGAGTGTGAATTGCCATAATGAAAGGTTGGTATTAGTGGTTAGTGGACCGCAGGTCCGCAACAACTGTTTATATATTTTGTTTCTTTCTAATCAAATGTTCAAATTTTATGAAATTGTTGATATTAAAGTCTCAAATTCTTTTAGTTTTGCTGTTCTTAGTCAATATTTTTTTTTTTTAATTTTAATTTCTTATTATCATGTAGCGTAATACGACTAAATATTGTACCGACACACAATTTATTGACACAAATGATGAAACAAACATCATCAACGAAACGACTAACGTGACTCTAATACAAACCGCACGAGCAGTCTCACGTGCTTATAAACCTCTCCAGCACGATCATGGAGCCGGGCGGCACGAACACCGGGCCTAATCTCCGACAATGGAAGACATGTTTGGCCAGCAAAATCGTTCTGAGTGTTACTGTCGTAGTCTTTGACTGTGATATAAAGAAGCGCTAGTTCAGGAACACGCAACGGAAACTCGAATTCTTTGTCCCATACAGGAAACCATTCGTCTGTATCTGTTTCCGTTCTGTAACTTGCTGTGTCCAAAGGAATCCCTGCGATTCCGACCTGAAAGAAAAAGGAAAAAAAAAAAACTACACGTAAGCCGTGTAACTTGACAGGCAAGCAACCTTATTAGGGCTCTTGAAAGCTGAACTTCTTTAGTTTTTAATTAGGGTGAACACTTGCCTTTGCGTAGAAATCTGGAGGAGAGTATCGATCAAAGTGATCTAGAGGAAAATCCATATTCCATCCTTCTCCAGTGTAGATCTTGACCTAATCATACACCACATAGACAAAGCTAAGATGTTTTCTTGCTTTTCAAGAAATGGATGAAACAAAAACAGAGTAGAAACAGAGACAATGGCAAAACCTTAAGAGTTGTCTTGATCTGGAGATTTTTACTGCAAGGGTCAAAACTTTCACTGGAGAGTAAAACATCAGGCTTTTTCACATAGCCGCATCCACCATTGCCTTTGAACATTCCTTGCATCATCCACAAATGCTTCCCATGGCTCTGCATTTACTCAAAACAAGTATAAATTAGTGTATACTAAACCTTGCTTATAATGAAAATCTATGACTTCTTAAAGTCAAAACTCTTACTTGCATATTAAAGGCAACCATTTGAGCACCATGGATCCAACCAACGAGAGGATCATAGTTAGATGAGTCAAACCGTGTAGTCTTTGGAAATATCCTCAAAATATTCCTCTGCGTGAACTTTACTAAATCGGATCCACGAGTTTTCGCCAGAGTCTCAAGCCACTGCTCGCTCATGCTCAACCGTATGACTCGGTTAGGATCTCCATTCAAGCAGTTCTTCAATCCTCCTTTGCGGTTCCCAGCGTGAATCGAGATCAAGTCTCTATATTCGATCGCTACAGTCTCCTCATCTTCATCTTGAATCTGTTCTTCTGCATCTGCTGCTTTCTGTCACAACACTAAACCCTCAGAAAAACCATTGAAAAACACTAATGGTTACTTTAATAGCTCTTTGTTCTTACTTTAGCTTTAACAGATTCATCTGTTGTTGAACCTTGTGAGACTTGGGTCTGAAGATACTCTTTTGGTGGCTTTGTTGAGATCAAAATCTTGTTCTTGAGTGCTTCCGGTGAAGGAAAACACTCTGTGTGTTCTTCCGTACATCGAAACAAAGTTTCTCCAAAAGTCTTACTCACCATCTACAAACATTTTCCACCATTAATCAAACTCTGTGTTTGTTCTAAACAAGACTCCATGATTTATACAATATTCTTACCATAGCAACTTTCTTCTGAAGATTTGGAGTCAAATGGTCTTCTAAAGTAAGCACAACAGGATAATCAGACACCTGAAATGCGTTCTCCTTAACCGCGTCAAGACATTTCTGTAGATCTTCGGTACTTGTTAATGTCCTGAGATCATCATCAGCAAGAAAGCAAATCAAGAAACTGTATATATAGATTTCTCCAAGGACTAAGTTATTGAGTGATTCAAGAAGGGTTTTGATGGTAAGAGCCAGACCCGCCGTGACGAACTTCAGCTTCGTTTCCGGAAGAGTTAGGCCATAGATCAAGCTCGATGACACGAACACCTCTCCTCAGAGCCTTCACAATCGGTTCGATGCTGCTTCTACTGTTGAGCTGATTTCCGGTTAAGTAAGAGTTATGTCCCGTGTACAAGAAGTAATGCGATAAAGGCTGATTCATATCTTGCCAAACCTGAAAGAAACATTCCCAAAGGAAAGAAAAATTCAACAAACCAAAAGTCTCTCTCTCTTCCAAAGTAAACAGATCTTATCCTAAAAAACTTTACCTCGCGAGTCACAGGCAATGGAGAGTTGAAATCACTGAGGAGATAACGGTAGAATCCTTCAAGATGGAGTCCACGAGGGTGGAAAACGCCGTGATGTTTGAGCCTGTGGAAGATATCCTTCACGTAGTTTGAATCTGCGTGCTTTTCTCCTTGAACCTCGATCACGAATCTGAGCAACTCGTCAGCGGACATCCTGTCGTTTTGGGAGTATTGGTGGAAGAGTGTCTTGATTTCTTCAGGTGGCTCACTGGATTTCACCTTGAAGCTTCTTACACAACAGAAACACACTTTGAATGATTCCTTCATACTTTTTTCTTTTGTGTGAAAAGGTTGAGACAGAGAGAAAAGAAGCAGAGAGGTTTTTATCTGTTTTAATAAATTAAGAATTTGTTCTCATGTGATGATCTGAAGGAAACTGATAATAGTGATCTGAGAATTGTTCTTAGTGTAAAAATTAAATTAGAAAAGTATGAAGGAGAGAGTAGATGTGTCGGCTGTCTGAATTGAAGTTAGTATTTAAAGGCAAACAAAGCCGTTGACTAAAAACATAACCATTGACCAATAGTAAAAAAATAACGCGGTAGATTGTATATCCAATGCCAGAGAAACTGGTGTGGTACGATCGTCACTTATATATAAAATTGTATCAAACTTTATTTATCTTTCTATGAACAAATCATTGATTATCGTATACAACAGATCAGGTATTGTCAGCACTATTGTATTTATTGATATAGAACATAAACTTTATTGTCAACAGACAACACTACTGTATTTGATTGCTTGTTATCGACAGATTCGACACTCTATTTATTATCAACACTGTGTACGTGATTGTAGGTTAGTCACTGCTCATAACGATAGAAAAGTTTTCAAACTCGTGTTTAACATGTAATTTACGATTTATGATTAATTCTCTTCGAATAATCAGAAAATTTGAAGGCCTTGAAACTTATGGATAGAGCTTATTCAAAGATGGTCGAAGAATGAGGAGGATGCACTCATTAGTAAGGCGAATAGTACCGTTTCTATTTTTTTTTTGGTCTTACATCTTTTTATGTTGTTCGCCATTATTGTACGTTGAAGAATCCACTGCTTTTTGGTTGTGTTTTCAATTGTCTTGTTGATTATACGAATCTTGTTCTCTGCATCATTTACAAATTATCTCCTAAAGAAACCATACTCATTTTCTATGCAATTTTGTATATATCTTATGCAACTTTTCTGTGAAAAAAGAGCAACAGATCTCTTTCTTTTTCTGTCTTATTTTGTACTGATTTAAGGATAACTATCCAAATATCATTTTCTTGTTGAATAAGCTTATATTTACAACGAGCACATGGAAGAATGGACAAATTCAATAATTTTGTTCTTGAATCGGTCCAAAGTGTAAATTTAAATGCCTAAAACCAGGGTGGTTATGAAAATTTATGGACTACAGTACACACAAATTTTGTGGACCGGTTACCTAATATTCCCTCCGTTTCAAATTAGTTGTCGTTTTGGCAAAATGTATCTGCAAATATTTGGACGTATCTGGACGTGTTTTGCATTGTAGATACGTCCAAATATTTTCAAATATATTTTGCCAAAACGACAACTAATTTGAAATGGAAGGAGTAATTTGTTTTTTAAATGAACAAGATACCTAAATAAGGTTAGAAGCTTTAAATACGCTATCTATAGAAAGAATCCTAAAGGCAACCAATACATCCACTAAGTTTTTTTTTGCATATTAAACCGGTCGTTAAAAATACATATTCTAATTAAAGCTGTAAAATGGGTTTGGCCCGCTTGCTTCTAGAGCCGTGTGTGCTTAAAGTAGATGATGATAGTGGAAGCTGACACAAAGGCATACAAACGGTTGTTTCCAAACCGGATCACATTCACTGCCATGCAGTTGCACTTGAGACTTTCATGATAGTATCATCTAGGCCCGCGACTTTTACCCGGACCCGATAACCGAACCGGCATCCGAACCGAAAAACCCGACCCGAGTCGGGTTCGGGTTTGCCAAAATAACCGATCGGTTTAGATATAAATTTGAGATCGGGTTCGGTTCGGTTCGGTTCGGTTAAAACCCGATAACCGAAATGATAACCGAAAACCGAGAAAAAAAAACTCCTCTTCGTCCTCTCGTGTGGATTACGATTTTCTCATTTTCTGTTCCTGACCTAAGAACTCTAGACGTCCACCAAAAATGTTTAGATCCTGGATTGACCTAGATCTGCTTCCCCGGTGAAGCACGGGCTTCTCCGCACAGGATTTGCCTCCGAATCTGTTCCCGATCGTAAAGTCGTCATTCTCACAGGTGGGATCAGCCGACCCCTTTCTCTTCTCATGAACTTCAATCCTCTCGTCTCCTCTCTCTCCCTCTACGATATCGTTCCTCCTTCTCTTATATTCTGGGTTTTGTTGGTGATACAGAAACGATGGTTTTGGATCTGGGAGAGGATGGGATTGTGTCTCCGGCGGAATCGGGTGAAGAAAACCCGACGATTACCCGAAACCGAAAAAACGTTCGGTTTAACCTCGGGTTTTAGGTTCTACCCGAACACTGACCCGAACCCGAAGTTTCAAACCCGTATCCGACCCGAACCCAACCAAATACCCGAACGGTTACTGAATTTCCAAACCCGAGTACCCGAAACCCGATTTAACCGACCCGAACCCGACCGGTTAACCGAATTCCCAGTATCATCTACACTCACCTAATTTCTTTTGATTGTCCATTAAAGCCTCATTAATAAAAGCTCACTATCATCTACACTCGTCTTAGGTTTGTGAGATACCGAGATAGTGATATAAAGGCCCATTAATAAATGCCCAAATCTCTCAAGTTGGTCATTCTCATTTCCAACAAATCAAACATGTATTAATTTTTGTTTTTTCACAACTATTGTGGAATGATTTACAATACCAAAGATTATCTTTCACACGTATTATCAAAGTGTTGTTGTGGTTGCTGTTGTTGTTGTCTTGGTTGCCTTAGAAGCTCTATCAACGCCTCCGCCTTTTGCTTACCTCGACACGTGCTGCTCTGCGACAGAGCCACGACCGAAGGAATCGCTCCTTCACGAGCCACCATGGTTCGATACACCACACTCTCCTCACAAAGCTGCAACAGTATCGACACACCCATTTCCTTCTGCCTCTGTGTCCCCGCTTCAACGATCTCCACCAGCACCGGAACTCCGCCTTCCTCCACCACCGCAGGCTTCGATTCCGGCACCGACATTAACAGATTCATCACGAACGCCGATTTATCCACCATGTTCGATTCGAAATCCGCCATCAGCTCCACCAGCGGCTTCATGATCCCAGATTCCACGGCCCTGATTTTGTTCTCCTTCGCCGAGCACAGCGAGTAAAGCGCCGTCGACGCGTCCTTCTTCGCTCTGATTCCGCCGGTTTCTAGAAGGCTCACGAGGAGAGGGATCGCTCCGGATCTTCCGATGGCGATTTTGTTGTCCTCGATCTGAGATAGCCGGAGAAGAGCGCAAGCGGCGTTCTCTTTAGCCGTCGGCGTTCCCGATTTCAACGCCTTCACGAGCGGTTTAATCGCACCGGAAGCAGCAATCAGCTCCTTGTTCTCATCGCAGAGGGAGAGATTCAAAACGGCAGTGACGCCGTGCTCCTGAAGCTGAGGATCCGAAGACGAGATCAGAGAAATCAGCGGTTTGATCGCGCCGGCTTTAGCGATTTTTATCCGGTTCTCCGGTTTGTCCTTGGATAAGAGCCTGATCTCCATGGCGGCTTGTTTCTGCTCCTCGATGGAACAGGAAGAGTCGAGATTGGATACGAGATACCGGATCAAATCGTCGGGATTCTCAATGGCGCAGGAGAGGAAGAGCCGTCGGCGGCTGTCGGAGGAAGGCGTTGGAAACTCGCCGGATCTGTCGCTGTTGCAATCGCTGAAAGCAGAGGAGGAAATATCGCTGACGCTTAAACCGCTGAATTTCCGGTCCATGTAGATGAAACCGGTGCTATTCTCCGTCGTCGCCATGAGATTGTTTGTAATTTGGTTCGGTTCAGTTTGGTACTCACAGAAGCATCGAACGTGTGATTTGGGGGTTTTAACAGAGTGAGGAATATTTGTTTGGATGAAATGAAACTGCAGAGAAAGGAACGAGAGAGAGAGAGAAGGAGCCTGGACTGGATATTGTTATTCAATTAATTAAATTAGATTAAATTACATTCCACCAATACGATGATAAGATAGAAGTCAAATTTCTAAAGAATCAAATACTCCAGAAAAGACCAAGTCAACTAACATGTTTTTATTGCTGACAAATTCGTCCGTTTCATAATATATAGTATTACTATATTTGTTCAGCCTCTTATCATTGGCGCTCTTGTAACTTCAACAAAATCGGATGGTGTCTAGAAGGAGAAGGAAAGTAAAAGTACTTTTGTGAAGACCTTGATAAACCAACAGAAGATCAAATTATTTACTCAGAGGGTGTATGTGTATCCATCGTCAAGCACTCTATTGCTTCCGTGTACGCGTTTGCCTTAAAAAGAGATAACTAACTCTACACTTTCTCGGTTTATCCACTTTCTTTAGTTTTTTCTCGAACCTATGGAGCTTCCATTGACGGTATAACTAACTAATGTATTTGGTACGTTGTAAAGCTAATTCATGAAAGTTACTTTAATGGTTTAGTCTATATATAATACAATACTAAGTTACCAGGAATAGACGGCCAATATTGAAGGAACAAGCATAGTGGGGCATTGTAGTATGTGATTGGGAATAAAAAGTACATCGAAGCTACTAATTTGATCTTTTTCTTTTGCTTTCCCTCTTTCCGATAAAATGGTAAGACTTTAAATCAGTTTTGAAAGAGTAATTTTGGATCGGATCTTGATATTCCATGCTCAAAACACGGCCTTCACTATTCTCAAGATTTTTGGTAGACTCTGAAAAAAATACTAAAATTTTACATACAAAAATCAAAAACTTATAAAAGTGGAATTTGTTGGCATTTAGTATTTACGTTAAGTTTGTGTTTTCAATGTAACATACAAACACTAACACAGGTAGTACTAGTAACGCAAAGAAATCATCGAGGCGTAAGTAAAAACTGATGTAGAAATCTCTATCTAAACGGTCAGAAGTACATATCATTAGAAAAATGCCAACATAAGAAAAAATACAAAGTGACATCAATACATATATTATTTTTAAAGAGATTCAACCATAGCTATTTGATTCGTTACATGTAACGAATATTATGTTGTAGCCTCCCTTTGATATTGTACCTAGTAACCATTTGATACTAATTTGCCGTGAAAGCTTCTCTACTACAAAGTACAAACTCATTTTAAAGGACAATAAGAAGAAGAAAGAAACTCTGTTTTTAAACAAACTGAAACCGCATGAGAAGTGTAACTGAAACTAGTCTCTCCCCTTTGCGATCATACAACGGAACAGAACGTATCCCCTGTCTCAGCTCTGCCACAGGCAAACATGTCTGCCCCGAGAAATCGTCCTTCTCCGGCATGTTGTAGTCGTGAACTTCAATCCTGAGTAACGCCAGCTCGGGAACTGTAAGCTGAAACTCAAACTCCTCGTCCCACAAAGGCTCCCAAGTATTGTCTTCTTTCTTTGTTTTCTTCATTACCTTATCAGCTCTAACTCCTGTTATCCCCACCTGGTTTCACACAAATAGTCCTAAAAAGTATGAAGTAGGCGTCTAAAAGAGTCTTTTGAAAATGTAAACAGAGCCAACTAATTTGCTTACCCTAGTGTAGAAGTTAGGAGAGGACCAAGTGTTGAAACATGTTCTTGGGAAACAAGAGTCCCATCCTTTTCCCATGTATACTTTCACTTTCAGTGTAGTCTTTACGGGTAGTTTCGCTTTGGGGTCGAACATTTGTCCATCGGGAGCTTTGTCCATCATAAAGTCTGGTTTTTTCACGTACCCGCATCCACCATTTCCTCTGAACATCCCATGCATCATCCACAGAGCTCTTCCATATCCCTACAAATCAGACAGACTCAAATATACATCGATGTGTGGAGATTTTGCTAGCAGTGTTGAAGAGACTTGAGGAGAAAGAAAACTACAAACCTGCATGTTGAAAGCGACCATTTGAGCTCCATACATCCAACCGCTTAAGGGCTTGTAGTTTGAGGATGTTACTCGAGTGGCCTTGGGATATATCCTCAGCAGATTCCTCTGTGTGAATCTACATTACGATTGTAAGTGAGCTTAGAGCAAGAAACAAATAAAGAAGTAGCTCAAAAGTAATAGCCTCTTTGACACTTACTTCATGACGTCGGTTGCATACATTTCAGTGGCTTTCTTGAACTTCTGCTCCCTCAAACTCAGCCGTCTAATTCCACCATTATCGATCGTGAGTGCTTCCTTCAATCCATTTCTAGCGTTTCCAGAAGGAATCAGTATCATACGACTGTAGGTGAGGAGATCCAAGTTGTTGCTGGATTCTTGATCAGATCCATCCTCTTCATTTCTGACCTCGCTTGTTTCTTCCTCAGTCTACACAAGTCATTACAAACAAAGAGATGTAACAAGAAAGTGATAAATATAAGATAACACTGACAAATCAAAACCGCAAGTACCTTCTGGTCGTCTGTTTGTTTGGCTGAAACATCTGATGAAGACTTTCCTGATACATCCGACTCAGAATCCTTATCCTTTTGTAAGGTCCCTTTGGGAGTCTTTGTGGATATTACAACTTTGTACTTGAGATCTTCTGGTGAAGGGAACTCTTTCAAATCGCCAGAGTCAGAAAAATACACCATATCCATGAATGTATCTTTCATCATCTGCAGCAACAGAAAAAAAAACATGGAGAGAGTAGTTTCAATATCTTCAAGAACTTACTGAAAATAGCATGAAAATGGTTTAAGTCCTCAGCAAGATCAAGAAACCACCTCTGCTGCTTTGGCTTGAAGATCTGGAGTCAAATGATCTTCCAAAGTTAACATCACAGGATATGCAGATGCAGAAAAGGCATGATCTTTAATAGATCTCAAGCATTTGATCAGTTCCACTGGAGGTGTCCATGCCCTAAAAACCATTAAAACACACTCTGTCTTTTTCTTTGACAAACTTTCTAAGTATAGATCTTGTTGGGATATACATTCATAACACAAAGACCATACCAGCCGTGGAGAACAAGAATGTCGTCCTTAGTAGAGTTAGGCCATAGGTCAAGCTCAAGAGCTCGAACACCTCTCTGTAATGCCTTAATGAGAGGCACATCGCTGCATTCGCTGTTGATCTGATTCCCAGTCAGATACGAATTATGGCTCGTGTAAATGAAATAGTGAGACAATGGAGAGGCCATGTCTTGATGCACCTGATAAACCAACAAAAAAAGCTCAAAGATTGAAACTTTCTAATCAAGAAAAAGAAAAGACATTAGGAGAGAGAGAGGATACCTCTCTAACAATTGGATGATTCAGATCATCTGAGAACAAGAAACTGAAGAAATCATCAAGATTCAGAGAATGCCTCAAGAACTTAGTGATGTGATGCCTTGAACATGTGATTCTCTCAATGATCTTCTCTGCATCTGAAACCAACACATCTGTCTCATTCTGCACCTCAACCAAGAACCGACGTAGCTGCTCTGCTGTCATGTGGTTCCCTCCCTCTGTATACTCCGCAAACGCCGTTACCACATCCGGTGGTGGAGCTCCTCTGTTCATCCTCAACTTGTCACTGAAACACAAACCCATTTTGTACCTCCCAAGCTCTCTCTTCATCTCTGGTCTGGTCTTTGTATCTCCAAATCAAAATCTTAGCTCCAGAAAAAGCAACAAGATACTTCAAAAAGTTCTTGCAGTTTGGTTGTTTAACAACTCCTGCATATTTGGCATGATCTTCATACTCAACAATCACCTATAATAAATCTTTTTTTTCTTCCATACTTTATAATAGTTATATAGTGGTATGCCTCTTTTTGCTCAGTGCTCTCTTAGCTTTTCTCTTCTTCTTTTCCCATATATTCCCATCCCAGAGAGACTCATGTTGAAAGACCTCACTTTCCATAAAACCAAGCTTAAACAAATATTATGGTATCTAATTCCAGAAGCATATATATGATGTATCACCCCAAGGAAGAAGCTTCATGGATTCAACGATTGTGTTTCTCACACTTTTCATTTTCTATCTTTCCTTTTCACATTTCACGGTACCCAAAAACCTCTCAAGTCATTGTTAACTCCTAAAGGGTTTGAAGAAGAATCCCAAAACATCTGTAAGTTACCAAACTCTCCAAAGATAAAACAGAATCAAGAATCTGTCTTCCTTCACTAATAAGCATATATGGGTGGTGTGGTCTCTTTCTATGGATTAAGAATATATACCTTTAGATTGTTAAATGTAAAGCAACGCTAAAAAAGCTGATTAATTAGCATAAAGAGATTCATATAACAACAAAAAGATTCCATAATATATACTCTGCTTTAAAATTTTCACGTGTTTAGTGCAGCAAAACAGAGGGACAAAGACTTTTAATAAGTAGTTTAAAGATATGAAGCTTCATGATCTATAAGTCCTCATGCTATTAAACAACTATTTTAGTAGTTTTAATAACTTCACAAGAATTTCTTACTAGTTTTTTTCTGGGTGCAACTATTGAATTTATCCCAAGAAACTGGTAACATATATAAACGAAACTGTAAAAATTCGATCTTTTATTCCTCAGTGAACATAAGATACATAAAAACACATACAAATCGAATATATAAGTCTAGTCATCAAAAATGGCAGTCTTAGACAAACTCAAAGCGCATAAGAAGCCTAGTGAAGCTGTATTTCTCTCCCTTGCGATTGTAAAGTGGAACAGCTCGTATGCCTTGCCTTAACTCAGACACTGGTAAACAAGTCTGACCTCCAAAATCATCTTTTTCATTAGTGTCATACTCATGCACTTCAACACGGAGCAGAGCAAGCTCAGGAACAGTTAGCTTGAATGTGAACTCCTCATTCCAAATGGGTGTCCACGTATCATACTTGACTTCTGTTTTCTTCATCACTTCATCAACAGGTGCTCCAGCAATACCCACCTGTATTGTATTTAACCAATACGTTAAAAAAGTTCCATTCAAGATTCAAGAAAATCAAGATTGGAGTGTTACACGCTACACATACTCTAACGAAGAAGTCTGGAGGAGAATAGTGATCAAAGTGAGTTTTGTTAAAGTCCAGATGCCATCCATCTCCCATACAGACTTTCACCTGCCAATTGCTAGACGTGTTAAGCAAGAAACCATGGAAACAAAAACGGATGTTCTCTGTTCAAAACTCTATAACCAACCTTTAAAGTTTTCTTTGGAGAGGCATTTTCGTTGGGGTCAAAAACTTTTCCATTAGGACCTACATTCATTAGAAAATCTGGTTTCTTGACGTAACCACACCCTCCATTTGCTCTAAACATCCCTTGCATGAGCCACAATGCTCTTCCATGCCCCTGCATTTTTTAGTTTTTTTCAAACAAACAAATTCCAAAAGTAGCACAAATTTAATATGCTAGATTTTGTGACAAACCTGCATGTTGAATGCAATCATTTGAGCTCCGCTCATCCAACCGATCTGAGGTTTATAGTTTGAAGAGTTAAACCTTGTTCCTTTGGGATATATCCTCAGAAAATTCTTCTGAGTGAATCTGTTAAATTGTAAGAATGTTAATAGATTGACTTGGAATACTATAAGCTAAAACACTTGCTATATATGTATACCTTATAACATCTTGACCATATGATGCTACAGCTCTCTCAAGTAACTGCTCGCTCAGGCTAAGTCTCCTGATTTTATTTGGATCAACCTTTAAACCCATCCTCAAGCCGCCCTTTGGCTTCCCGGCATGGATGGCAATAAGGCGTTTGTATTCTGGTGCTTGTAACTGGCATGCGGTGTCAGACTCACATAAACCCTTCTCTTCATCATCTTGATTCAGATAATTTATACTATTAGAGACCTGAAGCTGAATCAGAAAATGGTAAGTATTAAAAAAACATGAACACACACACACACACACACAATCAAAGAAAATCTCTTTGACACTATATATATAATGGTACCTTCTCGAGCTCAGACTGCGTAGAGATAAGATCTGATGGCTCTTTACCCCATACATCTTCATCTGATGAGTCTTTCCCTTTCTCTCCATTATCTTTCTCCTTGACGTCGTTAGCTTCTAAGTACTCCTTTGGAGGTTTTGTTGATATTAGAATCTTTTCCTTCAAATGTTCTGGTGAAGGAAACTCTTTGCAATTCTCAGAGTCATGGTAATACAACATATCTCCAAACGTCTGAGTTATCATCTGCAAAGCAGCAACAACAATCGTATTTTGTTCATATATTCATCATATACACAAGATGGAATAATCATGAAGACTATAATAAGATGAGAAGAAGAACAAAACCTTGGCAACTTTAGATTGAAGTTTAGGAGTGAGATGGTCTTCAAGAGTAATAATAACAGGGTACTTTGAAGTAGTGAAGGCATTAGCTTTAATGGATTCCAAACATTTCCCCAATTTCACAGCCTTCGTCAATGTCCTGTAATTTGGTTCCAAGTGAGAAACAAAACATGATAACAACGGTCCAAGAAACACAAAGCAAGAGTCATCATACCTTCCATGCTTAACACAGACATCATCGTTACCACGTGGCCAGAGGTCTAACTCAACAACTCTCACGCCTCGTTTCAATGCATCTGCAATGGGAAGGTCACTGCAGTTGCTACTGAGCTGGTTTCCAGTTAAGTAGGAGTTGTGGCCTGTGAATATAAAGTAATGTGACAGTGGAGCATCCATTTTCTGATGGACCTGAAAAAAGAAAACAGAGTTTCCAATAATGGTTTAGTTAAATCACAATATCAAATACTTCACTGAAGAACAGAGAATCTATGCAGATTCTTGAACCTTTGCATTTTGTGATGCTAAAACCAGACTTGTAGCTACAGCCTACAGAACTAAAAGATCAGCCTACAGCCTACAGTAAGTATCCAAAATGGAAGTTTCTAAATTTTAGACTGGTGAATTAAGCACTCAGATTCCAGAGTTTTAGCAGCAGAGTAAACCAGAAGAGAGTCTTGTGCTATATATGTTGTTCAATCAAATTTGGTCGGAAATTCAGAATTTTGCAACAGAAAAACAGAGAGTCAAATAGCGATGAAAGAGAAGATTAAAAAAAAAACTCGGAAGAACAAATCAGACAATTTTCCGGTAAAATCAAAAGAGAGAATTTCTGTAAAAAAAAAGTCACAATCTTTCTTTGTCAATCTGGTCCACAAACAAAACACCATCAAACCCAGATTCCGAAAATCCTATACTTCATTTCCCATTTTTTCTCGCATTTTCACAGATAAAAAACACAGTTGACTCTGAGAAAAAAAGTTAAACCTGATCGCCGATCGGAGGATTGAGGTCAGTGGAAAACAAGAAATAGTTGAAATCCTCGAGAGTGAGGTTACGTCTCGTGAATTTCGCAATGTGGTGTTTCCGGCGAAGCACCTCGTCAACGATCCTCTCCGCCTCCTCCAGGCTCAATCCACCTCCTCCTTTCTCTTCCACGAGCTTCTGTAGCTGCTCCGGCGACATGTGAGCCTCACCTTCCGCGTATTTCTCGAAAACTTCTCTGACGTCATCGACCGGACCAGGCTCCGTCACCCTGAACTTCCTCGTAAAGATCAGACACATTCTGTAACTACCCATGTCTCTCTGACTCTGTATAATCTGTGTATGTGTATATTTGTGTATATGTATCGTCTTGTTTAGATCCAAGAAAGTGGAAAGGTGGTGATACCTTTTTCTGCTTCTGTTTAAATACTCATATCATTCTTTGAATTTAATACTTTGTTTATTTGTAAAACATGTTCAGAGTGTTTCTTCGTCAAACCTCTAACACGCTCACACATCTGAACACAAGAAAACAAAAAACATAAAAATTGTTTAGTGAATCTCGTTTCTTATGTAATAATTTAATTATCTTACGAGGCCAAAAAGTTGAGTAGGTTTTAAACGAGTGAAACTTTCCCAGTCCCAAGTTAAAAAAAGAAAAGTATTACTGAGAACATACCGCCAGGTGTTAGTTGTTTTTGAATAAACGAGAAAGGGACAAAAGAGAAAGATATTTGTTTTGTTTCAGATTTTCTGTGAGGTGTGAACACGTAATACAGATATCAGATAAGTTGAAGTAACAAGGCAACAAGAAAAAGTATTGGCTAGATTAGTAGGGAAGATACAGATCTACAGTTTTTTGTTATGTTCTGTTTTGTCTTTCTAAATCCACTTTGTTAATAATACTAAAGTAAAAAAAAAGGAGTTATCAATCAGACTAGATCAGTTTTTTTTGTTTGTCAATAAAATCTTGAATTTGGTTGACCAAAAACACAAAATCTTGTATTAATGATCTAGCTACAGAAAATAGACTAGAAGATTGGGGGCCAGAAGATGTTGACAATATTTAAATAGAAATCAAATACTTAAATGCGAAATGAAACGTGCTTAGTTAAATGATCCTGACATTAATGTTTATTAAAAGCACTTAGAATCAGTATTAAATTAGCTGGACAGGAGTAATGTGTCATGCTTATGGTTTTCTTTTCAGTTTTGACCAAGATAAGAAAAGACTTCCTGTGTGATTAAAATAACATTAGATTGATTTACACTCAAAGACACTTTACACTTTCAAACTTACAAAATAGGCACTTATTTCTCCTAGGTGACTTTGTGTGTTGTAGTTACAAAAACACCCTTTTTATGGTATTATTTTATTACACAATTAAAAGTTTTCACATTCTTTAGTTTTTTCTCTCTTCTCTTCCAGAAAATCAAACGACGAGAAACTGAAAACCCTAGAAACACTGACCTTCTTCTCCGCCTCGTTCTTCGCCAGTACCACCGTGTCGAGTATTTACGGATTTCAATCGCTCCCTCAACGAAAAAGCAGCCCTCTCCTTCTCTCTCTGAAGGATTCCTATTCCGTCGTCTCCTCTGCGAAAATTCATGAAAGGTGATTGTACTCTTACACTCTGTTAGCTTTAAGCAGTTTCTCCCTCCGACGAATTAAGCAGTTGTGTCCTCCCGTTGTTTTCTTTTTATCCGAAACAGAGTACAGATCTGGTAATGGATTGTACTTGTCCATGTGAAACCGACCATGTGAAGTCGTCCATTAATGAATGATAGTTCATGTCCACGGGATGAGATACATGTGTCTTCCGCTTATCATGGAAGAAGTGATATGGATGGTGTTTTAGTAATATGGATTAGATATTGAACACATGGATTGTGACTCGTGGACGGGTTTGTATGAATATGATTTTCAATTGTGTGATTCTTATTAGTTGAGTGTACGTAATACAAGAGAATTTATTGTATTCACGATTTGTTGTTTTTGATTGTATCCATGGTTTTATGACCATATGTTCATGGTTTCAACTTTCTTATATCCACGGTTGCATGTTCTCGCATGGATACTTGTTTGTGGATGAAAATAAACTATATATATCCACATGATATATGTATATGGATATGGATATCTCTATCATGAACAAATGAGTACTAATAGGTTACAGTTAAAATTCACAAACACACCATTTGCTAACATTGTAACCCAAAAATGTAGCAAGTTCTTCCTTTATTCAATATGTTACATGATGCTTACTTTCCAGTTTCTATAATATAATTAAGCCAAAATTAATATTATGTCCATATGAGATTGCCCGTAGGATATATAAACTTTGTTGTATCCATAGTAACGGGGTTTCTATTTGGATGTTTACTATCTTAGTTCTACTAACTAATTCCTCCATAAAACGTATATGTTTATGCTATTTATGTCCACGCAACCGCATTCATGTGGATAGTTATTCATTTCTTAGAATATCACACTACTTTCATCCACTGATCTTGCATAAGTGCATCTATCCATGTGTTTTGCGTCCATACACTTGATTCCAAATGGCTAACTATGTCACGATTATCATCTATTTTTTCTTTAATAAACGTATATGGTCATGTTAGTGTCGTCCACGAAACTGCATCCATGCGGATAGCCCTTCAAATTATTTTTTACGAGAGAGTTCTTGGAAACTGCATCCATGCTAGTGTCGTCCACGAAACTGCATCCATGTGTCTCTAATATTTGCTAGTTCTTCAAATTTTTTTTTCCCTTGATTTCAGAACTGTATGGCACAACTTCCAAATCAACGTGCAGGAAAATATTGCTAGTATCCACTCACTTATATCCATGCATTAATACATACACATATTACAAGCTATACTCTCATACACACAATAACATCCATAATCGTGTATCCACAAATGACCATCCACACATCCATAATCGTGTATCCACAAATGACCATCCACAACTTCCATTGCTAGTATCCACTCACTCATATCCATGCATTAATACATACACATATTACAAGCTATACTCTCATACACACAATAACATCCATAATCGTGTATCCACAAATGACCATCCACACATACATACAAAAACCAGTCTCAAATACATCTCAATCCTTTGTCTTCTTCTCTGAATTCGTCATCTCCGCTGAATCACACATAAATTATGAAACCTTCTTAGATTTGCAGATTGAGATTAATATTAGGTTAATAGATTTGCAGATTGTGATTCTTTAACAATTATAAAAGGTTTTCTACAATTTAGAAGTTTCATGAACTTTATTATGGGAATTTGATTTTAATTTTTGTTTTGAGATCTCTTTTCTCATCACCGTCGAAAGACCAAAGACGAAGTTCCATATTTTTTACCAAAAAACATTATTTATCACTATTCAAACAACAAATTTCATTAAGGGTAAAATTGAGTTTTCTAACCCTTCCAACTCTTCGAAAATAACCCAAAGTCACCTTAGAGCACAAAGTGCCTTTATATGTAATATCTAAGTGGGAAAGTGCCTTCCACTGTAGTTTTCTCAAAACATTATTACTCCGACCCCGGCCTTCTCTCCACCACTAGAATTGCTTAGTTAAAATTTCGTTTTCGAAATGTTATAATTTATTCTCCAACGAAAATAAAATTGGAAGTTTATAAACAAAGAATTTTAAAAAAGTAAAACAGTTGCTGTCAGAGACTCAGAGTATCAGAGTACCAAGTACAACAAGCTTACCGACATGCCAGGTGAGTAATAGATTAATGGGCCATTCCCAATAACTCAGTAGCCCATTACTGTTCTAAAAAGATCTGGGCCTTGCATATCGATAAGCTAGGTGGCGAAATTTGATTGGATGTCGACGTGGTCTTGGTATGCTCAGGTGGAAATGGTTGTGGACAATACAATCAAAAATTGAAAAAAGGGACTGGTGGAGAGAAACACATTGCACGGTGCGAGATGGCGAGCTCAGTGACGCTGCTTCTATGGAGTCTTCTTCTTCTGGGAACCATAAGCGCTATTCAGGTACGTTCTCCGTTTGTCTGCGCACTTTTTCGATAATTTGCAGCAATATGTCTTATTGAGTTCTTAGATTTTGCGCGATCTGTATACACCGAATTGAGTGCGATTGGTTATCGTACATTTTGTCTAAGGTTTTCATCTTGAGTTTCTTTGTATTGGTGTTTGATGTGAGTCATTAGTTTCCGTCATCTCTATCTCGGACGATCTGGGTAATTTCTCGTAGGATCAGGAACAAACGCTTATACACGAATCGTGAGTTATATAATGTGTTAAGTTTGAGATGTGATTCGGATTGGAAATTATTAATTTTGTTCCTTAAGATGTGTAATTAGATTCAACATCATCGAATTGATACATTTGCAGAGAGCTAGTTACTGCATCAAGTGCTCTTAATATGTGTCCATATGTATTTGGAATGATGTAAATGGTATGAAATAACTGTTACTGTTTGTATTGATTTCTGTATATTTGGTTCCATGTCTCAGGCCAAAAAGTCCAAGGAGAACTTGAAGGAGATCACAAACAAGGTTTATTTCGATGTCGAAATTGATGGGAAAGAAGCCGGTATGACCTTGTTCCTGAGTTTACTCCTATGATGCATATTGCTACACTTAGTTCTTGTGCTATATGTTAGACTAGACTTATTTCTTCTTGTCTTGCCCATAGCTTTCCCCTGAAAACAACTCAGACTCAGACCGATTGATAAAAAAATTTCCAGGTCGTATTGTCATGGGTCTATTTGGCAAGACAGTTCCTAAAACTGCAGGTACCCTTAACCCCTTGACATGTTTCATGTACCGTATGAGCGATATATTCATAAGATGACTTACTTTCTGACTTTTTTTTTTGTTCTACAGAGAATTTCCGAGCTTTGTGCACTGGTAAGCAAACAAAACACTTCTCATTCTCATTCTATGTCAAATCGAATATTTTATGATTTTATCTACATCGTCACATCGTAGCACAGCAGTTCATCTACCTTGAAATGAAAGCTTACACGAAAGCATGTGCTCATTTATTTCACAGGGGAAAAGGGAATAGGTAAGAAAGGGAAGGCTCTCCATTACAAGGGAAGTTCTTTCCACAGGATCATACCAAGCTTTATGCTTCAAGGAGGCGACTTTACAGATGGAAATGGAATGGGAGGAGAATCTATCTATGGTGAGACGTTTGCTGATGAGAACTTCAAACTCAAGCATACCGGTCCAGGTGAGAGCTTCTTCTTCAGTATATTCTGTGTATACACAGCATCATCAGCTCTTTTGCCCTTGTGAGGATTTGACTTGATCAATTGTTTTCCATTTTTTCACAGGGTTTCTATCAATGGCAAACGCCGGTGAAGACACCAACGGATCACAGTTTTTCATCACTACAGTAACAACCAGCTGGTGAGTTACAGAATCAGCCGGATTTCAAACACATAAAAAGCCACCTTCTAACTCCAATATCGAAATCGAATTGTGTCCATTGTTGCTTCATTAGTTTGATTAGAAAGCTCGGGGCTTTTATGCAGGTTGGACGGGAGGCATGTAGTATTCGGGAAGGTAGTGAGCGGAATGGACGTGGTTTACAAAATCGAAGCTGAAGGTAACCAGAGTGGAACACCTAAGGGTAAAGTTGTGATTGTGGACAGTGGCGAGCTTCCTCTGTAACTCAACTCTCGTGGTGTTTCCTCCATTGATGTGAGCTTTAGTGCGCAATAACCTTTTTGTTTAAACGACTCTCTTAGTCACTTATGAAAGATCTTAACATTCTGGTTTTATTTCTTCCGTCTGCTTTTAAGTCGACCACAAATATGAGCCTAGCAAAGTTTTCTTTTTTGAAGAGTTGTGTTTCGAACTATGATCATTATAGTCAGTACTCAGTACCATATCCTTCATCGTATCCCACCTTAGCCAAGCTTGAAACTTTCCGTTCTTATCAGTTCTGTTTTTGTTTCTTTCACCTCCTCGAAATCTTATAACTACTTTTCCTTCTCATAATCGTTAATATTCAAAACCATCATGAGATTACGATGAATATACAATCTGTCTGTCAACCAAAGAGCTGCATAACTCTTAGAGAACGTTAAATACAGAAAAGGAGAATTCAAGGACGCGAAGTTTTGCTTAACATTACTCAACACACAGAGCTAGCATCAGATATAGACAAATAGACATAGTCTAAGGATCTACAGCTAAAACCTGAGTTTAGTTTTTAATTTACTCGGTGTCACTCTCGGTGTCTAAGAAACTGAACTCTCTGCTACATCCCTCAAGCTTGATCAGCAATGTCCCTCTGTTCTCTTCACAATAGCTAACTCCTTCTCTTTCTAGCAGCTTTGTCACCTGATCATCCATACATAACCATTACACCATATCTAGAGTTTGATTCCTATTCTTTTAAATGTGAAAGGGTGTTGAATAAACTTACCGATAGTTTCACCTTAGACTTTCCAAACCCTGAAGCCCCACATCCTGTGATCACTCGTAGTGTCTGAATGGCTGAGATCATTTCATAATTGTTAGAAGGAAAGGAATATCTCGGGTTTTATGGAAATTAGACGAGGAGATGATGATCAACTAAAGACGAAAAGACTTGTAATTGAGTTTGTTGGGTACTTACAAGGGACATATGCTCCGAGTAAGAGATGCATCTTCAGTAGCTTCATTGCTTGTTTAACATGCTGACCATGCAGATCAATGGTTATCACATTCTCTATACCCTTGTTCCTGCATAGTCATAGATACAACAATGGCTTAGTCTCCAGCAAAATGAACGGTGAAGAAAGCTTATCAAAATAAGATTCTATAGGGGTCCCAAACAGCAGCTAACCTCGCAACAAAGATATCCTGGCTTGCCCTCTCATCTGCCTTTTGAGCTAATTTCAATGCCGTTCTCCCCTAAAGGATAACGATTTTAAGTTTTTGTCTCACTTCCAAAAGATGTTACCCTTATAACATGAATTTATAGATCATGAGGTGTATACCTTGTCAGAAAGGTAAGCCGCATGAGCCCTGCCTCCTTTCGAATATGCTTCTGCAGCCTTCAAAAAAGTGGTAAATGTATCAATTGAGGAGTCCATCAGAGCCAGAGTTATGGAAGCAAGTAAAGCTTACTTTTTGATAGTAGGACTTCGTAACATCCCACTGGTCACTTGCACCTTTTCTAAGTTCATGATATCCGTCATCCTTCACTGTAACACATGTATCAATTGATTGGTCAATGCATTTCATGAGTAAGAAAAGATTAATTCAACAGTTACAACACAAACAAGCAGTCAAGACCTTAACATGTTGTTGCCAATGACACCATAGCAAAAATTGCCAAGTGTTTCATCGGGTAAAACAACATACATCAGAAGCTCGGAGCCTGCAAACTCATGGCAAAATAGGCCTGCTATCTGCTGCCGAATTCACAGATACTAAAATCAAGAGACCGTAATAACATACCAAGAGTAGCAGGCTGAAACCCTTCTCCAGTAGATGAAGAAGCATCAATGCCAAGTGACTGCATTTTCTTTGCGACATTCCTCCAACTCATTGTCTTTGGTTCCTGTTTAGCACTTTGGGGAATGTGGAACAGAGACTCCAACACTTTTTGAGGAAGGCAAAGCTCATTACTTCCTTGGTTAGTAGCAAAAGGATCTTCAGAACTCATGAGAGCTTTTGAGTAATCCCTACCATGAGAAAAAAAAACAGGTAATGTTTTCAGTTTTGACTTCTTCCACAATGTTGAAGCAAAGCAGTGATATTGTAAGTTTTCGCTGTCTCAGGAGTAATTTAAACATCATGTGTTCATGAACTGAATCCTCCACCATCTAATCAAAGGATAAACTAAGGAAAAATTCCAAAACCAGTGAATAGCAATAACCAGAAGAAGACCTAAGAATCAATGGCAGTACCTTTGACTATAGTCTACACCCCAGAAACTTAGTTCACTTTCAGAAGAATCAGTATCAACTGATGTCTCTGCCAGCTGCTAAATAATGTCAAGAGGTTGCAATTTTATACCATGGTGGGAATACAAAATAAACAGATCTGTGAAGAAAACCAAAAAAAAGCAACCACTTACACTATCGCTGAATACTATGCCGGAGCATCTACCACTTAATGAATCATCAGTTGATGAAGAAGACATGTCAAGCAAGACATTCAAGGCCTAAGAAGAAAAGAATATTAAGCTTAAAAATAAATGGCCGGGCTAGTATCAGCATATTTCAGGGGCCTTTCCTGTCAATATACCGATACTTCCCCATGTAAGTTTGAAGACAATCTGCTTACCATGTCGACATCGTAGCCACATTGACCTGCAAAAAACGAGAGACTTCCATGTCAAATTTATCGAACAAGTCTTTCCTCATAACAATTTCACAGCTATTTCCATATCAATATGACTAAGAAGAAGAAGAAATACTCACACAGCACATCTCTCACCACAGCCATGCTAAGCTCGCAGTCATCTCCAAGCATTGAATTTAGAAACTGTTCAGCTTTCTCTCTATCAGCAGCTTTTTTCCCATGCTTACTGAGCTCTTTAGACCTTTCCATCAAAGGAAAATCTTTCTTCACAGGATTTGGCTTCAAGTAGTCCTTCGCAATCACCGAAGACACCATCCCTGTGGCAGCGATAACTCTATTCTGCTTGTTTCCCTTAAGCCACCTCTCTCTCGTCAGATCCTCGCTGCAGCTAGAGCTTGACCCAGCCCCGTACTCAGAGGTTGACCCGGTTTCCTGACCCGAAGACCCACTCGTGACCGAACTCGTGGACGGATCATCGACGCTTTCCACCAGATCCGATAAAATCTCCGCGGCTTTGTTCAGATCTCCGCCTGCCTCTTTGTAAGCAGCCTTCGCTTCCTCCATTGACACCGAGCAAAAGGCCTCCATTAACGACTCGATAACTTTTTTTTCGATTTTTTCCGACTCCTTGCTTCCTTCACCGTCCTTACGCCTCTCTTCCTCCAAGTCTTTTTTGTTCCCGTCAGGCGCCGCTCCATCACCGGAGGGTTTTGCAGCGCACGACCGCTTCTTCTTCCTCTTCTGCTGATTATGGTGCTTCATTATCGGACGAATGTAATAGACAAATCGAGTAAACGCCGTCGAAACCTCCACAAAATCAAAGGACTCTCTTCCGATCTACAGAGCAAACCGAATCCCTAATTTCCGACGGGGATCGCCGGAGAGAGGGAAAAGGAAATTAACCGAGAATCACGATTTCAGATATCGGGTCGTAAATCGTAATAGAAGATGCCAATATCAGAGGAATTTCGTTCGTCCATATTTGATTGGGAATCGGAATCGCTACGTTAATCACGCGCACGTGCTGATGGTGACCCACGTTTAGCACTCACGCGCGTCTCTTACGCTCACGAACCAAAACAACCGACCGGTTCCCTCCTTGTTTATACATATTGACCGGTTTCTATACCCGGTTCAAAATCTGAACCAATTACAATTGGATTCCCCTGTTGAAAAACACTTGAAATTGCTTTGATTACATTATCCTCTTTTTCTAATTAGAAAATTTGAGTCAACGTGCAAAAACAGAAAGAAAATTAAAAAACGTGAATGTTTCATTTTAAAAAATGAATGGATTCCTCAAGTAGATTTCCTTTTATTTATTTTAACTTCGTTTCACCATGAATGTTTTTACTTTGATTTAATTATAGATACTGACAAGAGGCAAACAAAAAATTAGCAGAAAAGTCAAATATCAAGTATGAATTGTTTATACTTTATATATAGACTTCTGTGTAAATCAACTCATCCAAACATTTTTCAATTTGACATTTTCATTCCAAACTTAAAACTGAAACTTCTGCATTGACGGACTAAGAGCGTTTGAAGACGCTGGTAATCGCGTTTATATACTAATCAAGTTTCCAAAAATTCATAAAAGTGTAGAGAAGCTTACACAACTCAGAACAGCGTTGTTAGTAGAAAAAAGGGTGATTCAAGATTATTATGCACAGGCACCAATCATGACCGGTCACCTGAGAGACCGTTGACCAATAACTTTGGTTGAAGTGGAGAGTCCTGAAACCGAGCTGGACTTAGACGCGCATGGAACTCGTCACGATCATTGTTATTCTTATGGCTGCTTGATAGATTACATTGCTTCTTCCTTCTCTGTACCTCCTCCTTTACTCTCTGCATCACGAAGTAAGAAAACACATAAAAAATGCGGTAAAAAGTGAAAATAACTGAAGAAAGTGATGATGAATCTTCGTGCCAAAACAAACAGTCAAACACAATATAACAGATAGAATCAACATTTTGATTTTTTCTTAGTGCATAACCACACTGTCCGGTTAATGCTTAACCAGCACAACAAAACAAGAACGCAACTGCTGCTAATTTAACAATGAACTAAAACAAGAAAAGACTGTATCTACAGAATCTCAGAAGAAAAAAATGGTAAGACTTAACCACATCTTCAGAATGAAAACTTATCAAATCAAATATGACAGAGCTTCTAATTCACCGTGGTAATAGTGAAAGTAAGCTGCAAGATGCAACTTCTACTAAAGAAAAATTAAACACTAACAAAGAATCTAGTCCCGGTTCTTACTAGGATAATGATAAAGCATTGATAATTTGATATTACTCTCTGCATTTCTAGCAATAGTCCTAACTGGTTTAGGTCATTCAACAAACTTTAAAACAAAATCAAAATTCAAACCTGAAGCATCATCAAATCGAACTTGGGCTGACCAATATGCTCCACAGTGATTGAACCAAAGAGGTTCCCCAACAATGCAGCATCAGGAACAGTCAAACCCTCCACAAGCCCAACCACCAAACCACCGAGAAAGCTATCTCCGGCGCCGGTAGGGTCCACCTGCTTCGCCAGAAACGGAGGTACCACAGTTTCATCATCCTTATCATAAATCCTACACCCTTTTTCACCGTTAGTCACCACCACACAGCACAACTGCTTCATCTGCTCAACATCCATGAAAAGAGCTTCGTCTGACGAAGCTTTCAAGAACCCGACTCTATGCAAGATGTGATGAAACCCACTCTCCTTCAGATTCACAAGCTTCACGGATCCATCAACCGGATCGAAAACTCTGATCAGAGCTTGAATGTCCACAGCCACCACGTCGCAGATCTCCACCATCTTTTCGAGCGTCTCCGGGAGAATCTCGCCGCCGACGCCAACAGCCATCCCGAAATCGAATCTCGAGTCGGGGATATCCGACGGGAGAATCGGATCGCATGCAGTGACCCGTTTCAGAACCCGATCAGCGTGACCGACCCCGTCGATTCCCAGATCGAAGTATGCCTCGAAAACCGTGGTCTCCTTCTCCGGAGCGACGATCGGAGGGTGGGTGACCTCGTACCTGAAGTCGCGTCCGACTTTGGAGACCAAATCGCAGGCGACGGAGGAAGAATCGAGGACGTTGGAGATGAAGGAGGCAGCGCCGCCGAGGGTTTCAGCTACGACGGCACCGTTTTGGATCAGGACGTCGTGGCAGTAATTCCCGACGATGAGAACTCGGGGATTGGGAATCCGGCGAGGTGAGTGAGGCGTTTGCTGCGGCGGAAGAGGGTGATTCTGAGTCATGATGGTTGTTGGCGCAGAGGATCATCGAGAAAGTGAAGATGGTAGCGAGAGAAGAAGAGTCATGGAAGAAGAAGGAGTCTATGAGAGACGAGAGAAACGGGAAGAGACAAAAGTAATGGCTATGAAGCTATACGTAACGTCTTGAGATTCGTTCCTCAATCTGTCTTATGATATGTGTCGCGATGAAGATGACGCGCGCGCTTCATCAACCTCCTTAATTTTTTCTTGTTTAGATTTTCGTTAATCTTTTTACTCAAAGAACAAAATAATATTAGTAGTATAACCACAATTCTCTCTCCCATATACATGTATGTTTTGTTATCTGTAATGGTGTACCTAATTTGCTTTTAGTTTTCCGTAATTCAAAATTCCTTATTTAGCTCCACTTATTAAAAGTTTTAAACCTTTTATTTCCGACAAGGACCGGATTCAAAGTGGAGATGAATACTGGACGGCTTTGTGGACTTATTTGGTGTCCCGAATCTGCTGTCGAGAAGGAAAAGAATTAACTAAACAGAGAATATAACAAGCATAAAGACGATTATATGAGTTATACAGACGAGAGAGACTCAGGCCGTTTAGTTATGAGCCATGAGACATTTTGTTAACTCAGAAAGTTAAGTCAAGGTGGCCTTCAAGTTTTACAATGAATACTAAAGAAACAAGCGTAGGACTGACTACATTTTAGTCGGAACGAATGCCTCCCATGAAGCTCCTCGGATCTGGACAGTTACCCGAGAACTGAGCTTGCGAAAAGTCGAATCCTGGATTCTGCAACAACCAACAGAGACAAGAAAAGGTAAAAAGGAAAATCGATAGAAAGAGAAGAGAAAAGCATACTTTGAGCTCAGTACAAAAGCAGCAAACAAATAAAAGCAAGAAGCCGTTATGCATCGCTAACCTCTTCTTGAAACCTCTGGAGCATGAGTCGCTTCTGCTCAAGATCAGTGGCGTAAGGATCCAACTGACCCTGTCCCAGAATGGGAGATGCCCATGTCTGCCCTTTCTCCCTCTTCTGAAGTGTAATGTGCATTATATCATCCTCTGCCATATCAAACATAAAAATTTCTTAATGGGGAACCAGTGCAGTGACAGACGGCTGATAATAATCCAAAACATACTGTAAACTTTTCAATGATAATGATGGATGGAGAGTGCATAGAATCAGATCATTTACACTCTTATATCGCTGCAACCGGTAAATCCAAACATGATACTTCTACAATATTTCGTCGTCTACACTATCTCATACTTCTAATAATCAGATCACATTTTTCAGGTTCAAAATATCTTCTCTAGCCATGGAACAGGTTTAAAGCATGCTAGAGTTCATCATCTAAATAGATAAACCTAACCATCAAATACAGACGCACAAAAACAAAATGGAGTACCTAGAGTCCAGAACGAGCAATCCGTCTTCACAGGGGCACTTAGATCGTGCTGGAAATTGACAAATTTTTACCGAAACTCTCAGATTAGTGAGAGAAAATGGATTCAAAACGTTGACAAATGGGTAAAAAGGAACTGACGTTGAGAAAAGGAGGGTTGCCTTTGATGCCAACTTCGATATGTTTCGACTGTATTTTGCAGTGGAAAGCCTTTGGATGAACATTTGGCGGCAGATTTAGGTACATGTTCACTTCTTCTAATGTTTGATCCCATTCAAACACCTTTTGCCCTACAAACACCGGAAAATCGAAAGAACGTAATCGATCAAATCTAGTCTCTCCGGTTCGCAGCTAAAACACACTAAATAAAATCAAACTGCAATAACAGAAACAGAGAGATGTGAAAGGAAAGAGAGAAACCATTGTGAACGAAATCGTGTCGCTTCTCTGGCGCAAGCTTCTCCGCCATGTCTAGGGATTTCGTTTCCGTTCCCGGAGAAATACGAGACTTTTTTAACTGTAGCAGTGAAAGGTTTCATTCAATTCGTTAATTTTAAAGGAAACAACCATGTGTATTAAGAGTGTAAACAAGTTTCTGCTCAAGACATGATTGCCAAAACAGAAGAAGCAAATGCAATTGGGTGAATTGGATGGAGACTAACTCACCTGTGCCTCAAATCGCAAATCTCGATAGGAACTCTGAGACAAATTCTCTCTAGAAACCGCACAATTCAGATGCGTTCCTGTGCAACTTCGACGCGTATCTGATCGGAGCCGGAGCGGAGTCGTGAGGAATTACAAAGGGAAGCTGATCCGATTGGGAAGCTAAAGCAATGGCCAATCAGCAATCGGCTTTACATTCTGAAGTTTAGATGGGCTTTTCATTTCGTCTCAGATTGCTTCGATTTAATTATGGGCCTAAATGTGGAATAGTACTAGTTCATGTTAGAAAAATCGCGTGTTTAAAACAGCGTTCCAGATTCGTTTTTCTCTCGTATGTTGTCGCTTGTAAAGTGTAGTGCAAGTCTTTACTACAAAACATAATTACAGAGTCATGATTTCATTAGAGAAGTTTAACAAGCAATTTCTTTTAAACCTGTTGCTTCGATCTATAAAGATTAGTTGGTTGGAGAGAGTAAGTTGAATAGTGACACAGTCATGGAACGGCTTGGTCTGCTCAAATTTGCGCAATCCTGTTAGAACAATGCCAGTGTAATTATTGGTCAAACACTTTCACAATTCCACAAATCGGAGCTATACTATTCTTTAACATTATTTAGAAACATTCAAGATATACTTTTATATTTATTTCTTTAAAGATTAGAAGTGGGTCTATTACATAGATTAAGGAGGAAGGCAGAAATTGAAAGAAGATGTAATGTGTAGCCGTGTAGGTCTACCACAAAACATGGTCCATTTTAAAGCTTTGAACAAAGCCAAGTGTGTGGTTTTAGCTTTTCAATGTCTTTGGGACCAGTGATACACTGTACCCATCTCCCTTTCAGTCTCTCCAACGCAGACCGGACAGTTATTGTCACTTTTGGTTCAATTTTCTCATATAAAATTAAGTTTCATGAAACTAGATTGACGTATACGTGATCAAATGTTTTGAGTACCGGTTATATTTAAAAAAAAAACAATCACGAGTGAGTGGCACTAGTTCATTGAATAAGTTGTCGGTTAATATTCGGTTTTGACCGGTAAGGCTGTTAACTAAAACAAATATATTAGCGACCCACTTGAAGAGTATAAAAAAAAATCCGGCCGGCAAAGCCACGGCCATATTCTGCCTCTCGCAATCGTGACCGTCCGATTAAGAAGTTGAGAAAATGCTGTACACGACGATTCATTTAAAAACTTGTATATGAACTCTGGTTTTCGTAGCACATTACACAACCACAATTTAATTTGATAAATAAAGAAGTTATATCGACGACCCCTTTAGGCCAATCGATAATCCTTAAAAAAATAAAAATATACTAGATGTTTTCTCGGGTATGGCTAGGTCCGAACCATATAGAAAACCTATTTTTTGCAGCATTGATCAGCTCACACGCATAACCTAGTCTATACGATATGTACTAATTAATGTACATATTAGTAAGGATATTAATATTAATTCCTCTATATCAATCAAAATATTAACATCTCTACGATTAGTCATTGACTCTAGACACTGTTGACTTTAAATATTTTTATATAAACAAATTGTGCATTGTTATACTTAAAACATAGCTGTGTTCAAGGCAACTTGCTTGGATATTCTAACATTGCCTTTAAAACAGGTAGACATCGAGTCTTTAAACTCTACCATAACCCGTTGAATCAATCTCACAACTTCTTCTCTTTAATAGTAAATGTTTATATAATATCCATCGAAGCTCCATCGATCGTAATCAAAGTCCACAATGGGGACTGAAAATGTCAGCATTTTTAGAAGTGACGAAGACGAGAACGTCGCGCTGATCTTCGGCGTCACCGGACTCGTGGGACGTGAGATTGTAAAGACGCTACTGACGTCGAAACCCAGATGGAGAATCTACGGCGTGGCGCGAAATCCGGACATCGATTCCATGACGAAGATGTACAGTTTCATCTCCTGCGATCTGCTCAACGCATCCGAGACCAAACAGAAGTTGTCTCCATTACAAGAAACCGTGAGTCACGTGTTTTGGGTCACGTGGTCTGGCGAGTACCCATTGGACAGCGACGAGTGCTGCCTTCAGAACAGAGCGATGCTGGCAAACGCTTTGGACGCGATTCTCCCAAACGCCAAGAGGTTAAAGCATTTCTCGCTCCAGACGGGGATGAAGCATTACGTGTCTCTTGTCGGAGAGACTCTCACTCGAAGAGATTTGTGTTATTACAGCGAGGAGTGTCCGAGAAAGAGCTCCGGGAGGAACTTCTATTACGTTTTGGAGGATTTGCTGAAGGAGAAGATCTCTGGCAATTCAGTTGTTTGGTCGGTTCAGAGACCCGGTTTGCTAATGGGAAGCTCAACGAGAACTCTGTACAACTTCATGGGAAGTCTTTGTGTTTATGGAGCGATGTGTAAGTATTTGAATCTTCCTTTTGTGTTTGGAGGGTCAAGAGAATGTTGGGAGGAAAGTTACATTGACGGCTCTGATGCGAACTTAGTCGCGGAACAGCATATATTCGCTGCGACAAGTGGGAGTGTGCGCGATAAAGGTGAAGCCTTTAACGCCATTAACGGAGTAGGGTTCACTTGGAAGGAGATTTGGCCGGAGATAGGGAGGAAACTTGGGGTGCAAGTTAATGAAACGAAGATGTTTGATGAAGGTTTTTCTATTGCTAGAGAGATGGGTGAGAGAAAACATGTGTGGGATGAGATTGTGGTGAAGGAGAGGCTTGTTCGGACCGATATTGAGAGTTTGGCGAATTGGGTTTTCTTGGATGTTCTGTTTAGATGCCCTGTGAAGCTTCTTGGGACGAGAGATAAAATAGATAGCTTTGGTTTTAAGAGGAAATATAGAACACTAGATTCGATTTTGTATTGGATTGATGTGATGAGAGATGAAAAACTCATTCCTTTGTAAGACAAGTGCTTTGTGTGTTTAGGTTTCATTAGCTATGTAAAAAACGGTATTGCATATGTTCTTTAGTCCTTTCATGTAAGTTTTATTTGTTTGGGCAACATATATGTTACTGATACTCTGAGTTTTCCAAAAATTCCTTTTAACCACCAAAAAGTATTATTTAGAAGTATATTTTTTGTCATTCATCTTATAAATAAATGTGAAAGCATACACTGATACACACATATAATAAGAAGGAAGTAGTGGCAGACCATGATTCAAACAAGAAGATAATTGGCTGGAGTCAGTTGTAGTTTATAAATGTTGTTACAATTTTATTAGTTTTGCTTACATAAGCAAATACAGATGAGTTTTGGTTGTCAAGATGACGTTAGAGCAAGACTTTTCATCCCCTGTTTCCACTCATCACTCCACCAAGAAAAGAGTAAATAGGGCAGAGCAAAAAAGAGAAGATACGTAAACTATTGACTTACCAAAAAAGGAGTTTAAGAAAAGGCCAAACAAAAGCAGATCATGCCCCAACAAAAAAAAGAAAGCAAAAAATCGCATGCTATTGGCAAAACAGGGCATGCTACTACAACCCGATCGATAAGACAAACGTTAAAGCCGAAACTGTACAAGAAAAAAACAGAGTAAACGTTAGTTTAGTTATACAACATGAAACCTTTTTCTCCTCATCTTTAAGTTTTTGTCTTCCGAGTGGACTTCGTTGTTTTAACTTGAGTCTTGTTCAATTTAATGTTTTTTCCTCTAGAGCTAAACATGTCGTCGTCTTCATCTTCATCATCGCTACCACGCTTATGCTTCTTTCCCTTCTTCTTGCTATCACCATAACATATGATAATCCTCTTGTCCTTTTTCTCTTCTTCAATCTCTGTTTTCTCCTCTTGTGGCCGCCAAATGAAAAGCGACCTGTTCAAAACCAAAGCTTCAAAACCATGAGAGAGACGAACCAAATTTTCTCAGCTTCTATTAGATAATAAACTCACAAACCTCGAACTTCCTGAGGCTAAAACATCCTCACGCGGATGCAACTTGTTGACCGGAGTAATAGTTGTTATGTTCGGATCCATAACCTCTGCAACTAACTGTCCATTGCTTGAATCAATGAAATCTATCGGGTGAAGAGCAGCTCCGTTGTAGTTTTCACTGATGTAACGACCAACCACAATCAGCGACTCAGACGTATCCTGCAGATGAACAAACAACAAATTTCTATAGAAAGAGTAACTGACGAATTAGGAAAGAGAAGCAAAAGCTATCAAAAACCTTAGGATCCCATTCAGCTTTGAACGGCGTCAAATGCCGATTGAAATCATGGCTATGAACAATCTCTCGGCTCGGCGAGTCCAAGTCCCCGAAGATAGAGTCCCATATCCGAATACGGTTGTCCTGACAGGTCGTCATGATTTTCGTGCCTGATGATGGAGAGAAGTAAGCAGAGTTGACTACTCTTTTGTGTTTAAGCTCGTTAAGAGAATCTCCACTTTGCAGTTTACGCAGATCCCATATTCTTGCCTGAAAACCAAAACACGGATCAAGATGATAGCAAAAGCAAATGATGAATTACAAGATGATATTTACTTACAAAGTGATCGTTGCCACAACTGAGAAGAAGCTCAGGCTGAACAGGGTTGCAGTCAAGGCCAACAACTTTGGTCCGTTGCTTGTGTATCAAAACTGGCTCGCCCGTCGTGTTGTTGGAACGTTGGTCGATCCTTTTCGAAGATTGCATCACAAGGAAAGATAAGTAAAAAACGCTCGTTTTGAACAATAACAAAGATAATAAAAAACGCTCTTTTCGTCTTCAAACACTTACATGTGAAGAAACCCGAAATTATCAGAAACTAGCACTAGACCTTTCTCCGAGTTTATATCCATACCGTACATCATTTTCCAACTCTCAGGGCCCTGTAATAGCAATGATACGTCGTATCAGCAGAATAGGGAAGAGAGAGAGAAAAGAGGCAATGGTGTAACTCTGACCTGCCATCCGTCCGGGTTGAGATTTATAAGAGTTGATGAAGTTCCAGTTTCGAGGTCTGTATAACCAACTGTCCCATCAGAGGATGCTGAGTAAAACATGTCATCGTTTGTGGGACTAAACCTGCAATAACGAACAAAAAGAGATAATGAGCTTTTGTTTCATCACAACAGATACAATGAGATTTAGTGAAACTTACCGCATGTTATTAACTTGTACGGAGTGTATGTTTCCGTAGACACTCTTCTCATAGACTTTAGCAAAATCCCACACTCCAATTTGCCCTTTCTTTTAGAGCGTGAACCATACGAGTTAAAAATGAGAAAAAAACAGATGAAGAAAATTTTGTAACAAAATAAGAGTATTGTATTAAGTTCTAAAACCTTATCTCCAGAGAGAAGAATGTTGTTCCTTGTTGGATGGAACTCCAAACATGTGACACGTCTGCTGTGGTATCTAATAACCGCACAGTGGACTTGATCCGGGATCACATATTTTGGTTTAATCTGTATAAAAAAGAAAAAGAGAATTCTCTAGTCAATGAATCTCACTCATCATGATATCGAAACACAACGCCATAGAAGAAGTTTTACCGGTGGGATTCTCGGTTGGAGTTGGCGTTTGAACACAAATTCCATAGGATTCTTTGTGTTCCTATGAGAAGTTGGGAGTGTTCCGTGGCTAGTAACCACTCTATGAGGACATGACATTGTTGTGTGACCTTTCAATTGATGCAGTAAAAAGTAAATTAACATGATTAAAACTAATGCCTATTCACCACCATCATCCAAATAACGGATTTTTTTACCAGGCATTTTACATAAGAAGCAAGGTTTCATAGGACAATCGATATACGTTGCTCCTTTAAATCCAGCTTCATGTCCAGGCTGTTTACAGACCTAGAAAAATCCACCATGAAAACAACAGCAACAAAAGGAAACATAAGTAAACAGTCAAAGCCTAAACACCAAAATCCTCTGTCTCTGCATCCAAGTGAAGAACACTGAGTAAACAATGAGTAATAATTTCAGGCACTTCTTAATAACACTACAAACTTTGACGAGACTATAATTGGGCCCTATGCAGTGGATTCTTCAATGTGTTTGAAAACGAAATTAAAAGCCAAAGTCATTATCTTTTGATTCCGTAAAGCCTATCCAGAATAAGAAGCTTCACACTTAAAATCACAGCCAAATAAGAGCACTCAATAATGAAGATAGGGTTTTCAAAAAGCGTTACTTTGCAAACTTTCTTAAGCTTAACGGTAATGGGCGCTTTCCCTTTCGCTTTACTCTTCTCCAATTCAATTTTCCCTCCATTTTTGACCGGTTTTTCTTCTTCCTCCGACTCCGACACAGGGTAATTATCTTCTTCTTCTTCTTCCTCTTCTGACGAACTTGACTCGGAATCTGTATCTCTAGCGATGACGATTTCTGGGTCCGTTTTTCTTCTGTTCCTCGTTAAACCCATTTCGGTGGAAAAATCTCACGACCCGACAAAAGGAAGAGAGTACGAATCAAACTGTTTTGTTTCTTTTAGGGTTCGATGACGACGGTCAAGTTCGGTGATAGGGTAAAATTGAATTTTAATCTGAAAAACACTTCGCTACCCCAAAATTCATTTTGACCATTTTAACCCCTTCACTTCGTAAAATCATTTTCTTATCAGCGCAGCTTCTTTAATAATCAAAGGGTATTCTTGGTATTTAAGTAAAGTTATCGTGGCGGGAGAAGTTAAGTCGTGGCAAATTACTGGCCGGAAGCAAAGACGCGCGATTTCGGAGATAGGCCCATTTATTGAGATCACTAATGGGCTCTGGCCCCAACTTTCATCACTCGCACTACATTATTTGGGTTTCTTGCTGGTTAGAGAGTATCAAATTATAGAGTGAGACTTGTGTTATACTTGTATGTTTGTAGAAGATGAGAATTATATTACTGCATCGAAAGAAGGAGAGACATCATCATGATCCTTAAATGTCTTACCGTCTTGCTGTTCAGGTAATAGCTTTCGTGGCGGGAGAAGTTAAGACGTGGCGAATTACAGACCGGAAGCAAAACTCACGTGGCTCACATGCAGTTCCGAATCACGGCCCTTTTAATTAAGTTATACTAAATGGGCTCTCGACCCAATTTCCCATTCATTCATCTCATAAATGAAATTGGTTGCAAATTTTGCAATAAGATTCCTTTGCTCATTAAATTATGTGATTTTCATTTTCTTTCAAACTTCTGGCAGGTGTTTATTTCATATGCAGGAGATTTGCTCTTTCCATCTAAGCTATCCACATCAGCAAAAAAATTCATTAAATTGTTTTTAAGATATTTAATACATGACTATTCATATTTCTTTACATATATTTATATTTTAAATATAAATAAAACTAAGAAAAATACACAACTAAATTACTTAATTAATATAAACTATGTGATAATTTGATGTTAAAAGTTATGAAAAAGTTTAAATATAAGTAAAAATATATTTAACTTGAAATGGTATATATTTACCTTTTTATTAAAAGGATTTATCCTATTTCTAAATGTTATAATGTGTTTACAAATTAAAAAGTTGGATATAAATTAATTAAAATAATAAAAAACCAGAGTTAGAGTTTGCTTTTTTAAACAAATAGAAGTCGAGTTTTTATATGTAAATTTAATTGCAGTGAAAAACATAATTTTTTAAGGATTGTGATATGTTTGTTTTAAAATATATTCACTTACAAAACTAACATAATAGAAAATAATCAATGGTCATGAGACTCATATGCTACCACAACAAAGTAGATATGTAAAAAAGTATATATATATTTTTTTTCATCTTATTTCGGTGCAAATGCGATTTTACATTATACTTACAAATTTTAACATTGAGTCAAATACATATGCATGTTTATAGTCTAACAGAAGTAAACAAACATAATATTTATAATATGCTAAAATGTTTAAAATAGAAAACTCGAGATAAAGTGGGGTGTTAACATCCTAATAAAATAAAATAAAAGGACGTGCGATGTGAGATAAAGTATAAATAAAACTAAACAGAAAACTATCGCAAACAACCCCGCGCTTCAAACCTAGTTTCTTAAAAAAAGGAGTTTGGAAAAAGACAGGAGACGTGGACGAATAGGAACTCATACAAACCACAAAAAAAGGAGTTTCGAAACGATATATTCTGTTCGTGGCGCTCAATTTCGAAAAAAGCATCATCCTTCGACACAGACAAAATACGACATCGTTTTCAAGCTCTCACCAGAACCATCTATGGAGGCATCATTTCCATCTTTCTCCACTCTTATACAAAGCTTCTCCTAAGTCCTCTCAACCGAAGAAGCCGATATTCCTCTTAAGATGATATCCCTACGCGTTCCTTCTCCTACATCCTTCGATTTCCGGCGATTTCATGCCGGAGCTTTAGAGCGGAGATGGAGGTTAGGCAGAGACTGCTTGCTCTCTTTCTCTCCGAATTTCTCGGAAAATCGCAGAGGAACCGGATTCGGAATCAGATCTACCAAATCGGAAGCTCCGTTCACGGCGGCGGAGGAAGAAACTCTGCCGGATGGACTCCAGCCTGAGCTTATGCCGAAGCATGTTGCCGTTATAATGGACGGAAACGGAAGATGGGCGAAGAGTCGAGGTCTTCAACCTTGGGACGGTCACAGAGCCGGCGTCGAAGCTTTGAGAGAGATCGTTGAGCTTTGTGGTAAATGGGGAATTCAAGTCCTCACGGTTTTCGCCTTCTCTACCGATAATTGGATTAGACCCAGAGTAAGACCTAATTTCAATCTGCCCTAGATTTTTGAGATTTTTTTATAATTCTTTAATTTAATGCTAATTTCTCTGCAGATCGAGATCGATTTCTTGTTGAGCTTATTCGAGAGAACACTCAAATCAGAGCTTCAAACATTAGCCAAGTAAGTATAATATATAAATCCATCAAGAAAATTATGTTTCCAAAGCTAATCTTGTGAGTGTTAGGAACAATGTTCGGATATCGATCATCGGAGACTCGTCGAAGCTTCCAATATCTCTTCTAAGAGTGATAAACGAAGTTGAGGAAGTCACGAAGAACAACACGAGGCTACAGCTAATCGTAGCCGTTGGTTACAGCGGGAAATACGATGTTCTACAAGCTTGCAGAGGCATCGCGCAGAAAGTGAAAGACGGTGAGATCGAAGTCGAGGAGATAGACGAGAGACTGATCGAGCAAGAGCTCGAGACCAACTGTACGGAGTTTCCTTACCCGGATCTGCTGATAAGAACGAGTGGTGAGCTAAGAGTGAGTAACTTCTTGTTGTGGCAATTGGCTTATACAGAGCTCTTCTTTGCTCAAGAGCTTTGGCCTGATTTTGGGAGGAGTGGGTTTATCGAGGCCTTGATGTCGTTTCAGCAGAGACAGAGACGATTTGGTGGTCGGAAATCTTGAGTTTTGTTTTGTAACAGCCAAACTGTATATGATGTGTAATAAAAGGATGTTTTATACCTCAAGAAGACTTGCTTTTTACTAGGCTTTTAAGATACTGCAGTTTCTTGTGTTGTAAGGTATCAGTTTCTTGTGTTGTAAGGTATCGGTTTTTTAGTAACAAGTGGTGTATGCGCACGAGAAGCAATGAACAAGAAACATACTACGGATTTTATTTAAGAACATTTAGATATAGCGGCAGTACAATGATCTCTGAAACTAGGGCTAGTAGTTTGATAAAAAAGCTAAGATGAACAGAACAGAGCGGAGCGGAAGAGAGGATTGAATGCGGATCAAATCCGACGACCAAATCGTCTTTCCCTGCACTGATATGAAACCAGGGCTTCGACGAGCTTGTCCTTGTCGAAATCAGGCCAAAGGACCGGCGTGAAGAAGAGCTCGGTGTAAGCGAGTTGCCACAAGAAGAAGTTACTAATCCTCTGTTCTCCACTTGTCCTAATCAATAGATCAGGACTTTGGAACTCGGTGCAATTAGTCATAAGCTCTCTCTCGAACAACTCGTCGTCTACATCTTCCTCTTGTATCAACCCTTGTTCTGATTTCTTCACAATGCTCTTGCAAGCTTGTAAGATGTCGGATCTCCCGCTGTAATCTATGGCCAAGATGAGATGTTTGTTCTTGTAGATATTCGTAGCTTCCTCTATCTCTTGGATTGTTCGGAGGAGAGATTCAGGGATCTTCGTTAGACTACCGATAACAGAAACTCTAGTTTCCTCTCTGAAACAGCAAGATCTTGGTAAGAAATAGGCAAATTAAACAACAACAAAAAAGCTCAAGCGGTTTGTATGTATACCTCTGGAAATATTTGATCTTGGACTTGAGGTAGTGTTGAATCAAAGACATGAAGAACATAACCTCAATCTTAATAACACCAACAAATTGTTATACTCAATAATTTGCATGACAATGTAAGCTACTATATAGTATGTTTTTAAAACTTCTCACCTTGCTTCTTCCCCAATTCTCCGTGGAGAAAGCAAAACCTGAGACTGTATGAATCCCCAATTTAAAGCATTGCGCGGAGAAGTCTAAGAGCCGGTCAGCTCCGGCCTTGTGGCCTTGTGACGTCAGCAATCCGGCCTGTTTCGCCCATCTCCGGTTTCCGTCCATTATCATTGCCACGTGTCTTGGCATCAGCTCTCTCCGAAGCCCTTTAGGTAGCTCCTCCTCCACGTAAGTTCCTTCGTCACTACACAAACAAATGAAGCTTAAAGTTTAACATGAAACACACAACTTTTCTTTTCATTTCGTTTTCTGGTGTGTCATAGTCATTAGTCATTCTCATCTTTTAACACAACATATCAATCGAAAAAATTACATGGTGTTTAATTAAGAAAGATCTGTTTCTTTGAACTAGATAGTCCGCTGTGCGAAAATCTACTTATTTATTATATAGGTATTTTTTACATTCTGCTAAGCAAACATAGGTTAGAGTTTCTTTTGGTGCACACAAGTTATAGTTTATCACTCTTTTTTTTTTCTTCATCTCCGGCTTTAGTAGATGGTTACCATACAATGATATTTTCTGTGTGATTGTTCACTGAATCTTATCTAGTCCTGGGCCGCTGGGCGTTCGGGTAATTTGTTACTTTTCTAAAGAGGAGAGGAATCACGTAGAAAACAAAAAATGGAAAAAAGTCAGTTCCACATATTATTATTCTTCTCGTATTATTCCTCTTATTTATTTTCTTCACAAACCATTTGCATCCGTAGTTTATTCACACAAAGGCAAAGACAGAGTTTAAAACTCTTTTTTTCCTTACAAAAAAAAAAACTCTAAAGCTATTTGGAAAAAGAAACTTAAAATTTCAGTCTTATGTGTTAATAACACATGGTTGGTGCCTTGGTGGTCACTCGGACATTGTTGGCTAATCCCAAATTTATACGTCGGTTGTAGATTTTATGACTAGTTTGTAATTTGAGCTAAGAGAGACTATATTATAATTTTTCTTGTTGTGACTATATATTAAAACTTAAAAGTATGACTAGAAAAAGCAAAGTACCGTTTTTTGTTGTCATCATCGTCTTGAGAAGCTGTGATTTTGATAAATCTGAGGACTTTTGGCAAAGACAAAGGGAAGCATATATGGTTTGTGATGAACAAACAAGGGATGATCAATAGACGAAGAAGTAGAGATAAGAGAGAAGCGAGGAGAGACGACGATGTTTCTTCTTTTCTTCTCTCTATAAATGTGCTTACGCTTAATTTATCTGGCTTCACCTCCATATCTGTTCTACTAATGAAGCTTTCTCATAATAAATAATTCAAATATCCGTTCTCTTTTCTTATCCACAGTCAGGTCACATATGTGTATCTTCTTCTACATATGTTTCTGTTAAATCTATTAATTAATAAGTATGCATGCTCTTTGCATTTATTGATTAATAGACGAAACCCACTAATGACCACTGACGCGCGTTAACACGAATTCACGGACCGGTCCCTTCCAAGAATACCGATTACATGCAAAGAGCATGCATACCGAACATGCAAATAAGATAAACACATGTGTATGATAAAATAAATAAAAAACATACGTGTATAATTAATAAAGTAAATAAAGAAGGGGAAACATATAAGGAACATTGAACAAGAAACATATTATTCATAAACATTTCGATCTACCGGCAATACAATGATCTTTGAAAGTAGGACAAGTAGTTTGCATACAAATATAAGATGTACATAACAGAACAGAAGATCAAATGTGGATCAAACCCGACAGCCAAATCGTCTTTCCCTGCGCTGATACGAAACCAGGGCCTCAAGAAGATTGTCCTTGTCGAAATCAGGCCAAAGGACCGGTGTGAAGAAGAGCTCGGTGTAAGCGAGTTGCCACAAGAAGAAGTTACTAATCCTTTCTTCTCCACTTGTCCTTATCAAGAGATCAGGATTTGGGAAGTCGGTGCAGTTTGTCAGAAGCTCTCTCTCTATCAATGCCTCGTCTACATCTTTCTCTCGTATCAACCCATTTTCTGTTTTCTTCACAATGCTCTTGCATGCACGCAACATGTCGAATCTCCCGCTGTAGTCTATTGCCAAGATGAGATGCTTATTCTTGTAGATTTTCGTAGCTTCCTCTAACTCGTGGATTGTTCGGAGGAGAGATTCAGAGAACTTCGTTAGATCACCGATAACAGAAACTCGAATTTCCTCTCTGAAAAACAACAAGATATTGGTAAAAAAAAAAAAAAGCAAATCATATGTTTAAAAAAGGGAAGGAAAGAAAAATCTCAGTCGAATTGTATGTATACCTATGTAAATAGTTGATCTTGGACTTGAGCTGATATTGGATCAAAGACATTATGCACTTGACCTCAATCTAAATTAATCATACCAAAAAATTGTTAAGAGTCAATCATGGAATGAAAAATATGTATGTAAAGTAAAGCTACTATGTCTAACATGTCACACCTTGTTTCTTCCCCAATTCTCAGTGGAGAAAGCAAAAGCTGAGACAGTATGAATCCCCAATCCGAAGCAGAGCTCGGCAATCTCTTTGAGCCGTTTAGCTCCGGCTTTGTGGCCTTGTGACGTCATCATTCCGGCCCGTTCGGCCCATCTCCGGTTTCCGTCCATGATCACTGCCACGTGTCTCGGCATCAACTCTCTCTGAAGCCCTGTTTGCAGCTCCTCCTCTCTGAGTACCCCATACACAAAACATTCATGAAGCTTAGATATCTTTGAATAGTTATAACAATTCTAAAAATGACTCTTTTTCAGTAACCTTCTATACTTATTCTAGTATTAACAGTATAACAGTTAATTATATATACTGTAGTATCAAGTATGCTCTATTTTTCAATAATACTCACGTAAATATCTAGTTCATGTATTTATGCAAAGCCTTGAATAGTGAAACTCTGCTTTTCCCCTTACAAAAAAAAAAAAAATAAGTCTGAAACTATTTGGAGAAAGAAACTTAAATTTCGTTGCGAAGAAAAATGAGACTTAAAACAATTTAACTCGGACATAGTTTATAGATTTTATGACTAGTTTGCAATTTGAGTTAAGAGTATGAGTATGACTAGAAAAAGCAAAGGTACCGTTTCTCGTTGTCAGCATCGTCATGAGAAGCTGTGATTCTGATGAATCTGAGGAGTTTTGTCAAAGAAAAAGGGAAGCATATAAGGTTTGCGATGAACAAACAAGGGATGAGAAACAGACGAAAGAGGAGAGAACGGATAAGAGAAGGCATTGTTTTTTCTGTTCTTTCCTTTTTTGGATAGAGGGCTCAGAGACATGCAGCATTATTGTGCTTAAGCTTAATTTATTTGGCTTTGCCTCGATATGTGTTCGACTATCGAAGCTTTCTCATAATAAACAATTCGAAGATCCGTTCTCTTTCACTACGCAGAGACAGGTCATACGTATTAAACTCGTACGTGGAGAAATTTGAATATCATTTTGAATGTTTAAGGACCAAGGGGATCTATATTTGCATATTCGTCTCTCGCCAGTGACATGTTTCCGTTAATACTAGTTATTATATTATGTTTCGCATTTGTTGAACACGTACCAGTCCCTTCCAAGAATACTGATGTAATCAAATACATTTTGATAAGATCGATACGTTTTCTAACTGTTTAAAGTGGAGTAGATAGGAACCATAATTTGAGGGGAAAAAAAAAAGAATAAATGTTTCTTTGTTAGATTAGCTCCGATCTCGATCTGCACTTAATGTTGTAATATTTTTAAAATATGGTATTATAAGGAATATGGTATTTTAAGGAAGTCATGTTACAGAGTATACATGACAATTTGCTCTGTAAGACTGTAACATACGTTTTAGTCTTTTAGAATTAACATGGTACATAACAATTTAACTGATATATGTTAAACATGAAGCAATAGAGACCACTTTTGAAACAAGAAACAAAATATGGATTGTTTTTCAAAAATATTTCGATTACAATGATCTCTTAATCTAGGGCAAATAGTTTATAAAAAGATGAACAGAACAGAACAATGCGGAACAGAAGAACATATGTGGATCAAACCCGACAGCCAAAACGTCTTTCCCTGCGCTGATACGAAACCAGGGCCTCAAGAAGATTGTCCTTGTCGAAATCAGGCCAAAGGACCGGTGTGAAGAAGAGCTCGGTGTAAGCCAGTTGCCACAAGAAGAAGTTACTAATCCTTTCTTCTCCACTTGTCCTTATCAAGAGATCAGGATTTGGGAACTCGGTACAGTTTGTCAGAAGCTCTCTCTCTATTAATGCCTCATCTACATCTTCTTCTCGTACCAACCCATTTTCTGCTTTCTTCACAATGCTCTTGCAAGCGTGTAACATGTCGAATCTCCCGCTGTAATCTATTGCCAAGATGAGATGCCTATTCTTGTAGATTTTAGTTGCTTCCTCCATCTCTTGGATTGTTCGATGGAGAGATTCAGGTATCTTTGCAAGATTCCCGATAACAGATACTCTAATTTCCTCCCTGAAACAACAAGATCTTGGTAAGAGAGAAGCAAATCATATGTTAAGAAAATTAAAAATAAAGGCTCAGTCGAATTGTATGTATACCTATGCAAATCTTTGAGCTTGGACTTGAGCTGGTATTGGATCAAAGACATTATGCACTTGACCTCAATCTTAATAGTACCACAAAAATGTTAAAGAGTCAATCATGGAATGAGAATGCATGTAAAGCTACTATGAATGAGAATGTATGCAAAGTAAGCTACGTTTATGTCTAGAATGTCACACCTTGTTTCTTCCCCAATTCTCAGTGGAGAAAGCAAAAGCTGAGACAGTATGAATCCCCAATCCGAAGCAGAGCTCGGCAAACTGTTTAAGCCGTTTAGCTCCGGCCTTGTGGCCTTGTGACGTCATCAATCCGGCCCGCTCGGCCCATCTCCGGTTTCCGTCCATGATCACTGCCACGTGTCTCGGCATCAGCTCTCTCTGAAGCCCTGTTTGCCGCAGCTCCTCCTTTCCGACCACATAACTTCCCTCGTCACTACACAAACACTCATTGCATTTCGTTATTTTTTTTTTCTTTGTCAACACTGGTGTTGTCCTTATTATTGTCATATTTTAACAAGACAGAGCAGAGAGAATTTTTTAATCGTACAATTTTAGAAACAATGCTAGAAACGAACTTAGTTTCTATTATGGGTTTCTTTTTATTCTGATAAGCAAACACGAGTTAGCATGGTTCACTCCTTTTTTTTTCCCTTGCCTTTTAAACGAATGTGAAACAACTAATCTCTTTGGCTTTAGGAGATGGCTATCATCCAACGGACTTTTTTATTACCAAAATATACATATAATGAAATTTAGTAACAAAAAAAGAAAATCCTGAGAGCTTTTCGATTGAGCTATGACTGAAATCCAACTAGAGTGTCTTGTTGCAAACAACAAATTTTAGACAACCTACTGTGTAACTATCTCAGTTACATTTTATGAATATTTTCTCTATATACAGTAATTATAACAAATCTAACCTAATTTTTTTCAGAACTTGTTCTAGAATTTTTTTTGTTGGTTATATCACTGTAACAAATCTCATTTTTAATAACTTCTATGTATTGTAGATAATTTCATATGACTATTTTAAATATTATTCACGTAAATATAATTACCTAGTGTGCTATTTACGCAAAAACTCCCTCTCTTTTTGTTTTTGTTTTTTTTTTCAGGAGAGAATAAAAGGAAGTCTAAAACTATCTGGGGAAAGAAACTTAAAAACACATGGTTGGTGGTCACTACTCACTAGGACATTTGGTTAGTGCCAACGGTTGTAGTTTTGCTGACTAGTTTGCAATTTGAGTTAAGAGACTATATATTAAAAGTATGACTAGAAAAAGCAAAGTACCGTTCCCCGTTGTCATCATCGTCTTGAGAAGCTTTGAGTTTGTTGAATCTGAGGATTTTGGGCAAGGAAAGAAGGAAGCATACAAGGTTAGCGATGAAGAAATAAGGGATGAGAAGCAGACGAAAGAGGATAGAACGGATAAGAGAAGGCATTGTTTTTTCTTTTTTTCTTTTTCTTGATAGAGAGGGCTCAGAGACAGCATTATTGTGTTTAAGCTTAATTTCTTTGGCTTTGCCTCGATATGTGTTCGACTATCGAAGCTTTCTCATAATAAACAATCCGAAGATTCGTTTTCTCACTACCCACAGGGCACATACGACAGGCCATATGTATTAAACACTAATAGAGTAACTGCACGTTTGTGCGGTGTGACGTTGTTGTTTTGTGTAGAAAATTTAAACCCTAAATCCGAACCCGACAAAAAACCCTAATCAAAAAATTTAAAAACCCAAACTTTTTTAATAGGTCTAAACATGAAAATCCGAAATCAAAAAAATCCCGAAAACCCTGACTGAACAAAAAAAATCTGGAAACTTTTTCACCCGGAACCCGACCCCAATACCTAATCAAAATTTTAAAATACTCAATTTTTTTAATATATCTAAACCCGAAAACCAGAAATCTAAAAAATCCGGAAAACCCTAAACTGAAAAAAAAAATTGAACCTAACCCGAACAGAAATTTTCAAAGAAACCCGAACAATTTCTATATCTCTATAAAATTATGTCTCAGATTTTCACCCAAACCCGAACTTGTCTATAAAAACCCGAAAATCCAAAAAGCATATTCTATTGATTTGGAATTATCGTTAGATTATGTTAAGTTTTTTTTTTGCAGATTTTTAAGAGATGGAAAACGGAAGTTTTCTAAACCATCGGTTTATTTTAAGTTATTATTCTTGTATCCAAACAATTTTTTCCATTTATTCTTCTATCCAAATAGATTTTTCTCTTATTCTTATATCCAAACAACTTTTGTTTCCATTTATTCTTCTATCCAAATAGATGTTTCTCTAATTCTTGTATCCAAACATTAGAATGTACTTCTCAATTAATAATATAAAGATGTACGTAATGGAGAAACTTGCGAAGACCATTTTGAATATTTAATCACTAAACAGATCAGATCTATATAGTTGTATTTTCTTCGTCTGTCACAACTCACTTGTAACGTATGTTTTTTGTTTTTTGGTAAAATCTTAATCTATGTTCTTGGCATTAATTGATAATAGACACCTTAATACCTTACGGACCATTGAACCGCGTGATCACGGACCAATCCCTGCCGAGAATACTGATGCAATCGAAGTCCGTCTGGTAATATCGATATGCAACTTTTTCTTAGTTTTAAATGAAATAAAGAGTCATGGGATACAACTCTAATGCTCCGTCTTCTTCGTTAATTAATGCTTTCTATAGTTTTTGATCTTAAAAATTTGTTTTATGGTTTAGGGTAAGTTAGACTTCATCGGTATACTTAAATATTAGATTTTGTGGCAAAATCTATAACTCAAAAAAAGCGAACGGAAAACAAAATATTTTAAGATGGAACAAAAATATAGGAAAATAAATTTTTCAATTAAACCTCAATTTTGCTGTTTTGTTAGACTTTCTAAGTAGACTTTGTTTTTCAACTTTTTCTATAGACTTTTTTGGATCGAAATTATTGGTTAATTTAACAATATACATATAGACATTTTTGATAGACTTAATTGATAGCATTTTCATTTTGAAGTCTTCTTAACCGATTCTTTTATAACTAAACCGTAAAATTGACCTTGGTAACCCTAATCTTGTCAAAGATAAAAAAATTCATCTCTCTCTAAAACACGACGGCGCCTCTCTCCTCCCTCTCTCTTGCCGTGAACCTCTCCTCCTCCGGCCTCCTCTAGCCTCTCTCTCTCTCGCCGTGAACCTCTCCCCCTCCTCTCTTACCATGGACCACCTTCTCAAGCTTCTCTCTCCGTCGGTGGACCTCTACGCCGAAGAGGTATTTGCCGGCGTTCACCATCCTTCGCTGTCGCTGCCGTCCAGTCTTTAACCTCCGCCGTCTTCATACGTAAGCCATTTATTTTCTCTCCAGAACAGATCTAAATCAATTTGACTTGCAAACTAACATATTGGTTTATTTTTGCAGATCTGAGCGCCTTAGGAGTGAGTGTAGAAACCCTAAGCGATTGTGAAAGCCGTTTTTCCTCTTGTGGCTATAGTCGACCTGAGAAAATGAAGGTACGTAGGGGCGGGGAGAGTCTTAGATTTCCGTTGAATTATCGTTTGCTTTAACATTTTCCCTATCCGTGTTTCAGTTTAACGCCGCCAATCCAACTAGCCAGAAGAAGCTCGAGAACGATGATGATCAGAAACTGTAAGACCTTACTCTCCTGTTTCACCTTCATCCTTTTATTTGCAGCTATCGTGATAGATTTTGGGAACTCTTGCTCCTCTGATTGATGTTTGTCGATGCTAGCTGCGAAAATTCTAAGTCTACTAATCCCCAATATGCCTTTATTTAGCCAAACACGCTTTTGGATCTTCTTCTCATGTTAGATGCAAAATTTGTGTTACATTTCGGATTCTAGTTAAGTTTTATGGTCTATTGATATGGATGGTTATTGAGCTTTGACATTTGTTGATGCAGCCGTTCGTTTTATGAGAAGAGACTCTCACAAGAAGTCATTGGAGATGCTTTGTGCGAGGTACAGTTTCACTCTTTGACTTATTCAGTCTCATGATTAAGAGATTTACAATTTTCGAATCAAATGATGACATTTGTGAGTAGATTTCATTTGCAAAACCGATTTTTTTTTTTTGTTTCTGACTAGAGCTGCGTTAGTTTATTTGCTTCTTTGTCTCACATATGCTTCTCTTTAATCCGCTAGTTGAATGTTCTGCTTGTGGAACTCTCTGCTGTTACTGTCCTCGTTTAGTATGTTGTTAAGATGTCCTTGTTTCATGTTTGTTTTAGCTATCTTTTGTATATGCTCTACTACCATCTCTTCTTCTTAATGGCTCAAAGATTTGATATTGAGATTGCTCTCTTAGGTAAATGATCATTATCTTATATCACTGCTTATTTATTGCAGCATTCTTGAAGAAACGTGATAGAAGGCTTTAGTAGTCCATTTGATGAATTAACATAGGTTGCAGTTAGTCAAGATTTTGTATGATTGTATATATAATTTGTGCTGTATTAATGTATCAGATGCTGAGTTTAATATGTTGTTACCTTGGTTTTTGGTTTTGTTGAGCACACAGAAAGATGTAGGTGCAATTTTCAGTGAAGTAGACAAGGGAAAGCGGGAAAGCATTGAACGCGAAAGAGTTGACAGGTGTGTTGAATCTGAAAGCGATTCGGATGATGATGATGAATCTGATTACTTATCGAGGAAACCAATTGGTCCTGTGGATCCGAGTAAGTCTACGGCTTCTGGAGCTGGGATCGGCGGAGGAACCGCCTGTGTGCCGTCTACATTCGTAGTTGTAACGAAGGATTCCGATGGAAGGAAAGTCCAAACGGTGGAGCTTTGATTAGGGTTAAAGTGTCTCCTGGTGTTGGCGTTGGTGGCACAGATCAGGAAGGAGTTGTTAAAGATGTTGGAGATGGGAGCTATGCTGTTACCTACGTTGTGCCTAAGAGAGGAAACTATATGGTGAGCATTGAGTGTAATGGCATGCCATCATGGGAAGTCCATTTCCTGTCTTCTTTAGCCAAGGTAAACTTGTCATCACACTTTCAAGAAGTTCTGATTCATTGAGTTTAGTGATAGCAATGGAGCTAGGTTCATTTGTTGATAAAGTCTTGTTTTTTTATCAAAATTCTGAAGCAGGGTCTTCTTCAAATGGACTGATGGGATCTGCTCCAGCTTCGTACTCAAACTTTGTAAACCAAACAATGCCAAACATGCCGAATTACACTGGCTCCGTTTCCGGTGCTTTCCCGGGGCTATTGGGTATGGTTCCAGGTATTGCACCTGGTCCTTCAGGTGGCGCTATCTTGCCTGGAGTTGGAGCTTCGCTGGGGGAAGTCTGCAGGGAATATCTTAATGGTAGATGTGCAAACACTGTCTGCAAGCTGAATCACCCTCCGCAGAATCTGCTGATGACTGCTATAGCTGCAACAACAAGCATGGGTAATCTAAGTCAGGTCCCTATGGCACCTTCCGCTGCAGCAATGGCTGCTGCTCAAGCCATTGTCGCCGCTCAGGCCCTTCAAGCTCATGCTTCTCAGATGCAAGCTCAAGCTCGATCAAACAAAGGCTCTTTAGGTACTGTGTCCTCTCTATACAAATTTAGTTTGCTTCTCTTTGTGATACTGATGAGTAGAAGTAGCTTCTGGTTTAGGTTCTCCAGAGAAAGGAGAAACAGGAGAGACCATGAAGAAATGTGTCCAAGTTAGCAACCTGAGCCCACAGCTTACAACTGAACAGCTTAGGCAGCTATTTAGCTTATGTGGCACAGTAGTTGACTGTAGTATAACTGATGCAAAGCATCTTGCCTATATAGAATACTCAAAGGCAGAAGAAGCGACCGCTGCTTTGGCATTAAACAATATGGAAGTCTGTGGTAAGCCTTTGAATGTTGAGATTGCGAAATCGCTTCCTCAGAAACCATCTTCCGATTACTCTTCTTCGTCCTCACTACCAATGATGATGCAACAGGCCGTCGCAATGCAGCAGATGCAGTTCCAACAGGCTATTCTGATGCAACAGGCCATGGCTACTCAGCAGGCGGCTAATAGAGCAGCCACAATGAAGTCTGCCACTGAGCTCGCAGCAGCAAGGGCCGCAGAGATAAGTAAGAAACTTAGACCTGATGGAGTTGGAAATGACGAAAAAGAAGCTGACCAGAAACCTAGGTGAGGCTTTCATAAACATGTGGCTTGCTCCTTTCTTCTTTTTTAAGAGTTAAACTAATGGCTACCTAAATCTTCTTGTGCAGGTCACCATCTAAATCTCCTACGAGGTCGAGATCTGAATCCAAGTCACCAATTAGTTACAGGAGAAGGCGGAGATCTCCGTCTTATTCACCACCATTTCGTCGCCCAAGAAGTCATAGATCAAGATCACCGTTGAGATATCACCACCGGCGATCAACTTATGAGGGGAGAAGGCGGTCATTTAGAGACTCTAAGGATATTTCTGATAGTAGGAGATACGGTGGTAGATCAGATGAACACCACCACCATTCATCTAGTTCAAGGAGAAGTAGGAGTATAAGCCCCAGAAAGAGAAACTCCCATCAAGAAGATTCAGAGGTGTCGAGACATCATCGACGGGATAAGAAATCATCCCGTGGTGGTTCACGATCACCAAGGCGACGTAGGGAAGCTAAGTCAACCCCAAGATATGATGAAGAGAACAAAAGTTGAAGCTTTCTCATAATAAACAAAGGTTAATTTCTTTGGCTTTGCCTCGATATGTGTTCGACTATCGAAGAACAATTCGAAGATTCGTATTCTTCACAGGGCACATACAGACAGTCCATATGTATTAAACATGTACGTGATGGAGAAACTTGCGAAGACCATTTTGAATATTTAATCACTAAACAGATCTATAGTTGTATTTTCTTCGTCTGTCACTACTCACTTGTAACATATGTTTTTTTGTTTTTTGGTAAAATCTTAATCTATGTTCTCGGCATTAATTGATAATAGACACCTTAATACATTACGGACCATTGACCCGCGTGATCACGGACCAATCCCTGCCGAGAATACTGATGCAATCGAAGTCCGTCTGGTAATATCGATATGCAACTTTTTCTTAGTTTTAAATGCAACTTTTTCTTAATTTTAAATGAAATAAAGAGTTATGGGATACAATCCTAATGGCTCCGTCTTCTTCGTTGATCCGATTTTCAGCCTTACTAAGCTAGAGTTGTTCTGTTTTACCAGCTTCTCTAGGCTTTGAGAACCCACGTCACTGGTTGCTTGTGTCACAAGAAAAATATAACGCAACACATAAAACATAGGCTGTAATTCGTAACCAAGGAATGAGGGGGAATAATGTAATTCCCTCTCATTCCCTAAAAATTACACCATTTACAAGGAATACATATCCCATATTATTCTTTCTCATTCCATATTAATTAAGAAATTTTAGTGTTAAATTATTCCTTATAAAATATGGGGAGGAATAGATTCTATTTATTTTATTCCTCTTCATTTCATTCCTTCTCGTTCTTTCTGTTCCTTTTAGTGTCACCAGTTAGAGCCATAGTCTTTCATTCGTAGTATTGAATCTTACAGTACATTAATTTCTGGAAAAAGTCCGATGAACATAATAATATATGACACATAAATAAACATAACAAAACAGAGGAAACAGAACATGTGATCAAGTGTGGATCAAATTCAAACCTGGCAGTAAAATCTAATAAGACATAACATTTACGTTTTACATTAACTTCTTGCGTTTGTATGCTAAAATGATAAGATTGCATACATGTAAAATAACGCTTTTTTGTTGTAAAAGAAAAGACAACGGTTTAAATAACATCTCTTGATTATAAAATACAAACACAATGTCCGCTAAAAAAGAAATAATTAAAACATAACTTTTAACTACAAAACGTAAAAACAAACGCAAACATATATAAATCAGACCACTACTATTGCAGTACTTGAACAATTTATTTGTGAGACATGAACTTCAATGTTTAAACTCGTTGACCGAATCGTCTCTCCCGTTGCTGATACCAAGTCAAGGCCTCAAGATATTCTGCCTCTCCGAAGTCAGGCCACAGAACATTAGGAAAGTAGAGCTCAGTGTAAGCTGCTTGCCATAGGAAGAAGTTACTGATCCTTTGCTCTCCGCTCGTTCTGATCAACAGGTCAGGGTTTGGGAACTCACTACAGTTTGTCATCAACTCCTTCTCCATCAGCTTTTCGTCGATATCCTCCACTTGGATCAGCCCGTTTTTTGCCTTTTCAGCAAGACTTTTGCACGCTTGTAAGATATCAAATCTTCCACTATAGTCTATCGCCAGAATGAGTTGCTTCCCTTTGTAGCTCTTTGTAGCTTCTTCTGCCTCTCGTATCAAACCTAGAAGCGACTCAGGGATTCTTGCCCGGTTTCCAATAACCGTGATCTTGATTTGATCTCTATTAAAATCAATGAGAAATTAACATCTACTGTATATAATGCTTCAAAAAAGGATCAAAACAACATGTTGGGTACCTTCGGAAGTAAGGCATCTCAGACTTGAAGTGTTTCTCAAACAAGGCCATCAAGAAGTTAACTTCATCCTGATCAAAGAAAAGAAAAAACGAATCAAAACAGATAGATATATAAGAAAATGTGTTGAAAATGTTTTAAGTTACCTCGGGTCTTGCCCAATTTTCAGTAGAGAAAGCAAAGAGTGAGATAGTGTTTATGCCCATAGCGAAACAGTCCTTAGCATTCTCTATGAGCTTTCTTGCTCCGGCCGTGTGACCTTCCGATGTCCCTAGTCCTCGTTTCTCCGCCCAACGTCTGTTTCCGTCCAATATAATCGCCACATGCTTTGGCAGTCTCCCTCGTTTCTCTTTCTCTCTAATTGCACCACTACAAATAAGTAAGAACAAAATTTAGTTTTAGGCTTTCATATAACAAAGTTCAATATGGAATGCGCATCAATGAATGATAGCTTGCTTAACACGCATCATGGAACTCATCCATATTGGTGTGAGTTTATCCCAATAATAAATCAAATATAAAGCGCTTAATTAACATGTAAAAACTATATATCAATTACAAAAACACACTACTTTTTGCCGTTCTTCTCTTCCTCATAATCGTGTCCAGAAGCTGTGAGTTTGATGAATCGGAGGATGTTTGTCAAGGAGAGAGGGACACTTAGTTGCCGAGAGATGAAGAGACTAGGGATGAGAATAAGAGCAAGAACTGTCATAACAATAGAGAATAGAGACACCATTGTCTTTCTTTCTGTTTTGTTTTGTCTTTGTTTCAATACTTGTTCGAAGTGGAGCAGACGTCTTTATACTTGTGGAAAACTTCGGTTTCAAATTAAGACGCACATGATCAATGGAACCTTCTCTCTTTCACACTCGCGCTCTGTCTCTCCATGATGCTACGCAAAGACAGATCATACTGAATAAGGTTAATAGGATCTTACGACACTTGAAAATCACTACATGGTTTCTTCACGTGATTTCCTTTTTATGAGGTTAGATTTTACCTTAATCAATCTTGATATTACATTACATCAGTGAAGTCTCATAAATATTCGAAATTTTGGTCCTATAGATACAAAGTTACCAACTGTGATAATATATATAAGTACTAGTAGTAAACTCGCACGTTTGTGCGGTGTGACGTTGTAATTTTGTGTAGAAAATCTAATACTATTTTCACTAAAACTTTAACCTCAGAATATATTAGTTCATGAAATTGTATCAGTGATTTTTGGATCTCATTAAATAATATATAATTAAAACAAAATAAGTTAATGAAGTCATTCGTATGCATATTGTTTAGAGTAAATAGAAATAGGGAAAAAGTCAAAAAGATCTAAAAATAATAACTAATTTGTTAATAGTAAACCGCATGTTAGTAGCGGACCTGTGCGTTTACGCAATAGTATGTTATGTTTTTATTAAGAAAAACAAATAGCTCAATTTAAAAAACTTGTATCTATTAATGTGGTAGCTAACAAAGTTCTAAAAATGAAATGAATGTAATTAGGAATAGTAACATGATACTTGAGATCCAAACCTAACCTGCAAAACCCGAATCTAACCCCTTCCAAAATAAAATAAAAAATCGAATATTATTTATATTTCTAAATTCAAAACCCGAAAAAAACCTAGAAAACCTTTAAAAACCCGTAAAAACCTTTAAAACCCCGTATCCAAAAATCTCTTTATGATTTATTATTTTTTTATGTATATGTGATTTGTTTTTGTGTCTCTTGTATGTTGGAAAAAAAAAGTTGTGTAATAAACCATAGTAGCTTTTTATTTGGTCTTGTCTATATTATCTAATTTCTTCCACCGCTCAATCTATTCATTCTTCTTCCTCTACCTCATTCGAAATACATGGTTCTTTGTAATGAACTCTCTCTGCTTCTCGTTTTATTTTTCAGTTTCTGATCTAAGTTCTTTTATCCGAGCAAAGGCTTCTCACATTTTAATCTACGGCGGGATTGTTTTATATTCGGCACTCTTGAATTAGGTAAGTTCTTATCGAATAGATCTATTGTTGTCCAGTTTCTTTTAGCTCAAGTGATTTTATCGAATAGATCTATTGTTGTCCAACTCATATAAGTTCTTATAGAATAGATCTATTGTTGTCCAGTTTCTTTTAGCTCAGGTGATTTTATTATTGGATTTCTTACTTTTGCTTTTTATGTGAAGGTTAAATGAGAGGTTCAGGTAAGAGTTGGAGAGAGATATGAGTTGCAACAGATTTATGGGTTTGGGAATACGATTGATGGGGGTGAGGATTCAGCTGACGATGATAATGAGTCAATGACCATGCCAAAGAATGTGACAATGTGTTATTTAGGAAAGCCCATGAACCGAGAAATATGAAAAATAGATTGCCGGTTTAAAGAAACCATTGGAGATTGGTTTGATTTAAGTTTTGCTGAAGATCCGCGTCCCATATCCTATAAATTCGGGTGGTTTTTTTTCTTTGTTCTGAGTTGACTCAGTGGATTCGGCTTTTTTTTACCAAATTGACCTCCTTATACTCTTTCTCTATATAAATGAATTGGTTTTTTGGTCCAAAAATTATCAATGTACTTTTCAATTAATAATAAAGAGATGATTTTAACATTAATCTCGAAGCAAATCGTGTAGATATATTCATGATCTCAATTCTCAATTTCTCACATTTGGTTTGCATGCATAAAGGAAATAATCAACATCGCTACATGACATTTTTTAGCTTCTCCAATCACAAAATCACATGGCTTGTAGCATAGTTGTTTGTATTAATGTCGACAACGTGTCACATTTAAGATTCAAACCAAGAATTTTGTGTTATGAGTTACATGGATGAAAAAATAATATTAAAATACAAAAACTTTACATTAAAAATTTGGGAATTTTAATGAACAAAATCATCAAAAATTGGCCGATCATCTAATTTTTTGTTCTTTTAATGGCTTAGAAAACTCCTCAAGTAAAGATACAAAAGGGAAATTGAACATTTATAAATGATGTTTACTGTTTAGTGGAAAAACATAAAATAGTATTTTGAACTATAGTAATTACACGAAAGCAAACACACATATCCCGTAGCTGAAAAGTTTATTTTTGTGACATGAAATCCAAAGCTTAGATATCAAATCGCTTCTACCTCTGCCTTTTCTGATACCAAGCCAAGGCCTCGACATATTCAGCCTCGGCGAAGTCAGGCCATAGAACATCGGAAAAGTAGAGATCAGTGTGAGCTGATTGCCATAAGAAGAAGTTACTGATCCTTTGCTCTCCGCTCGTTCTGATCATTAGGTCAGGGTTTGGGAACTCACTACACTTTGTCATCAACTCTTTATCCATCAGCTTTTCGTCGATATCCTCCACTTGGATCAGCCCGTTTTTCGCCTTTTCAGCAAAACTCTTGCACGCTTGTACGATATCAAACCTTCCACTATAGTCTAACGCCATAATGAGATGCTTATCTTTATAGCTCTTTGTAGCTTCTTCTGCCTCTCGTATCAAACCTAGAAGCGACTCGGGGATTCTTGCCCGGTTCCCAATAACCGAGATCTTGACTTTATATCTAAAAGAAGAGTTAAAAAAATTAACATAAAACGCTTCAAAAAGAAAAAGGATTAAGGCAATATGTTGGGTATCTTTGGAAGAAATGCATCTCAGACTTGAAGTTTCTCTCAAACAGGGACATCAAGTAGTCCACTTCATCCTGATCATAGAAAATAAAATCAACTGAATAAAAACGATGGAAATATAAGAAAAGTCTTGATTTCTTAGGCCTTTTAACACAAAAAAAAAATAAAAATAAATCTCAAAATGTTTTTGAAAGAAAGATTATATAATCACCTTGGGTCTTGCCCAATTTTCAGTGGAGAAAGCAAAGATTGAGACAGTGTTTATCCCCTTATGCCCTACATTCTCCACGAGTCTTCTCCCTCCGGCTTCGTGACCGTCCGATACCCCGAGTCCTCGCTTACTCGCCCAACGTCTGTTTCCGTCCAATATTATCGCCACATGATTCGGCATTCTCCCTCGTTTCTTTTTCTCTCCAGTTTGAAACTCTCATATAACATGACCCTTTTTCTTGACATTCGATTACCCAAAACATATAGGATGAAAACTCTAAATACACTGAACAACCGACTATATATAGTCTTCTAGTTTTGCCCGGTTGGTTGAGAGAAACTCTTGGTTTCTATGCATGGAATTCACACTAGCTAGGTTGTAGGTTCTGAGATAAATTAATTTCAGATTAGACCGACTGAAATCATCCATTTTGCTAAAAAAAAAAAAAGTGCACGTAAAAAAACTATGATTAATAGAAGCACACGCTACCGTTTCTTGTTCCTCTCATCTTCATCATAGTATCGAGAAGCTGCGGTTTTGACGAATCTGCGGGTATTTGTCAAGGCGAGAGGAACACTTAGACGCGAGAGATGAAGAGACAGGGAATGAGAATAAGAGCATGAGAAGTCAAGACTATAGAGAGTAGAGACAACATTATCTTTCTTTTTTAGAATATTTGTTACTGATCACTTAATCACTCGTCTATATATCATGATGAGTGGTATCTATACTTGAAGTCTTAAAAGGCTCCGGATTCAAAGACGCACATGATCAATGTTAATTTCTCTCTCTGTCTCTCTCTCTCTCTCTGATGCTACGCAAAGACAGATCATGATAAATTAGGACATAAACTGTGATAATGTAAGTGTGAATTCACATTTATGTCGAAGCTAGTCGTACAAATATAGCCATGATCTCACATGCGTTTTTAAGGTTGATAAGATCTTACGACACTTGAAGATCACTAAATAGTCTCGTCACGTGATTATGATTAAGATCTTATGATTATAACTTGTTTGGTCAAAAATAGAGTTTATATGAAACTCTATTAACGATAAGGTGGTTGTCAAATCATTATTTCCAAGTGGCGGCAATCCATTCTCTTTAATAAAAAACTGACGAAAAACCATGGCCCATGGGTACACCAAAACAGGAGATTAAAACCCCATAATGCAACAAGGGGTATAACAGTCAATTCCCACAGTTTCGCGACTTTTCTTGGAAAAGCAACTTCGAGAATCGTAACTGAAGCGCTTAAAAGAGGTTTATCGAGAAAATTCGCTCGCATTTACAAAAATACCATTCAACACATCTCTCTCTTTCCTTTTCTCTGTCCTCATTTATGTAAACTTTGATCATCGGATTGGGTGTGAAACATCTAACTCCTAAAAAGACAAAGTATTGAAATTTTCCTTTTTGCTTCGCCCTCCTTCGATGCTTTGAATCATCGTCGCTTTCGCTTCTCTCTCGATTCTTTTGTTCGTTTGATGCGAATTATCTTCTGGGAAATTCACTTGCCATGGCGAAACTGTCTTTCAAGGATTCTCTTAAAGCTCTAGAAGCTGACATCCAACACGCTAACACACTGTAAAACCCTCGATTTCTCCTTGTTTAAATTTCTCGGCTTTTCCTATAAAGTCTCGATTTTTCACTTTTCCTGAGATTTTAGATGTGTTTGATAGTTTTATGATCTCACCGTTTGAGATTATGGTGGTTCTTAATCTCTCTGATCATGTGTTATCTTTTAGTACCTTTTATCTTTGGTTTGCATGTAAGTGGAGGTTCCTTTATTTGCAGTGGAAATTTCTTAGATTGATTCTCATAGGTCCACTAGTGGGTCACTGAGGTTATTCTTGAAGTGTAAGAGCTGAGAAATTGTACGCTCTGTGTTCTCTGGGTGTTCAATTGATTCACTGAGTTAGATTTTTATCTAGACTCGAACTGTCTAAGTACAAAGAGTGAATAAGTTAAGCTCAATTGTTGACTCAAAGTTGAAAGACTCAAAGAGTGAATCAGTAACGTTTTTGAACAGATAAATATCTGAGTGTCCTAATGCGTTTTTTTTTTGTTTCTTTTCTTTCTGGAAATTGAAAAAGCAGAGCTTTAGATTATCCTCGGGAGAAGGATGGAGCTCGTGTTCAGATGAGATTATCGTACAGCCCTGCTGCTCAGTTTTTTCTTTTTCTTGTGCAATGGACTGATTGTCACCTCGCTGGTGCACTCGGTTTGCTCAGAGTTCTTATCTATATGGTACCGTTTGTTCCCCTATGAAACTGTTGTTGGACTTCTTGTGATTGTTTTGAATCTTTTGACTAACCCGTTGAGTTTCATATTTGGTTTCAGACTTATGCAGATGGAAAAACCACAATGTCTGTTTACGAAAGAAAAGCTAGCATGAGAGAGTTCTATGGTATGTTTTGTTTTGTGCTAAAGTAAGTTTATGTAAGCAACAAGGTCTGATATTGTTTATGCTTATGGTTGTTTTCGGTGTTTTGGTTATCTTTGAAAGCTGTGATATTTCCGTCTTTGTTGCAACTACAAAGAGGTATTACAGACTTAGAAGACCGGAAACAAAAGGAGGCATGCAGTATGCGGTACAGGAAGAAGGATGAGACCGAGAAGCGTGAGGAGGTCTCGGAGATTGAGATAGAGCGAGAAGAAGAATGCGGAATCTGTATGGAGATGAACCACATGGTCGTGCTTCCCAACTGTACTCATTCTTTGTGCATCAAATGCTATCGCGATTGGTAAGTCACTACAAAACACAAATCTTTATACAAATGTAAATACGTTTTCTGAATAAAGACTAAAGAGTCATGTTTTTGGTTAGGAGAGGGAGGTCACAGTCATGCCCGTTCTGCAGAGACAGCCTTAAACGAGTAGAGTCTGGAGAGCTGTGGATGTTCTTGGAGAAAACCGAAACAGTGAATCTGTCTGCAATCGTGAGAGAGAATCAGAAACGGTTGTTTGTGTTCATTGAGAAGTTACCACTAGTGGTTCCAGATCAATCGTTTGCGTCTTCTCCTTACGATTGCCATGTTAGGTGAAAAAGAAGGAAGAAGAAGAAAGGTTTAATCTTTATCTGTATATTGCAGACTCTAAATTTGGAGGGGAAAAGGAAGATTCTCTTCTCTTGTATATGTATTTAGAGTTACTAGAAGTAGTAGTCTCATCTTTTAAAACTCAACCATTTTGTTGGGTAAGTTCCACATACAAGTCACTTGCTTTTTGTGCATTTGGCTGTGGCTCCCATTTACTTTTATTTACCAACCCTCCTCTTCAAGAGCAGAGGTTTTTAGTTTTTACTCAACATAATAATAGTTACTTTTTCAATACAACAATGGTATTCAAAGTTGTTTTATGCTCTCTACTTCAGATTATGGAGGAACATCAATTTCTACGATTCATTTCTTTTCCTGAAATTGATATGATTTTCTACTTCATTAGGCGAATTTTCTTCGTTAGGTGATAAATAAGCCAAAAAGAAACTGGAAAAAGGATATTTTGGTTACCCGGCCGGTATCAAATCAAAAGCAAACCGACCCTCTTTATTCGGTTCGAGTTTGGTTTGATTACGCCAGTAAAACCCGACCCGGTAAATCCAGCGCCTTTTGATACAACCCGACCCGCTCAAACCAGCGCCTTTCTGAGTTTCTGTAGCGCGCGTCTCCTGCGAGTATTCGTCGGGAAGTTGCGTCTAGGGTTACTCTCCGGCGAGAGAAATTTGATTGAGCGATGAATCCGTTGACATCGGTGAAGCAGATACAGAGAATTAACGCCAGAGAATCAGATCTAGGTATTTCCGAAGAAGCTTCCTGGCACGCCAAATACAAAGATTCAGCCTACGTTTACGTCGGAGGCTTTTCGTACGATCTCACGGAGGGAGACCTCCTCGCCATTTTCGCACAGTACGAGTTTCTTCCTTCTCACATTGTGAATTAAAGTGTATTTGAGGCATGAATGTTCTCTGATTTTTTTATTGTTTCATTGAAGATATGGTGAAGTAGTTGATGTGAATCTCGTTCGCGACGGAGGAACTGGGAAATCCAAGGGATTTGCGTTTGTGGCTTACGAAGATCAGAGAAGCACCACTCTTGCTGTTGGTTAGTCACTAATTCCTTTTCTCGTTTCATCTTTCACACATCCATTAGTTATCGTTTCTCTTAAAATTCTCAAAATCGCAGATAATCTGAATGAAGCTATGGTGTTGGGACGGATCATAAAAGTGGACCACTGTGGTAAATACGTAAAGAGAGAAGAGGAAGATGAAGAGACGAAGCAGAAGAAGAGAGAAGCTCGTGGCGTATGCAGAGCTTTTCAGCGAAATGAGTGTACTCGTGGAGATTCTTGCAAGTTCTCACATGATGAGAAAGTAAGAAGAGAGCACTAATCATCTCAGATACACTACACTTTGAAAACCAATCATGCTTTCAATGTTTCCTTCTCATTGATTTTGCTATTGATTCTTTATATTGACAGAGAGCTGCAATAGAAGATGAGTAAAGAAGTCGTCTTTACATTGATATCAAGTTGGTAATGCTTTACATGATTATTAGTTTCTGAGTTGTAGTTTCTCTGTATATGCCCTTTACATGTATAAGATTGATTAGTACAAAGGAAACACAGAGTCAAATTCAGTTTTTAGAGAGGATTTACCGCTTCTTGAGTTTCTTGGCTATACCTGCAAAGTACTTGCCATGGTAATTTGCTAGCTGAATCTCCAGCTCTGTTGGCTCGCGTGATCCGTCAGCCGCGTAAGTCCCTGAGCCGTACGGCGAGCCACCTTTCACCTCTCCCATCTCATACATGCCTTTACCAAATGTGTACCCCAACGGCACAAATATCATTCCGTGATGAGCCAGACTTGTCACCGCCGTCAATCTGCAGATGACAAATCATCAGTCACTTATGGCTATCATCTTCTAGCACTAGCACTAGCTATCATCAGTCACTTATGTTCTTACGCAGCGAGTTCTTGGCCTCCACCGTGGAAACCTGTACTCCAGAAGATTCCTGCTGGTTTCCCGGCAAGAGCCTGTGAGGTCCAGAGATCATTTGTATTGTCGAAGAAGGTCATGACCTGTGATGCCATTACTCCGAATCTCGAAGGAAATCCGAACAAGAATCCGTCGGCTTCCGCTAGTTGTTCCGGTCGTATCTCCGCCACATCGTCCGGTCTTGGAGCAGCCTTCACTTTCTCCAGTATCTTCTCGGGTAATGTCTCCGGCACTTGCCAGAGCGTTGCTTCCACGTCTGGGACGGCGTTTGCTCCTCGGAGAATCTCTCTTGCCATTGTCTCGACGTGGCCGTGCAACGAATAGTACCTGCCAAGAAAATCAAAAACCGGTTTTCGATTCAAAACCAAATCGAAGGCACAGAAACTCTCGTTTTGTCTGAGCCAGTTGATTAACTTGGGACGGATCGTTTAAGAAGACTCACACTATATAAATCTTGGTGACGGCCATAGAGAGCTCGAAGCTTCGGACAAAACAAGGATTCTTGTACCTGAGACAAAGAACACCACCACATGTTAAAATTTCTAAGATCTTATACTTTGGAAATTTCAAATTCGAGATTTATATATATTCCCCTTGACGACCAGTAAGTGATCACAAACTTTATCAAAATCTGCGGGAAAATGGATTTCGTAAACAGTTAACATTACTCGATTGCTAAATTAGAATCGGCTCCGATGCAAAGATTTATAAGGAAATAACTAACCTTTGTGAAAGAGCCAAAAAGGAGAAAAAAAGAAAAGATCTGAGGTTCGGGGTTAGCTTCCGGGATGCTCACGGAATCATTTCATATGTCTTACAGATTTGGTGAAGATGATCTTTTAAGAACTTGCAGGTCACGTGGCTAGAGTTTGACCGACAATTTGTATTTGTATTCTCTCACATGGGGTCATCCTCAGGCGTCAGGCCCAATAAAATTACGAGGACTCCTCTTGTGGATAAAATAGCCGAAGAATGACCCTAAATCTAATCTGGTCTGATGGTACACTCCTATTGTTGTCTATATGATGCTTACTGAGACCATATCAGCTGGAACCTTAAGTTAAAGATCAAATTTGACATTATTGTATCTCATAAGAGGCTTCAGTCTCTAATCAACATAATAATATAACAGTTGAGTATAATTTCATTAGATAAAATTATAATTATATATGTTTTAATGTTTACATATGTGGTAATCAAATAAATAAATTTCTATAGGACAACCAAATTGGTAACTTTATAAAAAAAGATTGAAAATTTGTAAAATTGCTAATATTTTACAAATGTGATCATAAATTTAAATGAAATTCATGTATATATAAATAGTAAAATATAATGTCAAATATAAATAAATGAAGATTCTATAAAAGAAAAATTCTAATGGTTGACCAAAGAAAAAAAAACTCTAACTATTGTATATAGTTAACTGGAATAATTTATATCAAAAGGTTTAGTATAAATTCCTTTCATTTGATGTTGATCTTCCATAGAAATCTAAAATTTGCAGTAACATCTAATTCGTTTTGTAAGAAAATGGCGAGATTACAAGCAGCTTCCTTTTGTTTACTCTCATGTGTCCTTGTCTTGCTCTTGAGTTTAGTCTCAGCAGTCATAGTTGATGATAGTCAAGATAAACAAGTATGTTATTATAATTAAAGATCATCTAAGTTTTTTTGGTTTTTTTTGTTTTGTTTTGTTTCCCTTGGATGAGCCATTATATATACATGATTATACCAATCTAATCTCTCAAGGTCTATGTTGTCTAAACCCTTTTCTCCAAAAAAAGGTGTATGTTGTCTACATGGGTTCACTCCCGGCTCGACCGGACTACAAACCAATGTCTAATCACATGAGTATTCTTCAAGAAGTCACCGGAGAAAGGTGAGATTTAATTGATTCTTTCCCTAGTCGTGGTTAGACAAAATCAATTTAGTTATTGCTATGTTAACAAGTTGATATATATACACACACATATGTATACTCTAGTTCGATCGAAGGTCGTTTGGTGAGAAGTTACAAGAGGAGTTTCAACGGCTTCGCGGCGAGACTCACTGAGTCAGAACGAGAACGAGTAGCCGGTGAGGGTTTTTTGAAACCGAGCTAATTTTTAACAAGACATTATAAGTGATACGTTCTTCAGTAATTGGGCTAATACCTTTTTTGGTTGAAAAAAAAACCCTTCTGTGTAGTTAGAAATGGAAGAAGTCGTTTCTGTGTTCCCGAACGAAAACTACAAACCACAAACGACGGCGTCTTGGGACTTCATTGGGCTAAAGGAAGGAAATAATACAAAACGAAACTTGGCCGTAGAGAGTGATACTATTATCGGAGTCATTGACACTGGTATTTGGCCGGAATCCGAAAGTTTCTCCGACAAAGGCTTTGGTCCTCCTCCTAAGAAATGGAAAGGTGTTTGTGCCGGCGGCGCAAATTTCACATGCAACAAGTAATTCTCTTTACTTATATATTAGCAGAACCCCAAATAATATCTTATCGTCTTCATACTTTTTTTTTTATCTTTAGATGAATTTTAAAAAACATTATTGAGTTGTTATTAATGTATAAAATATCTTCAGTAACAGTATAATATGTTGACGTCCAAAAAAAAGTATAATATATTTGAAAGTACTTTTCCAAATAACATTGAATTTGTAAAAGATATTTACAAATATTTGTTTTTTTCAATTGAAATTCATGAGTAAATAACATGAGATTTGTCATTTTAACACAAATTCTTTCAAATGGATGATTGAATACACTCCTAAAACCTAAATTATCAATATACCAAAATTTTAAATTTATAACATAGTTAACTAGTTGTTTGGTCGAAACTAAAGATAGAATAATCGGAGAGCTAGTCTTGGTTACTAAACTATTAGTATTGTTTTGGGCAGAGATTGATGATATGTTTATTACAATGTTTCAGCAAGCTGATTGGAGCAAGAGACTACACAAGCGAAGGTGCTAGGGACATTGACGGCCACGGTACACACACAGCGTCCACTGCGGCTGGAAACGCAGTCTCGGGAGCAAGCTTCTTTGGAATCGGCAATGGAACGGCAAGAGGCGGCGTTCCAGCCTCTAGAGTCGCCGCTTACAAAGTCTGCGTGCCGAAAGGATGTAGCTCGGCATCTATACTGTCTGCGTTTGATGACGCGATTGCAGACGGTGTTGACATCATCAGCATCTCTATAGGGTCACAATCTGCACGTACTTACGAGCGAAACCCATTGGCGATCGGGGCTTTTCACGCTATGGTCAAGGGGATTCTCACTGTGTACTCAGCCGGTAATGCGGGACCGGGTCCGAAAACAGTCGTGAGCGTAGCTCCGTGGATCTTAAGCGTTGCAGCCAGCACCACGAACCGTGAGTTTGTCACAAAAGTTGTTCTCGAAAACGGCAAGACACTTGCCGTAAGTACCAAGTAACCAAAATTGTTCTCATTCCTATCATCATAGTAATCTTTGTCCCCTTCTAATAACCGAATGAACTTTGTCTTAACAGGGGAAATCAGTGAACTCTTTTGATCTGAAAGAAAAAAATTACCCTCTTGTGTACGGTGATTTTATCAAAGGGCGTAGTAATGGAAAAATCTTGGTTGGCGGATATTCAGAAACAGGAACAGCTGTTGCTAACATAGTCAAAGACATACAAGGCTTTTACTTGGTTATGCCTAAACCTTTCTCTGCTCTGTCACCAGATGACTTTGACACTCTCGTCTCTTACATTAACTCCACAAAGTAACAAACAATCTTTTTTCTCTTATTTGATACTGTCTATGTATCATTCTATATCCTGATATATTTTTGTTTCTTTTCTCAGGTTCCCGCAAGGCACTATTCTAAAAACTGAGGCATTATTTAATCAGACAGCTCCTAAAATTGCTTCATTCTCTTCTCGCGGTCCAAACATTATCGCAGTTGATCTTCTTAAGGTTTGTATATATAACATTTGTATGATCTTGCATGGTGCTCTTTGGTTTCTCTGGTCTGAGAGACAACTAATGGTTGATTGAATTGCAGCCGGATGTAACAGCGCCAGGAGTGGAGATCCTCGCTGCTTTTTCACCTTTGGGTTCACCATCTTCTACAAGGAACGACACAAGAAGAGTCAACTACACTGTTCTGTCCGGAACTTCAATGTCTTGTCCACACGTTGCAGGTGTGGCCGCGTACATCAAGACTTTTCATCCTGATTGGTCTCCCTCCATGATCCACTCTGCCATCATGACAACCGGTAATCTAAATCTTGTCCAACTTTTACTTTCTTGTATCACAAGTAATCTATATGCTGATTGCTTTCTTCTTTCACGGTCTCTTAATCAATCTCGCAGCTTGGCCGATGAATGCTACTGGAACTGGCATCTCATCGACTGAGTTTGCATATGGAGCTGGACATGTCGACCCAATAGCCGCTCTAAATCCTGGACTTGTCTATGAATTGAACAAAACAGACCACATCGCCTTTCTCTGCGCCTTGAACTACACTTCGAAATTCCTTAAACTCATTTCCGGTGAAGATGTCACTTGCACTGGAAATACCTTGCCAAGGAACCTCAATTATCCTTCAATGTCGGCTAAACTTTCGGGATCCAACAGTTCCTTCACCGTGAGCTTTAACAGGACAGTCACCAATGTCGGTACGTCCAATTCAACATACATATCTAAAGTTGTCTTAAGTCACGGATCTAAGCTCGACGTCACGGTCTCGCCTAGTGTTCTATCTGTGAAGTCAATGAATGAGAAGCAGTCTTTCACGGTGACTGTTTCAGGCAGCGATCTCGACCCGAAACTGCCTTCATCTGCCAATCTAATATGGTCTGATGGTACACATAACATGAGAAGTCCTATTGTTGTCTACACTGATGGTTACTGATGAGGTCACATCTGTTGGCACCTTAAGTTTAAGATCAAATTTTGACATTATTGTATCTCATGACATCTTGTTTAGATACATTAAGTTTAGGTGATATATTAATAAGATAATTAGTTATACATCTTGCCCTCATAATTAGATATATACTTATTGGATTGACCATGACACGTATTCCAATTGTATCTTTCTTTTATTTAATTATAAAAAACCTTTACCAAACCTGTAAAGATCGTTTTCCTTGCAGTCATTACAAGAGTATTAGGAGAGAACCCGCGCAATGCGCGGGTTTATTAAACCAAATATTTTTAATTTAATTATTCAGAACATTAGATTCGAATATATCATTTGTTTTTTACTCGAATATATTAGATTCTGTAAGTTTTGCATTTTGTTTTTTTTCATATAGTTTTAAAATTTAGTTGTTATTTACGTGAAATCTTATATAGACTCATAGTGAATAGTTTCATATGTTTTTTGTTCTTTTATACAATAATTTATCGACTGGAGTTGAGTTCTTCTAATTTTCCTTATACTAACAATCATTATAGATTGATTATTATCCTACAGACTCATAGATAATAATAATTGCAATCCTTTTTAAAAGGAAATGAAATGAGCTAATTAGCCAGTAAGCCCATTTAAAGCTACCATGGAAACGAAGAGGTCCGATAAATAATCAAGCCATCAAAACGAACAACATTACACATAATTTTGATTTAGATTTTTTTTTTTTTTTTTACGAAAACGACGTCGTTTTGGTGTAAGACGAAAAAAAAAGATAAAGCGCAAAACGACGTCGTTTTGGTGTAAGACGAAAAAAAAACGCAAAACGACGTCGTTTTGGTGTTAGGCGAAAAAAAAAAAAAAGAGTGCCACGTGTCAAAGACTTGAGATGTCCAAGCCTTATTAGTTATGTAGATTCAGAACGAAGGAGAAACAAATTTCATTCTAATATATGATTTTAGTTTTCAGTAAGAATCTACAAAAAAAAAATCAAATCAAATTAGATGTAACAAAGTAAAATCATATATATGTTTCCTTAGAATGTAAACTGTATACAGTAATACCATTTCATACAAATATCATTAACATATCTGCTAATACTAGTTTTTATTGTAACTAACAAGAACCAATTAATTTTGAACAAGCACCATTTTTTTGGTTAACACACAATCACCATTTGCCAATCTGGCATTTGGTACAGATATTATGGCAATATTTTTTATTATATCTAACAAATAAAGAAACAGAATCAGAGGAAATTGATTATGATTTGTTCCTTGAGACGGTTTAGGCATGTATTTTACCCCTATTTTATATTATATACATCCGTTAATACTAATCTCCATAGAAATTGCAAACTTACAGTGACCTCTAATTCATTTTATAAGAAAAAAGATGGCGAAACGAGCAGCTTCTTTTTGTCTCCTCTCATGTGTGGTTATCTTGTTATTGAGTTCAGTCTCAGCAGTCACAGACGATCCTCAAGATAAACAAGTAAAAAATAATTTATCTAGATATTTTTTTCTCCCTATTACTTTTTATCATACATGATGATGATAATGATGACTATAATCAATGAAGGTGTATGTTGTCTACATGGGTTCGCTTCCGTCTCGACCAGACTACACACCAATGTCGAATCACATAAGCATTCTTCAAGAAGTCACCGGAGAAAGGTGAGATTTAGTTAATTCGTTCTCCAGTCATTGATTAGTAACAAGTTAATAACTAGTTTACGCTATGAAAATTCTAATAAGTGATCTGTCTTTATATATGTACCACACTCTAGTTTGATCGAAGGTCGTTTGGTGAGAAGTTACAAGAGGAGTTTCAACGGCTTCGCTGCTCGACTCACTGAGTCAGAACGAGAACGAGTAGCCGGTGAGTCTTCTTTAGATTGTGACACTTTTATGTTGAAATGATTATAACTAGAGAAATAATGCATAAAATTTTTTGCTTAGAAATGGAGGGAGTGGTGTCTGTGTTCCCAAACAAGATTTTACAACTCCAAACGACGAGGTCATGGGACTTCATGGGATTAAAAGAAGGAAAAGGGACGAAGAGGAATCCGACGGTGGAAAGTGATACCATTATCGGAGTCATAGACTGTGGGATCACGCCGGAATCTGAAAGCTTCTCCGACAAAGGCTTTGGTCCTCCTCCAAAGAAATGGAAAGGTGTTTGCTCCGGCGGTCAAAACTTCACATGCAACAAGTAAATCCTCTAATACTAATTAATTATTGTTTTATAGATTAGTATTGGTTTAGGCAGAGATTGATGTACACATGTTTACAACGTTTTAAGCAAGTTGATCGGAGCAAGAGACTACACAAAAGAAGGAACTAGAGACAGACAAGGCCACGGTACACACACAGCGTCCACTGCGGCTGGAAACGCAGTCGCGGGCACAAGCTTCTATGGAATCGGCAAGGGAACGGCAAGAGGCGGCGTTCCAGGCTCTAGAATCGCCGCTTACAAAGTCTGCACCGAGACAGGGTGTACCTCAGAAGCTGTGCTGTCTGCGTTTGATGATGCGATAGCAGATGGTGTCGATCTCATCACCACCTCCCTCGGCGGAGACGACGCCCCCAAGTACGATGAGGACACGATTGCGATCGGAGCTTTCCACGCTATGGCCAAAGGGGTTCTCACTGTGCACTCAGCCGGTAACAACGGTCCATCGCCAGCCACAACCGTGAGCGTAGCGCCGTGGCTCTTATCCGTTGCAGCCAGCACAACAAACCGTGAGTTTGTCACAAAAGTTGTTCTCAAAAACGGCAAGACACTTGTCGTAAGTCTCAAGTAACGCCCACATTCCTATATCATCATAGTAATCTTTGTCCCTTCTAATAACGAATGAATTTGTAATTTGTTAACAGGGAAGAGCAGTGAATTCTTTTGATCTGAAAGGAAAGAATTATCCTTTTGTGTACGGTGATTCTGACGACGAAGAAAGTAGTGATGGATCTCAGTTCAAGGGAAAAATCTTAGTGGGTAGATCTGGAGAAATTTCATCAGAAACAGCTGTTGCATCCGTATTTAAAGACTTACAAGGCTATTCCTCGGTTACGCCTAGAATTTTCTCTGCCCTATTACCAGCTGACTTTGACTCTCTCGTCTCTTACATGAACTCCACAAAGTAACAAATCATCTTCTTTCTCTATATTTATGATATTCTAGTCTCTACATTTGCTCAAGATTGATCCTCGTTTTCCCTGATATCTCTGTGGCTGTTTTCTCAGGTCTCCGCAAGGCACTGTTCTTAAAACTGAGGCATTCTTTAATCAGACTGCTCCTAAAGTTGCTTCATTCTCTGCTCGCGGTCCAAACACTATCGCAGTTGATCTTCTAAAGGTTTGTATATCAGTATATATAACATTTGTGTGATCTTGCATGGTTCTCTTTTGTTTCTCTGGTCTGAGAGGCAATTCATGGTTGATTGAATTGCAGCCGGATGTAACAGCACCAGGAGTTGAGATTCTCGCTGCCTATTCACCATTGGGTTCACCGACTTCTCAAAGGAGCGACACAAGACGTGTGAAGTACTCTATTCTGTCTGGAACTTCGATGTCTTGTCCACACGTTGCAGGTGTGGCAGCATACCTCAAGACGTTTCATCCTAAGTGGTCTCCTTCCATGATCCAATCTGCCATCATGACAACTAGTAAACAAAAATCTTATCCAACTTTTTTTACTTTCTTGTATCACAAGCAACCTTTTTTTGCTGATTTCTCTGTTCTTATACGGTCTCTTAAATCACCCTTTGCAGCTTGGACGATGAATGCTACTGGAACTGGGGCTGCATCAACCGAGTTTGCTTATGGAACTGGACATGTCGACCCAATAGCCGCTCTTCATCCTGGACTCGTCTACGAACTGAACAAAGCAGACCACATCGCCTTTCTCTGTGGCTTAAACTACACTTCGAAGACTCTTAAAGTCATCTCCGGTGAAGCCGTCACTTGCACTGGAAAGATCTTGCCAAGAAACCTCAACTATCCTTCAATGTCTGCTAAAATTTCAGGATCTAAAAGCTCCTTCACCGTCACTTTCAAAAGAACCGTCACAAACCTCGGTGCCCCCAACGCTACATACAAATCGAAGATTGTCTTAAATCATGGGTCTAAGCTCCGTGTCACGGTTTCGCCTAGTGTCCTTTCTATGAAGTCGGTGAACGAAAAACAGTCTTTCACAGTGACTGTTAAAGGCAGCGGTCTCGACCCAAAACTGCCTTCGTCTGCAAATCTAATCTGGTCTGATGGAACACATAACGTGAGAAGCCCTATTGTTATCTATTCTTAAGGGTTATTGATGAGGAGGCATTTTGACTTCACCATAGCCATCAATCATCCTAATAAAATCTGTCTTGTTTGTTTGGTACCTTCTATTTGCACAGTTAACCGTTTACATCTTTAGTACCAACTCCCCAATCATATTCGTGTTGTCTTCTCACTTACTTGAGTGTCGTCAGTTAACCGCTAACATCTTTATTTATACACACACACTCATGAGAGGAGATCATAAATTCTTTTATACACTGGAATCTCGGGCAGTCGTATGGAAAATATCCCTCGTGGCGGCAAACAAAGTCACACACTTTCTCTATGCATGGAGGCGATCGAGCTTTATAAAATCTTTAGAATATTAAACCAAATCTCATTTTAAAAAATGTAAGAAACTAATAATTACTTAAAAAAATAATTCATACACTTTTTTTTATGGTCTTTGAGCCTTAGACACCTCCTAAATTTATCCTTCGAATTAAATTCTAGTCAAACTAATGAATTAATTCATTGCATAACTATATCACCATGTTTTTATTTGGCGGCAAACAAATTTCCATTGATGAGATCCCTCCATTAACCACTTCGTCCGTTACATATTTACAAAATACTCATTTCGATAATTCCTGAACTACCCTTCCTTCACAGTTTATGTCTAGTTAGTAGTTAGTCCCACGAGGATGTGGTTGTCTTTTCGAAATATCTCAAATAATTTAATTTAAATTACAATTCGTTAATAAGATTAACCCATTACTCCTTCCCGCCTTATTCTCCTTCTCCTTAACTCCCATACTGTCGGAGAGAGATGAAACTCAAAAGTTACAAATTTTGTTCTAATTTTTATCAGCCGTCAGATCTATTAGCTACTGTTTAGATTAGCTCCTTTCACGCCACTTGGCATATTTCACGGTCTTATTATTGACTCACACCATTTTATTATGAGTTAGTTTTTGCTGCTTAGACTATTTTTTTAGTGAATATATTAATCATATTGCAAAATGAATATAAACGACTAAAACTCATGAGTATTGTTGCCAAACAAGGGGTCTTTACAAATCATATTGGAAATTTTGTTCTATAATCGACTTATATTCTTTTTGGTCGTTCGTAGATATTGTCATAAGGAAATCAGAGAGGATTTTGGTAAAATATCGATTTGAAATTTAGTTACTAATAGGTATAGATCCATATAGTAATCAATTAAATAACAATATCTTCTGGTTATCAGCTAGAGTTTGTAATCTCTTAGCTTAGTGATTTTAACCTCGAAGGTATATGTATTTTTTTAAAAGTATTTTTCTGTTATTTCTTCCTTTTTTTTCTTAACCAAAAACACTCGAGAGCTATAAGGCTAATATTTATTTGTTTAAGAAAATATCAGAATTAATATTATTCAATGGGTCATTCATTGCTTTGAATTTATATAGCAACTCATTAAGTCTCACATTTTCCTTGTTACTAGCTTAAGTCTCTCCTTTGTGCTCTGACTGCTCTCCTCTCCATTCAACTAATCTTTTCTCTTTTGACCATGGAAGGCCGGCGTCTCGCCCACGGAGCTGCACCGCCGTTGACCGCCGTGGAGAGATTCCTATACGGCCAAAAGAATGATGCCTTATGTTCTAAGAAACAAGAGTGTACTAGAGACCAATCAATCGTGAAGACGAAAACGCCGATTGAGATTAGACACGATAACAAAGAGAACATGGCGTTTGCTCCGAGGAAGGACAAAAACTTTGTTTTCAATGGAGGAAACCAAAGCCCTATTGGAAAAATGGTCGTTAAAGGTGCAACCAGAGATTATCAAAACACTACGAAGAAGCGACCGTACAAGAATCTCATCAAAGGGCAGTGGACGGCTGAAGAAGACAGGTATATATATCTAGATTTATGTTTATGTAGATTGATTCATGCGTTTATATGAGAAGTCTATGCATATACGTGTAGGAAGTTGATAAGGTTGGTGAGGCAACATGGGGAGAGAAAATGGGCAATGATCTCGGAGAAGCTTGAGGGAAGAGCGGGGAAACAATGTCGTGAGAGATGGCATAATCATCTCCGTCCTGATATCAAGGTTTGATCCAAGATCTAGCTTCTTTTTATTTCTTTCGTATCTTCTTTACAATATATTTTTGTTTAGATCTAGGGTTCTAACATAAGTCTCACTCTATTCTGTTAACATGCTGTCGTCTAGATCTAGTGTTCTAACATAGTTTCTCTTTTGTCAATTATGTGTCCAGAAAGATGGATGGAGCGAAGAAGAAGAGATGGTTCTTGTAGAAGCACACACGAGAATTGGGAACAAGTGGGCGGAGATCGCTAAACTCATACCGGGACGCACCGAGAACTCCATCAAGAACCACTGGAATGCGACTAAACGACGCCAAAACTCCAAACGCAAACAAAAACGTCAAGCAAACGCGGACAATGATAGCGATCTCTCTCCATCAGCTAAAAGGCCATGCATTCTCCAAGACTACATCAAAAGCATCGGCAATAATAACACTAACAAGGTAATGGATGACAGCAAGAATGAGAACACCAACAGTGTTGTGTCTACACCGACTCTTGATCAGATCTATTCTGATGGAGATTCTGTATCGTCGGTCCTTGGTGATCCATATGACGAAGAGCTTGCGGACCTGCAAAATATCTTTGCAAACCATCCTATTTCTCTGGAGAACATAGGTTTGCGCCAAACTTCCGATGAGGTAGACCAGTCTTCAACATATGGGTTGATGATCAACAATCCTAAACCTAATTTGCACAACAATGTTGCAACTCATCATCACGATCAGGCAATGGTCACAGTTCCACCACCGAATACGCAGCACCACCTAGCATCTGATCTCTACTTATCTTATTTGTTGAATGGTACCACGTTGTCTTACTCCAACCCTCATTTTCCGTCTTCCTCATCTTCCACGTCATCCACAACTGTAGAGCAAGGAGGCTACAACGAGTTACTTGTGCCTCAAGCTAACTATACAAGTGAAAGAAGAGAAATGGATCTGATAGAGATGCTCTCTGGTTCTGTTCAAGGTAGCAACAACTGCTTCCCATTTTTCTAGCTGCACCCATATTATATGATCATCATTATCATTATGATCATTCTCTATCTTGCTCTTCCGTTCTTTAATAATTATTTTCTTCTATGGATGATATTAAGATCCAAGCTCCTTTTCGTATCAAAATAATAATTAGGGCTTATGTGCTTCTTTGTACTCGAATGTTTTCTCCGATTTACAGTTTACTCCATTATTTTGCATTTTTGGTTGTTTACTTACATTAAGTGGTTGTTTTAGTTAGAGATTTGTGCGAAATGGTTCCCACTTGACGTTACGAAACTGGTATTAATTTTAAACTTAATTACGTCCACTAATTCAAGAATAAGTAATAGTTAATATACACAAGTTAAACAAGTAAACTTTTATTCAAAAAAGAGTTGAACAAACTTGACCAAACAAAGGCACAAAAAGTGCATATCATAATATGTATTTTCTAGGTAAAAGAAAACATAGGAAAATGAGGTTGCTTAATTATAATAATTTAAAACTTCAAATGACAAACATATTCTCAATCCTTCGACATATGTACCACTTTGACCTTAACATGCAACCACCTCACCACGAGGTTGCAAGTAAACACGTAACCCGTTCTTCATGAACAGCGTCAGCGACATCTTCTGCTCGACTCGGTGACCGGGAACCGGAAACAGCCGGTAACGGAGAAGAACGGCTGAAGCCACCGACTTCATCTGGTTATAAGCCAAGTCTTTGCCCAAGCAAGTCCTTGGTCCGGCGTTGAACGCCACGAACTTGTAGCCGTCTTTGGGAGTCTCGAACCGGTCACCGTCGGCCGTGAGCCACCGCTCTGGTCGGAACTCTAGACAATCTTCGCCCCAAATCGTTTTCATCCGGCCGATCGCGTAAATCGAATAGGTCACCGTCGAGCCTCTTGGCACGAAAGTTCCGTCAGGCAAAACGTCGTCGTCTACGACGTACTTGAAATCCTGTTTATTTGGAACGTTACTACGACGTTACATTAGCTCTTTATTACGAATTATGAGTAACAATTTTACCAAAAAAAAAAATTATGAGTAACAAGACCAACTAAAAATATAAATGATTTTTTTTGCGTTTATTTTGCCATTTTATTTTTGGTAAACAATAACTCTAATTAAGTAAAAGTTAAATGTGAGTGTAACCGTCACTGATACTAGCTAGCAGCCTAGGATTAAGAAAAATATATCGGTAATTTTCAGCTTAGAAGGAATAACTCATGAAATTAATAAATTAGTCAACTAGCTAGCTATATAAATTCATTCAGAAACTTCAATGCAAGTAAATAGTATACTATATCTAGACATAAATCAATACTATATGATTCCCACAAAAAACAAAATCAATACTATATGATAAGTAATTACGTCTATGTTAATTTTACGTCTTTTATGCAAAAATCTCCAGTCCATACGCGTTATATATGATGTTTCCAACTCTTAAAATGATTATTTTGACAAAACAATTATGTTCAAATTTTCACCTGAGGCACGGAAGGGTATAAACGCAGCGTTTCAGCCAAAGCAGCCTTGAGGTAAACGAGCCTATCTGCCTCGTCAAACTCTAACGGTTCCTCCGTCCACTTTCCCTGATCATCACCACGTGTCTCCTTCAGAACCTTTGATAACTCCTCAACGATCTTCTTCTCCACCTCCGAGTTATTCATGACCAGCCAAAAGAACCAGCTCAAGGCCACAGAAGAAGTGTCCCGACCCGCGAGAACAAAGTTGAGCGCGATACGCTGAAGAACAGCCGTCGAAAGAACGTTGCCATTAACGTCACGTTTCTTCAAAAAACGCGATAAGAGATCATCGGATGGAGCGTTTTTCCTCGCGTCGATCGCATCGTTCATGTAAGTCTCAACGACTTCAAGACTCTTCTTGAGCTGGTTCTCCGAGCCAATTCCCATCGCTTTTTGAATCCGCCACAAGAAACCGGTATATAGGAGCCTCTTGAGAGTAGCCTCCGTCGCAGTATCAAACGCGACAGAGAACGGATTCTCTGGAAGATCCGGAGAAAGCGTCTCAGGGTCTTTTCCAAAAGTCAAACCACAAATGTTGTCAAAAGTCAACCTCAGAAACAAATCTTGAAGATCGACCGGTTTGTTGTCCTTAACCGCGCGGTCTAATATAAGCCATAACCGGTTCTTGATAGTGCCGTTAACCCACCGAGCCATGGCTTGTCTAAGAGTCCGAGTAGTGAACTCGAGCGCTGCAGTCTTACGTTGCATGAGCCACGTGTCACCGTCGCTGTTGAAGATTCCTTGTCCTAACAGATCGTGGAAAGCAGCTCGCCACATCGGACCTTTGGGGTAGTTATCGAACCGTGTCTTAAGGATATGCTCGACGTTTTTTGGGTGACACGTCACGGTGTAAAACCCTTGCGTCTTGGCCACGAAAGGTATCACCATCGTGCTCGTTTGATACGTACCGCCAGTGGCTCGGAGGTTATCAGCGATCCAATCATGGACTCGACTCCGGTTTGCGATTAAAAACGGTAGGCTTCCGACAATAGGTAAGACTTTTGGACCGGTTAGCCTGCGGGAGAGGAAATAGAACCAAATAGCGTAAACCGATAGAGCGGCCACGGCGTAGCCGGTTAAGATGGGGCTTAGGGCTTCCATTTTCCAGTTTTAGGCTTTTTGTTTTTGTTGTATGGAGAGACTGGTGAGAGACATATATGATGAAGGAGAGGGATGTGTTTATATATATATATATGTATAAATGAGTAGTATTTTTACTATAGGTTATAACAAGAAAGGTTTGATTTTGTTTCAATTAGGAGAAAGTAGTTGGGAAACTTACATTTGGGTCGATAAGAATATTGCGCGTGTATGGTTTGAGATAATAGAACACGAAAGCAAATTGATTGTCCCGTTACAATTTCGTTTTTATTTCTTTTGTTTTGTACCATCGATTAAATTGAATTGTTTTTGTTTTCTTTTTGTATTTTGTCTGTTATTATGCACCAAATATTCTTGTATACAAAATTAAAACTGGAGAGTTGAGACTAAACGAAAATATCTCGTGAGGCTGCATTAACTAAATGTGGACACTTGACGAACTCAACTCTCAAGTATCAAGGTCATGAATTTCCATAATCTTTGCAATGTGTAATCAAAATCAAAATTTAATCTTTGCAACGCATCTCAAATATTTATGTCTTTATTATTTCAAGTTTAAACAATAGCACGAATTTAGCTATAGATGAATACTTCATTTATGAGAAATGAGCCTATATAGCAACGAAGATCTTTTCTTCGAGAATAATGATTCGGTCAATGGCAGTTAGCCCATTCTAAGAAACGGGGTTTCCTTCGGGTCGAACACTAACACACACTTGTGAAAGAATTGAAAACAGCATTAAGTAGATTAAAATAATAAAATATATATAATATTAGCAAAATTCTAAGGAAAATATCAAAAATGGTAAAGATCATAGGTGGTTGAATTCGGACGTTACCAACTTACTTAAAAAAGAGCTTTTAGCCTAGGAAAACCAAATTATTTAGGAAACAGTTTCGATTGATAGAAAATATATTAGCTAATCATGATCATATTCCACAGATATTCATACACATTCAAATTTTTTTTTTAAAATATGTGAGAAACGTAACAAAGTATTTTAATTTTCCAAAAAATAAATCATATACAAGTACTGTAACAAGGTAACTAATAACTCAAAAATGGCCAAATGGGTGATGGTGGTCTAGTGATCTTAAAATCACTCGTCAATGTCAACACAAAGCCCGTCCATCATCCATGACAAGGCCCAAAATCTGCTCTCTCGAAATCCAACGTGACACCTCCACATTTATCATGTAATTATCTGATCATCATCTGATGATGCCAAATCTAAATCAACATCATCATTCATCAACATAATCAAAGCATGCATAAAAGGGAGACAAAGAAAGGATAACTGGATAAGACACTTGTGGAGACCTCGTGTCAAAACGATCCAACGGCTCAGATTTACCCAAAAATCCAATCTCTTTGTAAGTTGTAACATAAGCCACACGAAAATAAAAGACAGAATACACACAAGAAGAAGAAGAAGAGAGAAACATAAAAGAAGACAAAAAAATGGTTTTTTCGATTCTTATGCCCTTTTCTCCGGCCACCGTAAGAGTGTACGCCACGGGGGCAAAAGGAAGTGGCAGCAGCACCACCACGAAAGAAGAGAAGAGTATCATCGACTTTGTTCTTGGTAGTTTAACGAAGCAAGATCAATTTTACGAGACCAATCCTCTCCTCAAGAAGGTAGACGAGAAAGAAGAAACCACCGGAGGTAACGGTGGCCGGAAAACAGTTTCCGGGGGCAAGAACTCAGTGGCAGTGCCGCAGAAGAAGAACGGCGGCGGCTTCGGTGGTCTCTTTGTAAAGAAATGAGAAGAAAATAAAAAATCACATAATTGTGTTACTCTGCATTTCTAATGTTTAATTATTGATTTTTCTTCGTACATTGATCATATATATAAAAAGTTCATGTTCTTGAAATCTCATCTTATATTATCATACTAAATCATTTAAAGATTGAGGAATTTCTGAGGACAATATTTATTGTGTAAGAATGACTTAAAAGTTAATTATTATTTAATCGGGAACAACAAAACCTTAAACTTAGATCACTGGACTAACTAGGGTTGTCGGAATGTACACCACAAAGGACTGAAGTACACTGGACTATACCTTCCGAGCTTTTATCGCCATTCTCTTCCTAAACTTTTTAATTAACTAAAATACCGAACAAATTATCGTTATGTCAAAACAAGATGTGGAGTTTTTTTCTCGTTGCAAACCAAATTTGTTTTCTGTTTTTGTCGGTTTAATTCCCTCTTCAATTAAACAAGGGAAAAAAACAAAATTTAGAAAATCTTTTTAACGTCCTGAAACAGAGGATCTCCAGACGACACTGTCTATATTTAGAAACCCCATTTTTTTTGTTTTTGTTTGATGCCAAATTCTTTGCTAGATCTCGGCAAAAATATTGAAGAAAACCCCAAATGATTGATCTTCTTTTCAACTAATTTCTCTATCGGTTTCTTCTTTTGAATATTTGGGTATATGGAAAATGGGTATTGACGCGAAAGAAACCGGCGCAATATTATGGAAAATTCTTGCATGTTCGATGAGCACAAGCTTCAGATTCATGAGAAACCACCCGGTTTTGTCAGGGGTTTTCATGTTTTTGCTCACGCTCTACATTTTCCTCCCTTCTCTGTTGTTCTTCTTGATCTACTCTTCTCCGGTTCTTGCTTGCGCTGCAATGTACGCCAGAGAAAAGCTGGGGTTGAGATTTTCCTCTTCGGAGTCAAAGACTCGCGTAGGAGAAAAAACTGGTGTTAGATGTCACTTGAAACAGCAGAGAAGTGTACGACGAAATGCTCGAATGAAAGTCGAAGAATGGGATTCGCAGACAAGCGAGGACGAGAAGGACAAAGTTATCTTGACTTCTCTTTACAACGACCTCTTAGGTCGTACTCCTCATTTCGAAGAGTCTCCAAAAGCAATAGAAGAGAATGTAGCAGAAGAAGACAATGCAAAGGAGGCTTCGAACGAAGAAGAGTCACGCGATTTGGGTGATGTTAACGTTGAGAAGCCAATGTTTTGCAACTGTGAGATTAAAGAAGAGAAACACAGAGAAATGAATAGTAAAGAAGAGAGAAGCGAGGAGATGGATAATGTGAACGAGCATGGGATTTCAGAGACTGAGAGAAACAAGAGACTAGAGAGTCTAATCGCTAGGAGAAGAGCAAGAAGACTCTTTAGACTTGCTCTAGACCAAAGGAATAAGCTTCAAGCTGAAGAAACAACAACTAGCCCCACAACGCAGAACAACAATCTGCAAATCACGGTTCCAAGGAACAATGAGAAACGTCGAAACTATCCATCATCAGAGCAGATTCCAGGCTCAGCGCCTTCCGTGTTGTTGAAAGCGAGAAACCCTTTTGACATTCCTTATGATCCTCAAGAGGAAAGACCTAATCTCAAAGGAGATAGCTTTGATGAAGAGTTTTCATTGTTTAACCATAAAGATATGTTCTTCTGTCGTCATGAGAGTTTCTGCCGCTTTTCTCTTTTCTCTCCAGAGCAAGTTCAGTGTATGAACAGCCCTGTCCCTGCTTCTGACATTTCAGCTACTAGGAAACGTTTAGGTAATACGTCAAACAAACTTCTGATTCATTGTGTTATGTTTGTTTACTCTATGAATAATGATTTTGTTTCTTTTTGTCTACAGATTTGGACAATGAATATATGGATCATACTGAAGTAACTGAACAGAAGATCCCTTGTACTGTCAAAGAAGCTGCAATAGAGGACGAAGATAAAAGCGTTAAGAATGGGAAAGACAGAGAAAAAGAGGTAGAAATGAAGAACGAGACAGATTCAGATAAAGAAGAAGATGATGATGATTCAAGTTGTTCAGAAGAAAGTGAGTCAGAACTCAGCCGTCTGAACAACGCAGAGCTTAGGGAAGCTATATGTCACTCCATGGATAACTATCAAGGTTTTCTTGGGAATCAAACAAGAAACGTTATTCCAACCTCACTGCCTAGAGGTTTAGCAGCGCCAAGAATCGATGGTAGCAATATGTTTTACTCTCGTAGATGCGGAAACTCGCACAGTCGAACGTTTTCGGTTGCCTCGGATATGCAAGTTGAGGTTTCAGAGATTGGTTCGCCTCCTACGACGGTTGATTGGCTTGATGACTGGTCTAATGGAGGAGAGTCTTACATGTATGATACTGATATTGACAGAGAGATCATCCGCGGTGAAGAATCGCTCAAGGCAAGAAGTGGGGTTGGATCAAAAGAGGAGAACAATGTGCTAGGGACTAAGCAAGATCAGAAATGTGTGGTAGATGAACGCCATAGAACGGTTAATGATACGCCGTTGTTAGATAGAAGAAGCCTGACCGAAGAGGTTCTTGAGCATAAATCTTATAGTTCTAGTGATTTGTCCAAGCTTACAAGCTCTGGGAAAGCTGAAGGTTCTTTGTTCCATACAAGTGCGTCATTGTCGTCTATAACAGAAGAACCTGAAACAGTCTTTGACTCGATCCATGGATACAAATACAACTCGGAGAATATGAACTATTTGGCTGGAGAATTAACTGACCACGGACCTTTGACTTCTTTGGATTCATCCGCAAGGAAGTTGATTGATGGGGAAGTTGTTGATGTGCAACAATTAGGAAATGATGATCTTTGTGGATCCCCTAAGATTATTGACTCAAATATCATTGATCTTCAACAGAAAGACCAAATCTTGAATAGCATTCAAGGAGAACATGATACAGAGAACACAAAAACAAGGGAATCTGAGGCAATTCAGAGTCTTTTGGATGATTCTTTGGACACTCCCTATATAGAATCATTTGAAACAGAGAGAGAAGAAAAACAAGATGAACCAAGCTTAGAAAATTTTACTGAGGAGGTAACAACACAAGCAGAATCTCCTAAGATTATTGATCAGCAGAAAGACCAAATCTTGAGTAGCATTCAAGGAGAACATGATATAGAGAACACAAACGCAAGGGAATATGAGGCAAGTCAGAGCCTTTTGGACGATTCTTTGGCCACTCCCTATACAGAATCATTTGAAAGAGAGATAGCAGCAGAAGAGGAACCAAACTTAGACAATGTTACTGAAGAGATAGAAACACAAGCAGGTCTTTGTGGATCATCTAAGGTTATTGACTCAAATATCGTTGATCATCAGCAGGAAGACCAAATCTTGAGTAGTATTCAAGGAGAAGCTGATACAGAGAACATAAAAGAAAGGGATTATGAGGCAACTCTGAGCCTTTTGGATGCTTCTGTGGACACTCCCTTTATAGAATCATTTGAAAGAAAGATTGAAGAAGAAGAAGGAGAACAACCAAACGTGATCAATATTACTGATGAGATCACAACACAAGCAGAAAATGAGATACTTCAAAGTGACTTGAAGAGTGATCCAGGCCATGTTCTTACAGAATTACTAGACAGTGAGGTCATGGAAGAGAATGGTAGAGAAGTAGTCAAAAATACTGATGAGAAAGTGGAGCCAGTCGAGCAAGAGAAAACTGATGACGTCTTGAAAGCATCTTCGAGCCATCCTCATACACAGTTACTTGAAGATCACGGAAATGCAGAAAATGATAGTGATGTGATACTTCTGCAAGTCCAAGACGGTAACAACTCAGCATTGGATGAGTCAGCTGATCAGGAGATCTCTACAGAAGGAGAAAATTCAGGGTTGTTGGAGAATATTGATGATGGATTGACTCAAGAACACAACACTACAGCGAATGTTGAGGAAGAATCAATAGTTTTAGAAGAAAATCAAAACTCGCACGGTTCAGAATCATGGACTCAACAGGTTTTACCCTCTATACTAATCATTTTTGGTTCTTTCCCTGTTTTTGGTTCTTGATTATGAAGTTTTGTAATTGTTTAATTGTCTATTGAATAGCTCGATAAAAATTCTTCCGAAGGAATATCGCCAAGAACACTGGAGATCATTCAAAAGCCAGCGCATGATGATGGTATTGCCCCAAACACCGTCTCTCAAGATATTGCCAAAGATGAATGTGCTGCAGTAGCCAATGACTCAGCTATTGCTGAGAATAATGATGAACAGAATCTTAAACATGATGATCAAGTTATGGACAAAGAATTAGAGCTTAATTTAGAAACAATGCACCATAATACTGATTTAATCGCTAGAAAAGACGATGCAGAATCCAAGGAAGTGACAGGGGCAGCAATGAACAATGCAGAGACCGAAACAACAAAAGACGGACACAGAGCTTTAGGTTAGTCGTAATTCTGAAATGAAGATGTTCTTCATTAATTATGCAGGATTAAGCGTAGATAATCAGAAATTGAATTATATTCATTTTTATAACCAAATGCTTTCTTTTTGCAGAAGATTAAATTGATCATACATGCAAGATGAAATAAGGTGGAACAGAATTGAAGAGTTACTAATTGTAGATACATTCTTGTAAAAAAAAATATATGTTGTTGAGAATTCTTTTTAGAAAATGGATTAATTTATAACAGATGAAACAGATTATTGTATCATTATTTAATGGACTTTTTTTTTACTACTATAATCCTATCTTTTAGACTAGTTATGGTATACATAGAAAATAAAGGAAAATCTGCATAAGTTACTAACGCCAAAGGCTGAAAATTTATATTTGCAGTAAAAGTATAGTTATGGAATATTATAAGATATCTACACACAAAAGCATATGAATTATTATCATGACAACGAGTGAAATCTATTACATGAACCGAATTGTGTTGGTTCTCCTTTTGGCCACTATCGACACCATAAATGACAAGAAAGTATGTAACTCTTTTAGTATCGAAGACTAGTTTCAATTTCGGGGCTTAGTAAAATATAAAAATAAAAACAAACCGTCTAATTAAAAAGGAAACCCATTGAATTGAACTGTGTTTAACCCTTCTTTCCCTGGTAAGCTTCTCGCGTTAATTAGTAAATATTCCATTTTGGCAAACTAGATATTCCATTTCGGATTTCTTTCCTTAACTCTCAGATTCATTTTAAGGTAATATATCGTGATCTTCGACTTCCTTCCTTAAACGCAAACTAAATCAAAAGTCAATATATAAAACCTCGCATATATAAGCTCGATTCACCATCATTCCGACAGAACAGCTCCAAAAATTGGTTCTCGCATAGGATCTTCTTGAATTTTTGCTTTGATATTCAGGTAAGAATACGAACTTTTGCATAAACAATTTCATTTATTCTGCTCTGGTATTAAGGATCTTCATGTTCAGTTGTCCATAATTCGTTTTGCTGTGGGATTTTAAAAAAAATCTTGTGTGGGTGTCGGAAAATCTCCTGCTTAGCTTTGCTTTTGCTGATTTAGGTAGGATCGAGTTTCAAAATTTGAGTTTTAGTACACTAAATTTGAGTTTCAGTATACGAGGTGTATCACAAACGCATATATAAAACATAAACGATTATTCACAAAAACATATCAATGATCAGTATGTGTATAAATATATATTTTCTTTTGGTAAGAAAAAAGGTTTATGTGTTTTATAATGTGTTTGTGTGATAACAATAATAAATCAGGTTACAAAGGATGGCTCAGAAGAAAGTAGTGGACCTACGAAGGATAGAGAATGATAAGACAAGGATAACAACTTACAAAAAGAGGAAAGCTTGTCTTTACAAGAAGGCAGAGGAGTTCTCAACACTGTGCGGCGTCCAGACATGTCTCATCGTCTACGGTCCCACCAAGGCGACCGATACAAAGGTTTCCGAGCCAGAGATATGGCCGAGGGACGAGGCCAAAGTCAGAGAAATCATACGCAAGTACAAAGACTTAGCGTCGAACGGCTGCGGGAAAGAAACCCAAGTTGAGACTTTTGTTAACGACTTGGGGAAGGCAAAAGAGAAGGAGGATTGTAAGAAGAGAGTGAAGAGTAATAATACTAAGTATTGTTGCTGGGAGGAGAAGCTAGACAAGTGCTCACAAGAGCAGCTACGTCAGGTTCTCTATGCCGTGGAATACAAGTTACATGAAGCTCTGATGAGACAGAAACGTACTATGATTAGGAATCAGCATCAAGCCATAGAGACACCAATCCCGCAGATGCTTATGGATCAAGATTACATGAGACATTATCTTGCTGACCAGAAGCAACAGATTCATCAAGGCATGCTCCCTGGTTATCATAATATGGGTTTCTCGCTTTTACCATCTCCTGATGATCAGAATCAAATGGACCCAAATCTTGAGGAGAATTATTTAACCAACTTCGGGTTAACTCAAGGCTTGATGATGCCAAACGGAAACGATGGTACTCAGTTGATGCAGAGGCAAGCACAACCTTGTTATAATCCTGAACCGGTTGCACAGAGGACTGCGGCTTTTAATGCTAACCCATTTGCGGGATTTAGTCCGTTTAACCATACTTGGAGGTGATGAAGTTGAGGGAAGAACCGATTTGAGTGAGGCAGCTTAATTAGTTTTTAGGGTTTTTATAGTTTTGTTTATGTTGGTTTTTATGTATGATGGCTTGGTATTGGTCAAGTTTACATTCTTTACAAGTTTCAGTTTTAGCCTTTTAGTATTTTATGTACCTTTCATCAAATTAAGAAACAGAAAGATAAGGATTATTGAGATTTGCCATCGCCTGCTATTGCTAGATATTATCCAAAATAGAAGGCGGTCCGGTCCTATCGTTACACATAGACTAAGATTTAACATCCCTTTGGTTATCAAGAGATTTAGAAAACTATCGCCAATTTTATGGTTAAAAAGGTGGTTTAAAGTTTACAAGATTATGGATAGAAGAATTCCTGAATTCCTCGGTTATGCAAAAAAAAGGGAAACATTTTATATATTAGTGTCTATAGACTAGAATGTAGGAAATTAATTGCATCGTTGTCTATAGACACAAACTTCTAGTGTCAAACATTGTCCGTTGTTATAACTTCAAGTGGTTGTTGAAAGCATAGTTTTGGTTGATTGAGACGAACAATGAATAATGCCATATGTGATGTATACGTTGTTCAAACGTTAAACGACAAAATTTTGACACTAGAAGTTTGTGTCTTTTTGAACCTTTTCGCTGCAACTTGTATAACATATACTTTTATTTTATTATTTCTTCAACAACTAAAATTTATACACAATTGGATTTACATCTTGATTTTTTGTATAATATACTGTTGCTGTATTTGTTTGAAGGGGCTGATTGCCATCCATCGTCTCACCATCTATATTCAAATCCGTATAATGTCAAGGAAAAAAAAAAAGAATATACTAAACAGTTTAACTCAAAAACTAGGCACTAATACTTTTATTAACTTTTGTATTTCAATTTGGGATTAAAAACAATGGACGTTTATTTCACAATTATCAAATACGATTGTTTAGTCCATGGGAAAAAAATTAAGAATTTCACTTACACCCTTAAATTAGAGATCACCACCATTCGCTGCTATAGCTGAAACATTGTGTTTGGTGCGTCGTAGCAAGAATCTGCGTTGTTAAACGGTCCTAGCAGAGCCTGGCCGTACGAGTGAACGCCACTAATAGCGTTTCCAATCGTTATGTTGAAGGCGTCCGCATGCGTTCCGTTGTTGTCCGTATGGCTCCAAGGAAACGCAGTTAGCCTCGAACGCTCCTCTCGTCCAACGATGGAGCTCTTGTTGGTCTCCAAAGAAGCTTCGTCTTCGAGATTCACGGTGGTTATGTCGTGAATGCTTGCTCGTCTCTTGTCCTTGCCGCCGGAATGCTGCCGGATAAAGTATTTTTGGGCGTGACTAGCGACTTGCGTTGGGGTTCGCGTTATCACAAAGTTTCGAGATATGTTCCTCCAATCTCCTTTGCCGTATTTCTTCAAACCCATCAGAAATAGCCTGATATTGAATCAAAGATGTATTTTCATAAAATTTTATACATTACAATATAAAATAATATCAAAATGTAGATATTGAAACTTTATCCAAGTAATATATTTTCAAAGTTAGGTTTCATAATTGAATAATAGCAACGTATGTTAAACCAAACTACGATTATGCATGTATTTCTTCAAAACCATTAGGAATAGACAAATATCGAATCAAAGATATTTTCATAAAGTTATATACTCCTCCGTTTCAAAATACTTGTCATTCTAGCCTTATTTTTTTTATTCAAAATAGTTGTCGTTTTCACTTTCCAATACAAAATTTAATATTAAATACCTAGTTTAATCTTGATCTAATGAAGAATATTAATAGTCAATTTGCTTTTTAAGGATATAATAAAAATTTTAATCTGTTTTATTAATCTGCGTGAAATCTCCAAAAACAACAAGTAAAAAGAAACGGAAGGAGTATTACACAATAATATCCACTTGTCGCTTTTATAAACTAGTGATGTAAATGTTGGATCTCTTTCAAATAATTTCACGATTTATGTTCAACTATTTTACGATTTTGAATGATTAGTGACCAAAATTTATGAAAAATTCACCTCTCTCACAAATTCTTGATAATAAGATTGATTTTCTTATTTTTTACCTAATTATTTACCATTGCGCTAGAAAATCCTTTTTATTCCTGTTTGATTTCAATTCCCAATAAACCGGAAAAAGAACAGAGACTTACTTGTGTTCTTCTTCCGTCCAAGGAACACCTTTCTTCCGCTCCAGCTCCGGCGACCTACCTGCCGACGACGAGCGTTTATTACCGACCGGGTGACCCGGTTTAAACCCGTTACATCCGCCGCCGTCACCGCCGGCCCAATCCAGAGTGAAAGGTGAGGTGATGTAACCAGGGACCGGGATTAAACCGGCCTCGATGCTGCTGAGGTCAGCTTCCAGCTCGTTGTACTGTTTGATGACGTCACTCACGGTCTTCCCCGGAATCACCGCCGCTACTTTCTGCCACCGATCAGGAGTGTTGTCGTCGTAAACCGCCAGAGCATTCTCGAAAGCCTTGTTCTCCGCCGCCGTCCACGTGACAACCTCGCCGGAAGCGGCGACGGGGACGTTGCTCTTCGTCTCCTCCATGAGCCAGTTCCCACCGGAGACGTGCGACGTCGTCGGTCTCAGAATCTCCATGTCCGTAAAAAAAATCTAAAAACTAGCTCTGTTTTTTTTCTTCTTTTACGATTTGTAAGAAAAAATCATACCGACAGAGTTCCCAAAATTGAGAAAAAAAACTGGGATTATTGAAGAGATAAGAGAATCAAAGGAAGAACACAATAATCACTGTCAAATGATACTTCATTTTTATCTTGATTAGAGAATTCATCCGAATTTCTTTGAAGCATTTCTTAG